AGAATTAAGAGAATAATGGCCGATAGAAAATCAAACTTCAAACCTCTATCTCTTATAGTTGCAGAGATCTAGCTTCCCCCAATAAAAAAAATTAATAATAATAATAATATTAATCTTAGTAATAACAATAGCCTTTCACCGAAGGTGAAAGCCTAAATATAAATCATAAATGAGCACGGCAACTCAAACTATGAATAAACAAACAGTTATTTTATTTTTGTTAGATTATCTGAATTCATAGAGACCAAATTCAGAATACAGAATAATTATCTCAGTATTTCCATGGACTTATAATACGGTCCATGATATTTCTGATAAAAGTGCGGTCAAGGGGAAACAACTCCAATTTTTAGGTTAAGAATATGACAGCGTCGAGGATCCCATTATTTTGAGAACACGCCTTCAATTAATTCCGTGGACTTGGGTTTTCCCCAGTGCTCCATGTTGATTTGAAGAAACTATTTTGATAAATGTAGATTGCCTAATCTAAGCAACAGATCATTCAGTTCATAAAAGGTGGATTTGCATACAAAAATATGATGAATGCTAACGTAACAAAGGGAGTTCGTTACAATACAAATCAGACAAGCTCTGTCCAAAAGAAAAAAAAAGGAAACTCAAAGGTGTTTTGGGCCAAATACACAAAAAAACATCGATATTATTGTTATTAGAATAGATAGCATATGGTCCCAATGTAAAAAAAAAACAACAACAAAAAAACAAATGCAATTTATGAACTTCAATATAAAACATACAAAACGCAGCTTAGAAATAAGTTAGAAAAAGCAGACGAAAAATAACTCTGAACTTACCCATTATTCGATCTTGTAGCCTTGTTCACCACGCTAAGATAATATCATACACACATTCAGATTATAGTAAACTGCCATACGTCCGGCTTGTGATCGGTTATCTATAGTAAATTCGACATGACAGTGTCGTTGTTTTTTTTTTATTGATAACAAAATCCAACTGTAATCTCGATTAACCAGACACTCCATATATACGCTTGCAGAAATAATCTATAGGTCGACGAAACTTGCAAACCATACTTGATGGGACATCACTCAAAATTCACTTTAAAGTAGCTAAGTCTCTAACTCAATATCATTCAAAATCTTCAACATTGAAAACACGATTTATTTGTCAAATTAAATCAACATTCATGTTGTGATCTTACCGGGAAAAGATGGGCTTTTGATATCCAATATTTAAGACAAAATAAAATTTTTACCATTGGTACACGAATCGTGTACCATAATGCGCTTCAGCCCCAGTTGTATCAAGAGACTCGAGGGACGAGGCTAGACACATTGCACCAAATCAAACGGCGCATGTGGACTGGAATAACCAGACGCTAGAAATTTGCACTCGCTTGAGACTGCTGGCTTATTTCGCCGAACATAACTGATTTGAAATTGGAGTAAAAACGGAAACCATCGAATGTAAATCAGTTTATATAATTCATATTACAGTATTATATGCGTTGCGACCCACTTCTGTCAATTTCTAGGTCCCAAATGTTAGCGATTTAGCTCCTTTAAAGGGGTGTATTTTACTAAGATATATTTGTTTTGATTCAACAGCTGGCTATGTGCGAAAGTAGCCGGCCTCATTGCTTTTAAAGTGTATGTAATAATTATTAGGCATACATTTTCTGGGTACCGGTAATGAAAAAGGGCGGTTGACTGAAATTATTTAAAATGCAACCCTTGAATAATTTTGGTCAAAAATAAAATTGTCGATTTTATTGGATGTTACTGTATTTTTATTTGTTGTTCTGGGGTGACTATATCCGCCTTCGTTCATTGTTATTGAATAGAAAGGAGCTTGTCTCGTTATAACACATTAGGTCGACCATTCAATACATTCCTGAGATTAACACAGTATTTAAGGTTTAACGTAACGGAGACTCAGCGAAGTACTCGCGATTTGGGAGATCAATGTGATCAATTGAATTCGATATTTTTATCATGGGTACTATAATCCGCCTGTTACAAGCAATTAACCCTTTGCAATTAATCACTTTCAAATGTTTCTATTATACTAGAGTAGCCTACATGTATTACTAAACATGTTAAAAGGGAGATGGACAATAAAATTATTTTGTCAATGACAATAACATTTTTTTGCCATGGGCAATACCATTTTTTAAAAAATTTTTTGCCATGACTTGGCATTAAATCATAATCCTTCATTTTTCTGTTTTAAAGGAGCCAAATCGCTACTTTTTGGCACGTAGAAATAGACACAAATGTATATAATAATGTAATATGAATGTATAAACTGATTTACATTAGTCGTCTCTGTTTTTACTATAATTTATAATCAGTTATGTTCTGCAAAATACGCGAAGAGCCCAAATTGAATGGCGGTCTTTGGCGTCTGGAGGTTATTCTAGTCTACACCGGTAGTGTTCTCCTGTGTGATATGTTTAGCCTCGTTCATCGAATTGCTTCATTACAAATGGCACTCTAAAGCATTCTGGCATGCGATTTGTATGCCAATTTAAAAAATTCTATTGTCTTTTTCACGGTATTTAAATTGACTAATAAGTCAAGTTGGCAATGTCGAAGACTGTGGATGATACTGAGTTAAAGACTTGCCTCCTTTAAAGGACGTCAGTGATGCAGGACGGAGGGCCTGACAAGGACAGCTGTCTAGTCGTTCGGATGGGACGAAAAACCGTATGCCCGTCTTCATTAGCCCAGTTCGGAGCAGACATTGTACAGTGGGCCTATTGCATGGGCCGTATATTAGATGGATAGCCATTATTTAGTAGCATCTCCTCGATTAGTTCGGTGGAGTGGGGGTGGGGCGAATGATCTAACGCCCGCTCTCTAGATCACACGGTCTGCCATTGAGTCAAGTGGTTTCGATCCCGCTGATATACAGGTCACGAAATGATCTAGTTTGAGTTGACTGGACGTTAAAGGGCGTATGGCTCTATTGAAACCTTTGAAAAAAAATAGACGAAAATCGGTCCAAAAAGCACATTTTAATATAATATGAATGTATATAAAGAGATTTAATATTCAAAAATATTATTGTAATTTCTAATCAATTATGTTCCATGAAATATGCTAACAGTCCAATTTGAACGACAGTCGTTCAGTCCAATTTGAACGACAGTCGTTCACATGGGTTTTTTTTATACGCCCACATTTTCATGTGGACGTATTATGCCGTCGCCCCTGTCCGGACGTCCGTCCGTCCGTCCATCCACAATTGTTTGTGGACTCTCTACAGGTCACAATTCTTATCCGATTTTGATGAAACTTGAAATATAGGTTTATCCCCAAAAGATCTCGGCTGCTTTCGATATTGGCATGTATCGGATCGAAACATCATGGATTATGGCCCCTGATTGTACGAAAAATCACGTTTTTAGCTTGTGGCATATCGGACTGTAACTTCCTGAATTATGGCCCCTGATTGTACGAAAAATCGCGTTTTTAGCTTGTGGACCCTATAGAGGTCATAATTTTTATCCGATTTAAAAAACCGTATTATTATATCACCGTTACACCCTAAGGAAGGTAGAGTTCAAATTTCGTGAAAATCGGCCCAAAATTGACAGACAAAATGGCCGCCGTTCGTTCTCAAATAGCGTAAAAATATGGTATATCATCAAGGTTGTGGACCCTATAGAGGTCACAATTTTTATCCGATTTTGTTGAAACTTGAAATGTAAGTTTATAACACAAATATCTCAGTTCCTGTCGATATTTGCGCATATCGAATTGTAATTTCCTGAATTATGGCCCTTGATTGTAGGAAAAATCACTTTCTTGTTAGCGTGTTCTCTATCCATCTCTCGAAAATGTGGGCGTATCCTGCCTGGCAGCCGCTGGTTTATTAATATTTTGCCGTTGTGATCAGCCATTACTAATTACTTCCGCATTGTCTTGTAGAATATGTTTTTCTTTGTTCAATACAAATGGCGCCCAAAACCATAGAATACGCAGCTCGTGTACTACCGGTAATTAAAAATCTGCTCATTATGTCTTAAATATTGGATATTAGGATCCCATATTTTAACGGCAAGATAAAAAACATCAATATTAATTGGAATGCACCAATATTGAATTCTATTTCTTGTTTTCTTTTCTTAATTTCGAATATTATGGAAACTATGGAGGTTTAGCTCCTTTAAACCATAGAACTATTTAGTTTAGTTCTATGTTTAAACCAGATTCCCTACCTTCGGTCTCCTAAAAGAATGACGTCATGAACCTCTTTCGTCATTGATTGGTTGACAACGGTTGGCAAAAAAGAAGACTCCATTTTGGACGAAAACGATTGACGGTCGACTGGACGTACGAAGACAATTGGACGGACGAACTTTCGACCCACGGTGCGTAGGAAACATTGTCAGAATGAAGGGAAATGTCGATAAAGTAAAGTGCCAGCTCACGCAGATGTGTTGGTTGTTTTCTGTCATTCATCTTCTCTGTCTGTATGCGGTGCCAGTTGGGGAATTGTGTTGGTGGTAAGCATTCTGTATGGGTTTCAACTTCTCGACACAATGGGCAATGGCTGAAGCTACCGCACAAACCATGACCAGCCTCAGGACTTCAGACATCACTCTTCCGATCTTTTTTTTTACCCACCCAGCGCTATCTAATTAAATAAAAAAGACTCACTGACCAGCTTTAGCGTAGGAGGTCAGGGGTTCGATCCCGGTGTTGGCCGAGAAGTTCTTAGGAATTTTCCAGCTTGGTTTGCCCTTATCAAGGGTGTAGGTCGGTGGGCCTGGCAAAGTGTCTAACCGAGTCCCGTGTAGGCCTACATACAAGTTAGTATGCACGCAAAAGAACCCTTGACTTTGACCGTTGTTATTTAATTTATGTCCGGGCCAAATTGCCCCCGTAGCACACCGTATGTACGTCTTTATTAACCAGGTTAGTGCAGAAAAGGACATTAAACCAAATTCATTTAATGGAATGCTTATTGATGTAAAATTAATGTTTTTGGCGTTTTATTTTTTCTTTCAACAGTGTATTGTCAACAAGTAACAACGAGTCATGTCCACTACTAAATTTGTATTTCCTCTTACGGAACACACAGACTGACCATGAAGAACTTTTTAGTATTGTAAGTCCATGATGCAGTTCAGGTCAATTACCTTTTAAAAACATAATTTAATATGGGGTATATTGTTGTTACCTTAACCTAGTCTGTCTGTCCAAAAGGACCAACTACATGTACATCCATCACGGGACGGTTCATGCTATAACTTTAAGCGCGTATTTTATTTGTTGCTATTGTTGAGGAAGAGGAATCCATTGAAATTCAGAATTGCGCTTGTGTTTTCGATGTATACGGTCCATGCTAGAACTTTAACTAACTGTAAATATGCAGTTGCTTGCGATTACTGAGGACGAAGAAATGAAATGAAATGGACTATGAAGACGGGCATACATGGAAAATAGAGAGAGAAGGAGAGAAACAGGATTTATCGTCCACTCGACACAAACTAGGTCCTTTCTGGACTGGCATGTTCAATTTAACTTCAATAATTCGCTTGCACGTAGGGTTATTTAGCGGTGGGGGGGGGGGCGGAAGACCTGGAGAAAACGCAAGCTGGATCCTATCCTATACTCGTTGTCACGTTCAATCGGGGAATCGAAACCACGCCACTTGACCCATTGACAGCCCTTATGATGCACCCCCACCCCATCCCTACCCAAATCGTAAATAACTCTCCCACCTGAACGATGTCCGAATATAAATTCAAATACGCCGGAAAAGCTGGTATTTATCGATTGAAGTTACCTCGTATCCCTTCAAAATGCTAATGTGTTTTGTGTGATGGCAGGATATTTATTATCTATTGTTTTAAGTAAACAACATGTTTGTGTCGTACACAAAGTAATTGATTCAAACGGTAGGAAATTTGTAGTTGTCATCCATCCACGTATTTGTAGGAGGTCGAGAGGTTAATGGCTTTAACAGTAACCCAAGAAAAAGAAAGGTTAGGTTGAAACAGAAAAAAAAATATATTTATACTGTCTTTAAAGTGTGTGATCAACATTCAGGGTCAAGAATGCGTTTTGAGAAAACGCGGTGGCTCATTGAATAAGACGCTGAATTGATAGTCAGCAGGTTTCGGGATTTTCAAGTGTGGTTGTAGGACAAGGAGCCTGACAAGGACAGTGGATAGTCGTTAGGATGGGACGGAAAACCGAGCTCCCGTGTGCACATTGGCGTACATGTAAAGAAACCCTTGACAGTTAGAATGTGATATATGAGTAGGCCGTAGCGCCGCTGTCTGGGCAAAATTTCCCCCATAGTACACTGTATGGCGTATGCCCGTCTTCATTAGCCCTTAAACACCATTTGATTTAATTTTCAGGCTTTTTACGGGCTTAAGTATTGAATACATATTTTAGCAGACTTAAAATTAAAATAGATTTGTGCCTTCTGCGTTGTGTAGCCCAAGTCATAATTTACGCATCAATTATGATGCGGAGTGTAAAACGATTCATGCAAATGAAATACAGTAATAATTTTGTTGAAAATGAACATGCCGCGTTGTGTAATCCGCGTCTTAATTTAAACAATATACTGTGACTGTTTAATTTTATTTTTCAGATTTTCTATTTAAAACTTTTATGTAAATCTGTGGTGGCATCAACACTGTTGATTAGAGTTTTTGTACAGAAAACACGTTCTTGTTGTCCACTTGATCAACCAAATAACATCACAGGTATTCATCTCTTCAGGAACTGTATTTGAGAACATTGACCTATATATCATGAGTGAAGTCCCAAATTTCACAGGGTTTCCATTGCTGCAAATGACTTTAAATGTGTAAACCAAACGCCCAAATGTGTAAAAATAACCTAGTGTTTGATATGATGGCTAAATTTTCTTACCACGGACACGTAATTAAAGACGACCACTTTCCACTGTTACTTTTGCAAGTTGATATTGGTTATCCAGGTGCTTTGGATTGGCATGGCATTTGAAGGAATATCGATGGAAACCGAATATTTGTTTCTTGGAAAAATTATCACATAGCTTCAAGTAAAACTTCTACAACTACAAGGCTAGATACGCTTAACCCTTTTTTTCTGATTTAGAAATTCTCGCGTGTAGCCTCGGTAAGTGTTATGGCTGAGCATATCTTATACTCGCCAACATAGAAGTTGACTGCCCCGTGATTGTCACATCCGGCTAAATGTAAGTTAAACAGATCTACGGACTTGTCATACGTTTTGGGTATCAGTGTACGAAATAAATTGAAACATTTAACCTGCCGAGATGCTTTTTTTCCCCCAAACTAGCCTAGCGCTAAGTATAATCCCAGAAACGCTGCTGTTATGTAACTAATTACATTCGGCCGCAAAAATTACAATACAACAAACCCTTTGTCAAAACTTCTTTATTTGTTCTTTTAGCAGAGAAAACTGTACAATTTGTGTGTTTATCGGTACATTATGAACATGGCACCACCCAAACCACGTCTACATATCACAAGAAACGACGACGTACTTCAAAAAAACTGGCAACTCTTAAAGACAAGACTTCACGGGAATTGAAGAAAATAAAACACAAACAGAAAAAACAATGTCAAAGATATTGGTTTAAAGGTAAGATAACTTTGTTTAAAATACAGATGTGACATCACCCTTTGATGTTGGCGTACCATTTCAAATAATCGTACGGGCAATTTACCAATCTTACATTATTTATACTGGTGAAATATTGGACTCACGTGACGTATTTCACTGTAAAAGCACGTGCGGAGTGTCTGTATTTTAAGTCGTTTAATGGTCTCGAGCTTAAGACATTATATAATATATTGTAAAAACATTCGGGCCAATGCAGTGTGCTGTATATAATAAGGTAAATTCTGCACAGACAACGGCGTTTCTGCTTACTCTTGAATGTGTGAACGATCTGCCTTTAATGGGTCGCATAACAGTGATGTTTGAATTAAATTGCAGACGAGAATCTACGTAAAGACACTCGCTGTAAGGAGATGTTGATTGGTGGATTAGAAATAAAAAAATCAGCCATGGAGGCCCATATGACGCAGTTGCAATACTACGTCACATTCTCACGAGATCAACTAGAGATGCAACGAGAAAGAAATAAAATCATTCAAGATAATATTGATCAATGTGGTAAACATGTTGGTAACAATAATATACCATCTTATCAAGAAGGCATGGCTAGATAAATTTGAATCCATTTATGATAGAGCACAACCTACATATGTCAACTTTCTCAGACAACTTACAAGATATCGTGAAAAAAAAAATTAAATAAAGATACCCAGCGAAATCAAAGATCGTAGCTTATCGTAAAATTTACTGCAATATTCCTGTGTAAGCATTATTTATCATATCAACATATTTACATAGTTAAACCTACTATACCCTTTAAATAAATTTTCAACTATGTTGTAAATTATATTTTATCGCCACTTTTTATATATTATAGAGAGCTGTCTTAGATGGTATTGTTCATTAATTTAATACTTAAGTCTTTATAAGCATGTTTATATAAAAATTTGCTAATATTGTTCAATTTGTAGGCATAATGGAATATACTGGATAATTGAATTCTTATTCAGACTTATGATACAGTCGATTTATGTCTTGTTTACGATAATATTTGTACCTGAAAACAACTTCAAAATTATATTACAAGTAGGAAATATGACGTGTAACTTGATTTGGGTGCTATTTTATGTCCAAAAGTCATGTTTACCGGAAATGCGACCTGGTTCGAGTGCAGTTTAACATCAATTTAAATGCAGGACAACTCTATATTAGTGTAAGTTTGGTTTCTATAAGACTTGTGGTGTTACTTCTATACCTCCAGTCCAAGTAAACCAACGGTAATAAGTCATTGATCATTATTGTCCCTATTGGGACTTTGTTTCATTTCTCTGAAAATATCCATTTCTTTGTAAAAAAAAAAAAAAGAAAAGAAAAGTGGTTTGAGATGTCGAGGTTTTTCTGTCAAGATGAATTTGTTTACCTTGGTAACGCGAGCCGAACGAACAAAACAATTAATTGAAAGTCTTGTTACAGACGGCTCGGGTCAGTCGGTAACTAATGATGATGATAAAATAGTACAAGGTTAAACTTGTTGATATCTGTTAAAGATCCTCGTCCTGTATAAAGAAATCTTTTCATTTCATTGACAACTCGACTGCAAGGTCTGCTACTAGGTATAGTGTGCTATGAGGAAAATTTTGCCCGGTCAGCGGCGCTACGGCATACTCTTATTTTGAATTCCAACTGTCGAGGGGTCTTTTAGGTGCACGATAATGTGTATACGGGATGCTGTTTTTCTTCCCATCGGAACGACTATACGTTGTCCTACACCACTTTCTAGGCCAACACCAGCATCGAACACGGGCCCTCTGGGTTAGCGAGCCAACATTTTACCAACGTTAGCCGTGGTTCCTGTCTCTAAAATGTAGATTGCATCATATTCATAGAACCTTTGTATACGGACCAGGTGGGAAATCTTTTTATTGATAAATCGACCAATCTTATTGAAAATGAAATATAGATCTATATTTCTTTTCGTTTTTGGGTTGTTATTTTTTTTTTTTGGGGGGGGGGGGGTGGTTATACTTTTGATGGCCTCACTACGTGAAGATCTGACCGGTTCTAGTGGAAGGTCGCGGCAGGGGTCGTACGAACGACTTTTGAGCCTATGACGTCAGACATTGATTAATCAATCAGCGTTAAAGTTTCTAGTGGTTTACCTACAGAACCGTGCATCGCATGCCAAGAACTCGCCGTAATAGACCGTTTCATTGGCTAATCCCTCACTTCAACCAGAACGTGAGTTATATAACAACTCTTTCAGATCCTAGTGTTGTGAAGACAAATAAAACGAAATTTTGAACTATAAAAAACGAAATAGGATCTGTGTTTTAACCAGACTGTAAATCGACCGTTTTCAACTAGAATATTTATCTACATCATTACTATTTCAGAACACCAAGTATTTCTTTTTATTTAATTCGGAAGTTTGTATATATGCATATATATAGCTAGTAGACAATGCAGCCTGGCTGATTAATAAAACTTAGAACAAGCAGTATATGTATGAAAAGAGTAAATAGACAGACTATATTTGTATAAAGCGTCTGTATTAATATAATTGCGATAGTATTAAAGGTGTTTAATATCAATATATCAATACTATATTGGCTATAATGTTGTTATAGTGTTTATCTACGTGATAGTGACGCTATAACTGATGCTATAGGGTTAATGATGAGGACCAGACCAGCTGTAGTATACCTGAAATATAAGAAGCGTGTACAGTCAACCTGTTTTACCCCAGTGATACAACTTGTTCAATTTTTCTGTTCATTTGGCCTACGTGTCTCGTGTGAACCACAATTTGTCTTCTATTTATGAAATTTTAATAACAATTTACAGGATTCCTACATAAATGTCGCTGTTAACCTTGCCGCATTATAAAATGCAACAAATTTATTGTTTTAGACACAATTTCAAAACCAGGTTATAATGTTTAAAGGAGCTAAATCGCTAATATATGGGACCTGTCGCAACGTACATGTATATAATAATGTAATATGAATGTATATAAACTGATTTATATTCAAACCTTTCCGTTTTTACTCTAAAATTCAAATCAGTTATGTTCGGCGAAATACGCCAGAAGTCTCAATCGAATGGCAATCTCTAGCGCCTGGTTACTCCAATCTACACCGATAGTATTCATTGCGCATAATCTCCAAATAAGAATATACGGTCACCGTTCAACTTGACTTGTGGAATATGTCTAGCCTCGTTCTTCGAGTCCCTTGTTACAAATGGAGTTGAAACGCATTATAGTACACGGTTCGTGTACCAATGGTAAAATGTTTATTTTGTCTTAAACATTGGATATCAGAAGCCCATCTTTTCCCGGTAAGATCACAACATCAATATTGATTTAAAAAATGGACTTATCTACTTTAAAATTGTAGGTTTTTATCATGCGAATGCCTTGAATGGGTTCGACGATAAACATTTTCTGATTGGGACACAATAACTTTGAGTCTACTTGGGTGAGAGATTTTTTTTAAACAATATCTTTATTCGGGATGCCTGAATGGGACTTAGGTGAGCGTGATGAAATATTTTCATTGAGTTAGATAATGAGTTAAGAAGAGTGATAACCACTTTGGTTGGTCGAAACTTTTTAACACGATAACTTTCCGTAGGGGTGGTGGAACTTGGGGTATAGTTTCATTTTATCGATATTTTGACTAAGTTCGGTGGTAAACAATTTGATTGGTTAAGACATTGGAAAACAAGATCCCCGATTCTTATTGAGGTAGAATGTTCAAACTTGGTGTAAATATTCAGCATTTCTCCTTAGACTCAGCAGTGATAAGCAGTTTCATTGGGCGATGATTTGGGATATGATTCTCGTTGAGTGAGAGTGATGACACGTGGTGTACCTTGACTAAGTTCGATTGTGAGCATTTGCTGCTCGGGTTTAGCAGAATGGTAAGCAATTTGATTGCTCGATGCTTTACAAAACAAATAATGAGAAAGTAATTGTTGAATCTCATCTATCGTTTTAGGATTGAGTCGGTTATTTATTAGTTTGATTGTACACCGATATCAATAGTGAAATAGCTTAAGGTCGCCAAATTATCCAGTGTCACGTTAAAGCTTTTCACATAAAACCAAGGGTGATAAATTATAATGGCTATTGAAGGTCCAAGAACGATGAGAATAACTATTCTTTATCAAAAATATTGATAAAATTGTTATGATAGCAATACTTAACTTCTTCCTTTAAAGATTATCTATGATAACATCTAATAGTTTTAACAATGTTATCGTTGTATATTGACAATTCACCACATGTGATCAGAGTCTATTGAATTTTAAACAGCTTTTTACATCTATAAAGTTTATAATGTAGTCCATCAAATAAATTAGAATAACGTTTTAATTTGATACAAGTGTTATTGGAATAACACATTTTTATTAGATATACGCTCGTATATTCCCATTTTATGTTTGAAATTATCCATTAATGAAAATTTGAAACGAAAGTAGTAGACATAATTCATTTGCAGTTTTTATAAATGGTACAAAACTGAAATAATGACCTTGCTACAGGCCACAGATGAAATACTATAAATTAAAACATTTGCTCTATATTAAAATCAAAATAATGTCCAAATTATCTATTCTCATAATGTTATACAAAATATAACTTAAGACTTGTCATTTGTTCAAGACGAATTTTCATAATTAAACTAAATTGTCTAATAAGTTTAAACATGACTTAAAATCGGGCGCTATTACATTATACATGTAACATATTGCAATTCTACGGGAAATAAACCGAAGCTTTATAGTACCATATGTTTAAGATATCCTATCTAACAATTAATATTCCTACGCGAAATTTGGTTACAAATTAATTAAGTTCAGAACAACAATATTAATATTATATCGTCAGCCGATATTTATAATGAAAGCAATAATAGCAATTGTATTTTATATAAAAGACACAGGATTGAAAACAGCGCCCTGAGACAGACCACAGTAATAACTACTGAACGGAATGAAACTTTGGTGATTACTTTTAATAATTCCTATGTTCTTATCCAACACATTTTGAACATGAAAATTTTCTGAGCCCCGTAGCAATATGATATTTTTATACTTCCTTGTGTTAATTTCATTTCATTTCATATTCGCCCAATTAACTGTAGTTAGAGATGTTACACAAAACAATAAAAGTAGACTTATGTGGCCAATGAAAAATTCACTTACCTTTTAAGCTTGACAATATGTTTTGTTTCACCAGAACGCGCTGCAATGAAGTTTATTAGAATGATGCTGTATTATAAAGTGAACATAACATATTTAAAATCATCGTAATGTATACTCTAATCGTTAACGTGGAACATGTGAACTAACCAGATCGTCCTAGCACACCTATATCACTTGCCGGACCTGAGAACCGTTGCACCTGGCATCCAGTCCTATAGTCAACTCGCTCGATCTCAATACCCGGGCCACGTTAAAGGGCCGCGTCAGCTGTTCGAGAGTATCCATTATCTAGATACCCCAATTACCAGCCTCGCCTTGCGAAAAGATATCAGATCAGATTAACATCGCGCAACATACGGGAGAATATTGTAGCAATTCCCAGCTGTAACAATCATTTTGAACGCTGACATTAAATAGGCCATAAAAACTCAAATTGGTAAGAAATATTAACCCATATGACTCGGATGCTGCCATACCATTACCAATTTCAAACGTAAATATTAAAACTGACCATAAAAACTCAAATTAACTTATCAATATCATTAATCCAAATTAATCCACGGTAAAACAGGAAGAAGTGCTTTCCCAATTCTGAAGTTTTGTTTTCTTTATAGATGTCGGTCTGTTCTGGTGTCCAACGAAATAACTAATGTAAATCGTCTGTGTGTTTCTGGTGGCAATACCATACATCCATCGATCCAGGCGCGTGTTGGGACGCCCCCCTCCCCCATGTGAGGCCTATACAGGAGAGACACATGAGAGAGTCTGTACATCTAAAAGAGTAGATTTCCCCCAGAAATGATCTCAGATGCATGGAGATTGACTTCAAACTTTCAAAGTTTTCTAGGGTTAGAACCCTATACCCCCGTTGAAGCTCACCGGTCAGTCACACCAGAATAGACCCCCGCACCCCCAGGGCTTATTTTTCTGCACACGCACCTGTCGATCAGTATGTGATGATTACACCCACTGTTCTGCTCCGACTGGGCTAATGAAGACCGGTAGACACCATACAGTGTGCTATGAATTAAATTTTGCCCAGGCAGCGGCACTATATGGTCCACTCTTATATCGAATTCCAACTGACAGGGGGTCTTTTACATGCACGTCAATGTATACACGGGTCCTCGGTTTTACATACCATTCGAACGACTAGGCAGCTGTCCTTGTCAGACCCTCCGTCCTGCACCACTGGTAAGGGGGAAACCACTTCGGAAAAATCCCGATGAACTTTCTCGACCAATGCAGGGATCGAACACGCGACCTCCAGGCTGTAGCGAGCCAGCGTCTTACCCACTTAGCCATCGTGGCTCACCGTATATTTAGAGAATATGTAACCTTAATATTGATCACAACGGGTGTCATAAATATTTTATTTTGTAGCAGACTATATCTAAATATATTCCACGCAAAAAATTGATAGCAACCATGAGTGACGGCCTGATCGGATACCGTCGTCAACACGACTCTATTATGCCTGTCCTGGTTTATGATGATGCTTAGCGAATGGATGGCGTTATGAGAAGAATAGAAACAGAGCTGTTACAATAATAACTTCCTGTAGTTAAACAGATATAGTGATAGATAGATCAATAATAGATAAATAGGCCGATTAAATTAATCTAATTCATAACACTGTAAAATAGTAAAATGTTAATAAAGTCAACAAATGGTAACAATGCGTATTTTTTTTACCGGGTTTTGGATGTAGGACCACGCGCATGTGTGCACGAGGTATGGTAATGTACCTCGCTTTGCTGTGATTACGGGATAGATTTTACAGATCTAGGTTTTTCGTCCGATCCAGAACACTATGTTTTATTGACGAATTTGTATATTTATAAAAGATGATATACATTTTTGTGTTCTTTTTCTTTAGCTATACCAACGAATGTACAGCCACGGAATATTACATGTAATTAACGCGATAGACTGACATTTCAGCGGGAGCACATAACACGACAGTTTGTTTGTCGTTCTGCCAGTTCGCCATGTATGCCATTTTGCAGGTCTACCAAATCCTAGAAATGGTTCCACTACTGATGTCTTCCATCTTGCTCCAGCCACAGTAGTGGACCGTCCTAGGGCCTTCCTTTGAGCAAGTTTTGTAGTCACAACTCCCTTAATTTCCTATTACACTGACCCCAAACAGTACTGTACATAGCTTAACATATAATAAACCAATTCCCATCGAAATAAAGGTGAAACCTTACCCTATAATTATATGATTTGATTAAACCCAACTGCTATGCGAAATTTCTGTTCACTTTAAAATTGCCGCCAAGCCAGAATCACGTGTGTCATGTCACTCCAAAAATACAGAAAAACTGTTTATTAAGATAAGATTATGATTTCGGTGTTCCGCGCTTCACTATTTGTAACATACTTAATTACTTATTTCCATGCAAATTGTGATATGTTTTGAAAATTTTGCAATTGAACCTAATTTTACTTGCTCAAAGTCTCGAATAGTGTATCAATTGCAGCCGAAGATAAGAATTATCACGGCTAAAAATTGAAGCTAACCAAATCTAACAATAAGTATAGTCACAACACGTTTAGATTGTTTTAAAAGGTGAGTGAGACATGTTTGAACACCAATAGACCCTTCTCAAAATTTCTGGACAATACCTAAGAAGATGAAATAGTAAATTGAAAAGGGCCATTTGGCACACGTGGATGCAAATTGGTTTCAATTACACCTACTAGTTTTAAGAGACGTAAAGTTTATTTCAGCAGCTGTTCAGGTGTTAAAGCTATAAATCTATTTGATATCGGCAGACTAATATTATGTTTGTTCAATATTATAATAATACATTTATATATTTTATTTTTGAAATATTGATTTTTAAAGTATATTCTATATTAACGAATATTTTTGAAAATATTCGATAATATGTTGTCGTACTCTTATTTCGTTCCGGTGGTTCCCTCTGTTTTGGTTTAACTCTAATTCTGCCTTCTATTTCAAGTGATTGTGATTTGTTTAAATCAGTGGTTTCCATTATTTACAGAGCTATCGCTCCGTTAGCTCCCAAAGTTATTGTCAATTATCCCCTCTACCTCCGCCTTTTTCACCACCCATATTAACAAGTACGATTGTATTATGGATCAGGAACTGACCATGTTTTTGGATGAAATTCAAAAATCTAATTCACCACATCGATGCAGATTTGCTCACTCAATGAAGAACAACAAGAACAAGAACAAGATGAGTAGTGATTAGCAATTTAATCTTTTGGACATGGAATGGAATGGAGTTAATGTAACGTCCTACATTTTCCGCAACGATATAATGCAAGTGCTTTACAGTGTTTAATGCGAGCAGTTAAAGAAGTTCATAAATAAAAATAGACTAAGATATTTGTTAAAGTCTCTGATCGCCATTATACAAACTACAATATTGTTAAAATGTTCAATCTCTAAAAGGAATATCAGGCAAAAAAAATGGTTCCATTTAGTTTATCACATACAAATTTATGATGAAAAGATAATTTCGCAACCCTCGCCATGCTCTGTAAACGATATAAACAAGTCAGCGTCACCTATAAGGGTTGGGTAAAATCTGGCCCCCTTTTTAATCCAATTGAATACAAGGCGGGAAACTACATTGTATAATATACCGTTGATATTTATTAGGTTTTCGTTAAATGTGAAATACTTTTTGACTACATATATAGCGTTAATATAAGATTTTATCCGAAAAATACAATTAACGATCACCGGCTTTAAAATATGGATCTAATATAACTAAATAAAGGGCGTATATAAAGTGATTTTTAATATATTTTTGAAAAAAAAAAAATGTAATTTCTAATCGAAATACGTGAACAGTTCAAATTGAACGACAGTTGTTTACGCTCGCTTAATCCATTCTAAACGGGGTTTTTTTTTTATATTATTATATTATTGTTTGTTAATCAGCCTTTACTAATTACTTCAAAATTGTCTTGCACTTTATGTTTTTATTTGTTCATTACAAAATAGCTCCCGAAACCATCGAATACACGACTCATCAATTGTTTATAAAATGTTAATTGTTTCTTAAATATTGGATATTAGGATCCTATAGTTTCACGGCAAGATAACAACATCTTCAATAAGTGAAATTTACCAATATTGAATTCTATTTCGTATTATTAATTTTATTAATTTCAATTATTATGGAAAATCTGAAAATATTGAGTTAGAGACTTAGCTCCTTTAAATTTGACAATTGATGTTTTCATAAAGATGCAAATGACGCACACGGACTTTAGGATCTATTTTTTTTATTATTATTATTTTTATTTTTTACTGGATAAACTATTTTTATTAACTATGTACATTAATAGATACGGAAAGAGTTCTTATTAAGTTTCCGTAAACAAAATAATTATGTTTAAAGGAAAGGTTGGGTTTAAGTAAGGCAGAAAATGCTAGTGTGATGGGTTAGTTGTATTTTACGTCCGCTTCCACCGAGGTGATATCGCAGACAATGCTAGTGTGAAGTGGTGTTTGAAGATATGGCTGAATGGTTAGCGTGTGCTCTCTGTATCATAAAGTCTTTCATTGAGTCAACTGACGTGGTTTCGATTTCCCGGTTGTACGTGACAAGGAGTAAGGTCGCCTGTCCAACCTCGTGGGTTTTCTCCGGGTCCTCCGGTTTCCTCCCACTGCTAAAGACCCCTACGCACAAGCGAATTATTGAAATAAAATTAAACCATATGTTAGTCCCGAAATGACCTAGTTTGTGTCGTGTGCACGTTAAACTCTATCTCTCTCTCGCTTCCTTTATTTATATTTTAAACAAGGCTTACAACATTGAGAGGCTTTATATGACACTGGGGATGTGAAACACGCACGTGTATGTCTATCTCGAGACTTTAGCGTGACACACCTTCAAGTACGGTTTCTACTGATTATCAATGGGCGAATTCTCACGAGCGACATATGCTATTGAAGATAGCATAAATATTATATCATTTTTTGTAGATATCTATATATTATATAACACACACCAAACTCACGAAGAAACAATTTATTCATATAGGCCGGTATAACATAATTGAACGACCGTGAGACGTCCCGTTTGACATACAGTCCGGTGGCTGAAGGGGGCGAACCGCCACCCGAGCTGTGAATTTATGAGACCGAGTTTTTCTAGGCCATTTTTGGCGTAGATTCCGAATCTGGGTGGTGATCAGGCATTTGTGGGGGCGTTTTCGACAAATTGGGATCCAATGTCTACATTTGGGGGTAAATGCGATTATGTTGACAGTAATAATGACCATGTTATATATTAATAAAACATAAATTTCTACGACTGCCCATCTCTAAATAAATGTTTATGATGCCCCTGGGCAACTGTTTTGATTTGTGGCGTGGTGGGGTGGGGGGTTGCAGGTGTGCGTGTGTGTGGGGTAAAATTGGCGGTAACTGAGTTCACATTGAATTAAATGATAATTTTCTTATAGCTTGATGAAACATCTCTAAATATGTGCATAAGATTCCCATTGTGTGGGGGGGCTGGGCGCCGGGGTGGGTGCCCGTGTGGGGGGCGGGGGGCATCGTATTTTTGTGGACAGAAATCATTTGGTTCTTCAAAGTTGACCTTAAAGGATATATGCGAGCTCTTGATCAGCCGTCAAGATGATATGTACCTCGCTCATATTATGAACTTTTGATATTGAACTCTCTTGAAAAGTACCATTATAATTTAATATTTTGAATGACGAAATTGGTACTGAACAAATAATTTAAGAGAAAACACTATTCAGGTCTTTTGAACCAAGTGGTTTCTGTCACTCAAAACGCTGGAAATAATCTCGAAGATTCCCGAATATCAAAACAGAAATAAATGTACTGTGTATTTTTTTATTGGTAACAAAAATATTTTTAATCATCAACAAAAATAATTTATAATTTCATCTCCTAATTAATTTTCATTAATTAATTCAATTATTTCTTACTAGTAAGTGCAGAAGGCCTTCACCAGCAGCACCACCCGTAATAACAACTAACTAGAACAAGCGACATACAGGACACAACATGGGAACAATGAAAATAAATTGAGTGCTCATGTTGTTTAAAAGGTTGTTGCAGCTGTTTAGGTAAAAGTTGGTTTATCCATCAATTTCCGTTGTCTTTCTGATACAAATATATTTTTTATCTAAAAAATGATTTAATAAAGGTAAATATTTAACATCAAAATGTATGAACTTCATAATATACAAATAAATGCATTATTGCTCATTTTTAAATGAAACACAGATGATGGAGGAGTGTCCTGTCCCTATATACACTCATCAAAATGCAGCATTGAAATACTTAAAACGTCAAGAAAGTATCATAGCCGTTGTGCTTACAATAGGGTGGGGGTGAGCTATCTAACTAAGCCTTAAACCATTTCCACTGAGAGGTCTGCCCTTTATTGGTTCAAAAGTTTTAAAATTAAATTTGGAAAAAAGGTCTTCTACATGTCAAATGAATATCCCTATTACAATATTAAAAAGCGGTCAGTCATGAAAATTCCCTTGGGTGGCTGCTTAATGCAGATTCTACTGTATTAAAAAGCCGAATACAAAAGAACAATATTCCTTAGAGTGTTTACAAGTATGAATGGACTGATTTTTGCAAGTGACCACAATACAAATGTATATATTAAATGTATTTATATAAACTGATTTTTAACAACTCTTATCTAAGTTATTGACACTCTCATATAAGTAAATAACAACACTCATATAAGTTATTGACAGCACTCATATAAGTTATTGACAACACTCATATAAGTTAATGACAATACTAATATAAGTTATTAACACAACTCATGTAAGTACCATAATTAACTACACTCATATATATATAGAGAGAAATGGGGTTTAACGTCCACTCGACACAAACTAGGTCATTTCGGGACTAACGCATGGTTCAATTTGCGCGTAGGGGTCTTTAGCAGTGGGAAGAAACCGGAGGACCCGGAGAAAACCCACAAGGTTGGACAGGCGACCCTACTCCTTGTCACGTACAACCGAGGATTCGAAACCACGTCAGTTGACTCAATGACAGGCCTTATGATACAGCACGCACGTGCTAACCATTCGGCCATCCACCCCCCCCCCCTACACTCATATAAGTTACTGACAACACTCACATAAGTTATTAACAACACTCACATAAGTTATTAACACCACTCATAAGTACTTAACAAAACACATATAAGTTATTAACACCACTCATTTAAATACTTAACACCACTCATAAGTTATCAACACCACTCATAAGTTATTGACAACACTCGTATAAGTTATTGACAACACTCATATAAGTTATTGACAACACTCATATACGTTACTAACATAAAGTAATTCATCTTTGTTTGATTGTAACCCTAAAAATTGGGGTTCCATTTAATGACTGACGAGACCCATATCCCATCCTATCCTGTCCTGCTATGCAGAGAGTATCAGTTGTCAGATTTGACCAAGGGATCAGGTTTGACCAGCATGTCTAATCAAGATTCCATGTAGTCTTGAAGATGAGCATATCCGACTAGTGGTTAAAAATATCTCTTTCTGTTTGAAATTACACAAATCCAAACATTGTCAGGGGGATAGTGCATGGAATACCAGCTTATGATACCCTGAACACAAAGTACACAAAGGAAGCTAGTCATGCTATAAATTTTAATGGAATGACCAGAACATAAATCAATTAGAGAAAGTTGACCATAATACACCTCTTGCCAATGTGAAATCATTGGTTTCTGTTTGTTCCAGAATTCCTCAACCTTATAGTTAAGCTTATGGTCACTAAATATACGTTTTGTTATGAGTTCTTAGTTCTGTGTTCTCGTAAACATTTAGTTGTACAAAATTTAAAGTCTGAATATTCGAATGGTACTTTTCCTGTGATATCAGTTCCACAACCATAACATCGACTGAAAATAATAATTGCAAAAAACATGACTAACTTAAGAAACAAATGTAATTTAGTTTGAATAATAACAAATATTTTTTGAATATCCTTGTGTTAATTATGTATAGTCCAATCTTGATGGGTTCAAAATCATAATTACTGATGACAAGGATATGTATAATATTTGAGCCCAAACTGTACCACGCTATTCTTAAAGCACAACATCCCAAATGGGGCATGCAAAAGACCATGGTATGATGATATTCTTTTGGTACTCTTAACCCCATGACAACCTATTACAAATTAAGTATTTCTTAAGGTTTTCATAATGTCCAAGGATAACCAGGATAAATAAAGTTTTGTTTACCGAAGGTTGGCGGGAATAAGTGAAGAGTATTTTACCCAAGGATGACTTGGACATATGAAGTGTCTTTTATCATAGGCTGAATGGGATAAATCAAGTGTTTTTACCCAAGAAAGACTGGGATACATGAATTATCTTTCACCCAAGGAAGACTGGGAGAAATGAATTATCTTTCACCCAAGGAAGACTGGGATAAATGAATTGTCTTTCACACAAGGATGACTAAAATGTCTTATACTCAAGGACACCAAACTCACAAATTCCCATGAATGAAAAAGATCAAACATGTAGTTACCTGAGTACTGGTTGGTCTGTTCCTTCTCTGTTATGCTGATTAACCAGACGTCTTTCAGCTGCTAACAACCTCTGAAATATAAATTAAAATTCTTATTTTGAATGTTGGAACTACGATTATGTTTACTAACATGTAATCAAGTACATATAATACATTACACTTCCATCAATCATAACTTATAGCTATATAAACCTATTTAATTTGGGTCAAAATAAGCTGTTTAATTTGGTTAATCGGATGTGTTATTTCGATTAATCGGAAGTCATGGTTTGCTAGCAAATTTGTTTGTTTCCAGTAACATTTACATTGGTTGAAAATTTCAATATGTATGTTTTCAAAGCTCTCTTACTAGCCAATTTTTTATTATCTATGACAGACACAGCAACTATATATTCTGTAATAAAGGTGTTTCAATGACTAAAATTCACCTTTTCACGATCTGATAACGATAGAAATCTTTTCTTCTCTTTTTCTTCAGCAATTCGTTCTGCTTCTTCTTCTCTTTGTATCTAAAATCAAATAAAAATTGTGACCTCTAGAGCAGTGGTTCTCAACCTTTTTTTGCCAACGGCACACATTGGATCACATGAAAAAATAGCAGCACACCTGGCTAAATATATATGAAAAATATTTGAATTTTTTAAAATAAAAACATGGTAGAGACTAGTCATAGACACATAGAATGACTCAAACTAAATAAAGAAAAACACAGCTATGAACACCAGTGAATACTAAATTGAGATAACATGGTTTTTCACATTCAAAATTTCGCGGCACACTTAGGAAGATCTCATGGCACACTGGTTGAGAATCAATGCTCTAGAGGGCCCACAAGCAAAAATCGCGATTTTTTCACACAATCAGGGCCATAATCTAGGAAGTGGCAGTCTAATATGCTCGAATATCGAAAGGAATCAAGATCTTTGGGTTATAAACAAATGCTTTAAGTTTCATCAACATCAGATCAAAATTGTGACCTCTAGACTGTCCACAACCTTGATATTACAAACTTTAACACTATTTGCGTACAGGGAACGGCTATTTTGTGACCTCTAGACTGTCCACAACCTGGATATTACATACTTTAACACTATTTGCATACAGTGAGCGACCATTTCACAAAATTCGAACTCAACCATCATTATGGTGTAACGGTCATATATTATGACCTCTAGAGGTACCACAAGCTAAAAACACGATTTTTCGTACACACAGGGGCCATAATCCAGGTAGTTAATGTCCGATATGCGCAAATATAGGTTATAAACATACACATAATTTATTTAACGCATGATTACTTGTAGCAACTTTCTGGGGATACAGTGAAAATCTTTAGAAATTCACCAACAGAGACAATATGAAACTAATATGACTAACATTTACCTTTAATTTGTCAGCTTTAGCTTTTTTCTGTAATTTTTTTCTCTCTGCCTCTTTTTGCTTTTTTTCTTCTTCTTTTTCTGCTGTTAAGGCTCCTGGTATCTTAATATAGAATACAAATATTTAAAATACCAGAATAAACCAAATATCAAAACCTACTAAGGATGTGAACCTACTAAAGGACGCCTCTGTCATGTGGGGAGTCAAAACCGCGATACGTCAGTGAGTAGGGTGTTGGCCTGCTAACCTGGAGGTCCCGTATTAAAACCCTGCACTGGCCGAGAAAGTTCATCAGGATTTTCCGGTGTGGTTCCACCTTGTCAATGATGTAGGATTGAGGGCCTGCAAGGGACAACATATAGTTGCTCGAATGGGACAAAAAAACAAGGTCCCGTGTACCCACTGGTATGCATGTAAAAGAACCTTTTACCATTGGAAGTCAAAATAATTAGGTTGTAGTGCTGCTGTCCGGACAAATTTCCCTCATAGCCCAATGCATGCTATATGCCCGTCTTCATTAGCCCAGTAGGAGCAGAACAGTAGAACAGTAGAATGTAAAACCCCATTTCATTTCATTTCTCTGTCAAGTGGTATTAGAGGTTCCGGAAAAGAGTAAACATATCCTGTCATAAATTGCAGCTATAAAGCCAAAACCAGCCCGAGTGTATAATTATACCTCCATCATAACACCAGTGTTTATAAAAGGACAGTAAGGTATATTTCATTCAAAGAGTTAACTTAATTACCTGTGCTTTTTTATAATCATATTTATCAGGATAAATGGCTATAAATCTTCTAAATTCATTACGTGTATCTTTACATCCTGCTACAGCATACGGTGGTCTATCACTTTTATCTCTACAAAATATATTATTTACAAACTATACAAGTGCCACTCACATTATATAACCCATTCTGCACACACAGATAGCCATCTATTCTCAAGCAGAGATAATTGTAGACACACAGCAAAATATTCATATGTATATAGCCATGATCACTACTGTCTCCATGACAGAATTTATCAAAGAATAACAACATGAAAACCTTTTTAAATTTACAAACATGTATTCTGTCTCTATTTTGATGTGCCATGTGAACAATGGTCTAAGTACCGGTATATGCACTGTAGATCTGCAGTGGTGGACATAAATATGAAGTCTGACTGAATTATTATACATGTAGGTGAACCCTTCACAAAATTAGGTCTTGGTAACCCAGCGTTACATTTTTCCATTACACAAGAAAACAAAATTAAATTAATACAAAACCTATACTTGTTCAATTCAATAGTATCTTAATGCTTAAGTCTTGATTCTCACTGGGATATTCCAAGGACAGTGTTTATCAGGTCATTCAATTAAAATTTAAAGACAAGCTGATTTGGGATTTGGACACAGTATTTCTTCACATATTAGCATTTAATTTGCATACTTAAGCTGGGACCAATCCTAAATTTCGGACACCTATGCCATTAAAAGGAAAAGTAAGAAATGGAGTTTAACACAACAATTTGAAACTAATAAACAAACATGGTTATTTTTTTATTGAGAAATCAAATAAAATGGGGCTTAACATTCGGCCAATGAAGATGGACATAAGCCATACAGATTACTGGCAGAGATTTTGCCCTGACAATGTGGCGGAGTCATGGCTTACTCTTCTTTTTTTTCAATTCCAACTGTCAAGGGTTGTTTTATATGCATGCTAACCTATACACAGTACATCTGTTTTTGGCCCCACCCTAATAACTAGAAGCTGTTCCTTTCCAGGTCCTCCATCCTGAACCACTGTCAATGAAAACCCGGATCGAACCTCAGACTCCCTGGATAGTGAGCTAGTGCCTTACTCACTGAGCCACTGAGAGTTTTTTTTATTTAAACTGAGCTCAAATTATCAAACATACCTTACAGTTGGATCTGCTCCATATTTCATCAACATACTTATCACCTTTCTATGATTACATTTGGCTGCTACATGTAATAATGTGCTACCATTATCACCAAATGGTTTATTTAAAATATCTACTGTAACCAATGGTGATAATTGATCTAAGGTATAACCACCAAATCTCATAGTACCAGTAGATTTTGGAATTGGCAAGGAATCAGGAACACTGGTACCAGTGGAATTACGGCTTTCTGGTATCACATTTTGATTTTGATTATCATTTCTATTTGAAACGGTAGAATCGATTGCATCAAGGTTTTCACTTTCCATATTTTTAGTTCTTGAAATTAAATCAGGGGAAGTCACTCTTTCTATAATTATTTCACTATCCAGCAGAAAAGTAGATTTAGGTTCATCAGCAGTTGTTTTGGCGGAACAGTTGGAATTGTCAGCAGTACATGTAATTTCAGTAGATAGTTCCGAATTAAGGGAGTTAACTCTATTAGTATCAGTAGATAAATTTGCAGCAGGAGTAAGAACACATGGTGTAACGTCCATGCCACGAAATACAACTAACAATGCTGATAGTGTCTGTGTATCTCCTGTTTTACATGCAGTGTATAAAGCATTCTGAAGATGGTATCTTTCCTCATCTGACAAAAAAAAATTACAAATCAGGATTAAACATATAACCAGAATAACCAGATAGCATTTCTTTTGTTTATCTGAAGTTAAAGTGAAAGAAACTACATGTACATTACATTAATTCTATTTATTAATGGAGATATTTGTAATTATTAACCAGCTACCAATGTCTTTCTTTTGTATTTTTTGTGCAACAGTCACAACACTGATAAGAACTTAATCATTTTTGGACCTATGCCAAGATGACATAGCAATGCAAAGAGACATAGCAACACACTTAACATCTATTTCTACAAATAATTAATTTTCGAAACAATTCTTCATTTCGTTCATTTTACATTCTTTATCAAAGCAAACCATAATGTGCTACTGTGATTGTTTCTGAGTTGAATGTCTGCAGTTTTTACGATGTGCTTGGTGGACCTCAGTTGACACATTAATGTTAAAACTATTTTTATTTTTGGCTCACTAAAAATGTTAAAACTAGTTTTAGCACAATAAAGATGTTAATACTAGTTTTAGCACAATAGAGATGTTAAAACTAGCTTTAGCACAATAGAGATGTTAAAACTATTTTTAGCACAATAGAGATGTTGTTGTGGTTGACATTATTGCATCAGCTGGACATTGGCTTTATCATAATTACCATAGACATCTTCTTCAGGTTCAACCTGATGTTTTGAAATAGGTTTGCGTCTTTTCTTGGGAGACTTTTTCCGAGGAGCTTTTACAGAGCAATCAAATTCTTTAAGATGTTCGGTAGATAAAGCAGTCATTGTTTCTACTAGCTCTGATTCACTACATGTAGATCCAGACTCATAACCTAAAATGTGATCTAATGAAAAGAGTTGCAATTAAATTTCAAATTCAAAAACAAAAAATGGGTTTAAGGACCATAAACAGAATTAGATCCTTTCAGGACAAACAAATGGTGTTTTATTCATTTGAAGACAATACAAAAACTCTCACAATGTCCAGCATATTAGATTGAATATATTGTTTGTTTACCTGGTAGGGAGAGTTTAATATTTTCGTGATTTTAATTAGATTGAATATATTGTTTGTTTACCTGGTAGAGAGAGTTCAATATTTTCGTGATTTTAATTAGATTGAATATATTGTTTGTTTACCTGGTAGGGAGAGTTTAATATTTTCGTGATTTTAATTAGATTGAATATATTGTTTGTTTACCTGGTAGAGAGAGTTTAATATTTTCGTGATTTTAATTTGATTGAATATATTGTTTGTTTACCTGGTAGGGAGAGTTTAATATTCTCATGATTTTAATTAGATTGAATATATTGTTTGTTTACCTGGTAGAGAGAGTTTAATATTTTCGTGATTTTAATTAGATTGAATATATTGTTGGTTTACCTGGTAGAGAGAGTTTAATATTTTCGTGATTTTAATAAGATTGAATATACTGTTTGTTTACCTGGTAGGGAGAGTTTAATATTTTCGTGATTTTAATAAGATTGAATTAACTGTTTGTTTACCTGGTAGGGAGAGTTTAATATTTTCATGATTTTGTTGACCTTTGCCCTTTCTACTATCAGTAGGAGATGGTGATGATTTCTCTTTTAATAAATCTTTAAGTTGTTTAGATGATGATGAAGGATCAAATTTTGATTTACATCTTTGGGATGGAAGTTCAGAATCAGATACAACCTCTAATTGACTAGTTTCTGAACTCAGCTGTCTCATTGGTGATATTGGTATAACATTTGGCAGATCACTCTCTTGGCCTAGTAAAATACAATTTTACATAGATTAATCAAATTAATAGAAATATTTGTAGAAAGAGATTTTTTTCTCAGATATCCGCATCTACTCTCTACCTACACTTCTTATTCTTCTTCAAATTTAGACAGACATACAGACAGACAGAGAGAAATAGGGTTTAATGTCTACTCAACACAAACTAGGGAATTTTGATACAATTTTATTTCAAAAGTTCACTCCATAGTAATAGTCTTTAGTAGTTAGAGGAAACCGACGAAACCAGAGAAAATCTCACCGGGTTGGCCAGTCGATCCTAAACCTTGTCATTTATTATTGTTATAAATGATACAAAGCTCATGTTAGATCATTTACACCCCTGAAAACTTATTGCTGTTTTAAACAGAGATTTTAATTCAGAAAACATTTTACCACAGCATAACATTTCATGATGAAAACCTTCTTAAACTGAACAGGATATAAACAGAAATATTTTATAGAACTCATTGACTGGGAGCTACTACATTTTAAATGGAGATTTTAATGTAGAAAATATTTTACCATAACATTCTATAGAGGACAACATTTCATGAACTCTTTTGACTTCATTATAGGTTGGTCTGCGTGTTGGAAAAGGTATTACTCTCACTCGATCATCATTTTTCTTCAATGGAGGATTTTTACCACCATAGAAAATCTTCCTATTGAAACTTGGTGCACGTAGAAAAAGAAAATCACAATTTTTTATCTGCTCAGACCATGCATTTATCCAATCTTGTATTTCCTAAAAATAAAACAAGTATCAATAATTTTCGATCTGTTCCTCTTAAAACTCATATTGTGAATACCTAAAAAATATGATGTTCAACTAAAAACTTAAATTTCAAATTTAATTAAAAGAAAACCAATCTGATTAAAATACAAATGTATATTTCATTTCGGTTTTTTATACTTTCGATGGCCTCTACTACATGAAGATCTGACCAGTTGTAACAGGAGGTCGCATCAGAGGTCATACAAGCGGCTTTTGACCCTATGACATTAGACATTTGATTAACCAATCAGTGTTGATGTTTCTAGTGGGTTACCCACAAGATCATGCAACTCACGCCACAAACTTGCCGTAACAGACCGTTTCATCGGCTAATCCCTCACATCAACCAGAACAAGGTTATATAACAACTCTTCCAGATCCTAGTGTTGTAAAGACAAGTAAAACGAAATTTTGAACTATAAAAACGAAACGAAATAGGGTCTGTGTTTTAATCAGATTGAAAGGAAACCCATTCAAATATCAATTACTTTTACAGCATGTAGGTGCCAGGGTGGCTCAGCAAGTAAGCTGCTGGCTCGCTAATCAGGAGGTCCTAGGTTCGATCATGATGTTGGCCGAAAAAGTTGCTCAGTATTTTCTTGCGTGGTTTCCCATTGTCAATGGTGCAGGATGGAAGGCCTATAACAGCATCTAGTCATTTGTGTGAACAAACCCTTGACAGATGGAATTCAGGTAATCTTTACCTTGTGGTGTCTTGATGTATTATTATTATGTAATGGTGTAAGGGAGGTAACTACAATTATTATTAGTGACTGTATACCGGTTGTGACGTAATGAGGATAGTATGATGGCTCCAACATGTAAGAATGTTATACGTTGAAGAATAAACATAATCTGTTTTTTACTCATCCATACCATATACCTCATAGCACATTGCACGGTGTACAAGAAGAGAAGTAGGAGGTTAAAATTTTATTTCTTTCATTCTGTCATTTCGGCATGTAAATTGATTAAGTATATCAAAGATCTACATATCTAAAAATGTCAAACCTGCATAAGTGCTGCTTCATTATATCTTCTGAGAGAAGCACCAGCTGATTTTGGTGCATTACCCTGACTGTCTCTACTACCTTGAGCTGTACCTCGTTTTGCTCTTACAACATAACGATGAAACGTCTTATGTATAACAATCTGATTGCTGAATAAAGAAAGAATTGTATAGATTTATAGAAACAGTCTTTGATCTTACAAGAACAAGCTTGTGAATCCCAAATAACACTATATGTAACTAGCCCCAATGAACTACATAGTTGGCAGATCAATCATCCTTTCCCACAGACCCTTTAAGCATGGCAGCACAACCACGCTTTGATTTTTCAGAACTTACATCTACCATTCTGAATACTTCTGACTTCCATTAACACTTAGGATGCTAATTAAATTGTCAATTAAAAATTAATTATTAATATCCTTAAAGTGCACATAAGACAGTGACCGAATGCATATTCGGAATGTTTATTCCTTAATTACCAATATACAGCCGGCGTGTGTATTCTTTACCGCCTGAATGATTCCTTAATCCCTCTAATTAAATAAAACAATTGACTACGAAATAATTTGTTTTGTAATTCATTTTAATTTAAGATCCAATTTAGAGTGCCTACAACTTTCAAACTTTGAAGTCTTGAACTCTTAATTAATTTTTTACAATATGGAACTTATTGGACGAACACTTTTAATATGTAAATAATATACGGGTCCAGGTATGTGTTTTTTACTGCGAGCACTTCGCTTTTCCACATAAAGTGTAGTGTCGTTAATATCTGTCAATAATTAATCAATCCGACTATAAAAGTTATACAGGCATGGGTTATAAATTAATTTACATGTTGGTGTTAGCAGTGAGTGCTTTTGTAATCAAGTAGCCTCGTGTTATTTGTTCATTGGCATTTAATTTAATTGATGGATGGATTAACGTTTTTGATACGATTAGGTTATAATGTCTAACATCTGTTATCTTCTTTATAATAAAAGTATTTTACAATTGCATTGACAGTTTAATCACTCACCAAACGGCACTTAATGCGTATATCCTCAAATGACGGGAAAATTAGGACGTGGTGAAATTCATCTTCCAGTTCCTCAAGCTGACAAAATGTACATAATCGTTGATCATGTGGCACTTTAGTATATCGACCAGTTTCTATACTATTCAAAAAAAGTAGGGGATATTTGATTTTGGGGGCATAATACTAAAATATGCAAATGACTACGAAAAAAGTCACTATAGAACCTAACAGAATGAACATTTCCAGTTACATGTGACGCCCAAACGCACCAATAGCTACCGCATGGAATGCAGGTGATGCTTGGGATCATCATGGGGGTCGAACCCAAGATTTGCACGACTCTGACTTTGAATGTTACAGTCATTGTGGCATTGAATTCCAGGGTGGAAACATCAGTTTAATTGTTTTAGTGACCAGAAAACAAATTTTGATATGCGTCGGCTTACCCAAAATGAAAGGTTACGTGCCCTTGGCATGCTACAGATCGGCACAACACAGGCGGTTGTGGCGCGGACGATGAATGTTTCTCAGTCTGTCATAAGCAGGCTATGGTCCAGATACCGTGATACACAATCTGTACAGGACAGACCACGCTCAGGTCGACCAAAGGCGACAACTCAAGCCCAGGATCGATTTATCCGTACCTTGGCCTTGAGAAATCGTGTCATCACAGCAAATCAGATCAGCGCTCGTCTTCAAACAGACACTGGTGTGGGAGTGAGTGGCCAGACGATTCGGAATCGACTGCACAGGGGTCCCCTTCGTGCCCAACGTCCTCGCGTGATCCCTTGTTTGAGAGATCATCACATTCAGGCAAGACGTCGTTGGTGTAGGGATCGTCAACACTGGGATAATCGACGCTGGAGCAATGTGATGTTTTCAGATGAGTCAAGGTTCACTGTTGATTTTTTGGACAGACGTAGGAGGGTGTGGCGTCGTCGAAACGAGCGCTTCCAAGACGTTAACGTCATCAGACATGATCGATTTGGGGGTGGTTCTGTTATGGTGTGGGGAGGCATCACTGTTGCTGGAAGACCGGCTTTACATGTTGTTGCAGGGCGTGTTACAGGCCAGTACTACCGGGACAACATCTTGGCAGTCCATGTTGTGCCGTTCGCACGACGTCATGGCCGCCGTTTCATCTTCCAGGATGACAACGCAAGATGTCACAGGGCCAGGATCGTTACAGGTTACCTCCAACAACAGAACATCACCACATTACCTTGGCCAGCACTGAGTCCCGACCTCTCCCCCATCGAGCATGTCTGGGACATGCTTGGACAGAGGTTACGTCAACGTTAACAACGTCCTGCCAATGTCCAGAAAATTGCTGCTGCGTTGCAACAGGAATGGGACAATCTGGACCAAAATGACCGTAGACGTCTCATTAGGAGTATGCCACGTCGGATCAATGCTTGTTTGGCAAACAGAGGAGGATTTACCCGTTACTGACTTGGTTGTGATGCTGTGGTAACTTTGCTGTTTGACCCCGGGTATCATTTTACCCTTATAATGGTCAGTCTGTGCCTTACTTAGTCTAACGATCATTTGGAATAAATCGATGAATGTGAACTTCATTTCATTTTGTCATTTGTTTCTTCGTCAGTTTCATTAGGTGACTTTAATAACACTTAAAAATCAAATATCCCCTACTTTTTTTGAATAGTATATATATAATTTATGGGCTGATAAGCGTAGACGAGTTAAGTGTTTTAATAATATAGGCTTTATAGGCTTTAAAAGATAGGGTTGGGGAGTAAAATTTAAAACAAAATGTTGATAATAGATTCCTTTAGCAGAATGGCAGATATTGCTATAACAAGACTGTTTGAAGATATCAAATATTCTCTGTTTAAAAATGAACACTGAATGTTTGTCAACATTTTGCCACATATACCCCAATCCTAAACAATCTAATTCCTTTTTAAGGTAACAAATCCAGTTATCATTATTATTAATCATGTCAGTTACACAACATCTAAGTAAGTCATTTTCAGTAGAGAAAAGTTTAATATAATATTTAAAAATTTTAATTTTCCTTAAGATCTGTAAAGGATATCTACCTAATTCAAATAATAGCATGTCATGATTCGTGGATTGTTTAACACCTAAAATTAATTTTAGGTAATAAAAATGTAGCTTATCAATTTCCGGTGCTTTATGAAACCCCCAGATTTCAGCACCATAATTTAGTATACTACTAACATAAGTATCAAAGGCATACAATGAAGTTTTGACATTGAAACAATTGTCCCTACACGTTTAAACAACTGAGAACATTGCCTTTCTACCTTGTAATGCTAAATTTCTCTGTGTAGTCAAGAATTTACCGTTAAAATTAAGTAAGATGCCTAGATAATTAAATTCATTCACAACCTCTAATTCAGTACCGTTAAATTCCCATTTTTCTTTACCCGTTATTTTGCCACAATTTTTAACCTCATTTACTACACCCGTAGTACATGGAACGGTACATGATAATAAGATATGGCAGAGAAATGGGTGCGATCTATTGTACATGTTATGCAGAGTCATCGGAAAATTCCATATTCACTGTAGTTGTTCTTTATGTATAGAAATGGTTATTATTATTATATATAACTAATAATGAATATATCGACAAATGACTGGCACCATTTGTATTTCTGTACTTAAGTTTGGGATATCAAGTATTACGGGGTTATCCAAATTACCGGTAAATGCGCTAATTTCTTGAGTCATCTTCATTTGACACATGGCCTATTTAAACAAATGCAGCTTAAATTGATCTACGGCATGATACAGCATTTTAAATTCACTCGAAAATATTCCAATCACAAATGTCTAAACTACATGTATACCAATGAAAGACGATAATTTGGTGATTATAATTAGGCCAGTCACGTGGTAATTGGACCGTCAATAGACGCTTGTCCAGTTGCCGTGTGTATTGATAGTGCTATATTGTACAGACAGTGAGATATTGTATAGATAATGTATATCCTATGTGTAGTGCCTGTGACGTCACCAGCCAATCAACCGGATTAAGGTCGTAATTGAAAAATCGAAAAGCGTTTTGGCGTGTCGGATACTTAAACTTTAACAGCAGACTTAATTTTAATCAGATTGGCGTGAACTTGCCGTAAAGTTGATATAGTAACCATGGGCTAAACATACATGCAATTTAGATTTTTGATCTTACGTGGTTTTTAAATGATATTAGAAGTAGAGGTATACTATTCATAATAACACAACTTATGTATGTTAATACTCTAATGTTCAATACACTTACAGGTATCAAGCAATAAATTATCCATCACAAAATGTGTTCAAATCCACTAAATATCACAGGCTAACGATGGTTTCGAGAGTTGATTATGGTCTGAATAAGTTAATTAATGACTAATTAATAATTTTGATAACATTTCAGGCCTAAAGAAAGACATGCAATAGGCAGATTTAGCTCTTGCATAATGTATGTTCAATCTGAACAGTACAAATTAGTAAGTATTAAAACTGACATGCATCAATTTACTGTCTAAAACATTTCAAACTATATAATACAGCATTAAAGCTGAACTATTTAAAAATAAGTTAAACTTACCCATTGTATATAGCTCCAGCAAAATGACCACCAGCAGACATAAAGATCGCCCATTTTGTTTTACCTGGTAAAGTTTTAATTTCTTCTAAAATTTCTGACTGATCAGTTATTTTACTCTATAAAAGAAAAGAATCAAGTATTTAACATTTCTAAAATTTTACATGTCCAGTTTCTTTTTCAAGTCCATGAAGTACAAATTATTTTTCTAGTCAAAGTGTTATACTAATTATAAGTAAAAAGAATGAAAAAATCTTCTAACTAAATTGTATTTTGAGTTGGACTGGATAACCTGCTCTAAATGACGTCAGATTTGTTCCTACAGCACAACACTATTCTGACTTTGTATACGGGCCAGTAAGGAGTGACGTAGGAGCAAGTCTGACGTATTTGAGAAGGTCATCCAGTCTACCTTATGATTGAGTCTTAGAACTAGTGACAACAGAGGCTACGAAATTTTACATATACCAATAGTAGTTCCTATGATTCATGAAAATTAGTATCAGGTAGCAAGATAGGAAAGTTACAAGAAACAGCTACCATGCATTAACTGATGATACAGAGATTAAGGGAGGAATGCAATACGAACAAAAATATTGATAGGTTATCTGTTCATTCATTCCCCCATTTGATTGTCAATAAGGGATTTTCTAATGACTCCTTTTATTTTTTCAATCATGTTCTTTATTCACTAAGGATGGACCCCAAAATTCCTTAAGATTGAAAAGAAAACCATATCTTAAGCAAATTCCTGATTTTTCAGATTAAGAGGAGTGTTTTTCAGCTTTCCTGTTTTTGATTTGTTTCAAGCACTGACACTATATTTGCCAACACTGTAAATATATTATGAATAACCTACCTTTTTATGATAGAGTAGACATTTATAAAGTGAAATAAGTTCTCCATCTTTATTTCTAAGATAATATTTGTTGATATTATTGGCCGAGTTTCGTCCATGTTTGACGACAGAGGTTTCTGATTCACTATCACTGGAACCACTGACGCTGGTGGATCTAACATGCGCTGGGATTACAAGTTTACTTTTACTTTTATTAGGACCCAATTCTGTATCTGAACTGTCTTCTTCATCATCTTCTGATCCTGATATACTTGATACATCATCTATAAAACAGATTCAAGAAAAAATTTTTTAAAGAAGAAACAGATCTGTTTCATTATATTATTAGTTTCCCACAACAAAATGGAGTTTAACTCCTATTTGTGTTCAATTATAGTCAGACCTATAGAAATATTTTAGATAACATCGGTTTGTCTACTATATATTTAACATTATCAGTCACAGTTTCTATAGGTTCCAAATTTCAAATGTGTGAGTTTAATTTTTTTTTTTTTTTTTTTTTGTACTTAAGATTTCTGTATTTAATATTACTCAAATTTATGGCATGTAAATTAAGAGACATGTGTATAGTGCGTGTAACTTCTTCCGCTGGTCATCTTTATTGCCAATCAGTCAATAGGTGCAAATAATGACTGAAATGAGGACAATATAGTCATATTTAACAAAATTAAGGCCAAAAAGTGTCCTTTAGTTAGTCATAGTGAAAACGTAGGTTGTAAACCATCTTAAGATTTTTCAGGAATAGAAATGAGTTATGTTTTGGTGTTAAGTAACAATAAAGATGGCAGTTTCTAATCAATAGACAAAAGTAAAGTGAACTTTAAATTGATATATTTTACTCATTTCTGGACCAATATGTTTGTTCTGTTGGTAAGACATATTGAGAAGGGTCTGAAAGTTTATACATGTATTTGCCTTTTAATATGTAATATTGTACCTCAATATCCCTTTAAAATTATTACATCAAAACATATACTTTTAAAATAGTACAATAACAAAGAAATAAAATACTGAATATTGTGATAAATTAACAGAAAGCCCACTCCTCACTTGCAATTTTTTCAAAGTATTCAACTTTGACAGGTTTCAAACCACCTAGTTTAAGTCGTAAATTATATCTATGCCAATCTGACTTGTAATGTTGTTCCTGAAAAACATTGAATTTAATACTGTAAGATAAACTATTATAATCCTATAAATTATGAACATTTTCAAATTGTACTGAATATGGTTCATTTCTGTTTCATCATTAGCATTTATATTGGTTTGATAGTTCCATAGTCAATAAATTGAGATCATTAAATCTAGATAAATATTTAATGGCATTTTTCATACATATTCATAGACAATTAATGTTCACAAATTATTTCATGTTCATAATATACATGTACAATACTGTAGTACACAGTGTTTTATAATGTGTGATACACATTCTTTTAATTATAATTTTACTATCAATAGTTGCATTGCCAAATAGAAAAAATCAGATGGAGTTCAATAAACAAAAGATTTTACAACAAAATGTTGGAGATTTCGGGGTTTGAAATTAGCATTAGTCTCTTAGTCTAAAACTAGTAACTTCTCTGGCTGACTAACAGAAGTTCACAGAATCCAAAAAACGTTGCAAAACATTTTAGAATTCAGATACTGTTGTTCTATAAATTTGTCTTAAAATTCCATTGGCTAAATACAATGTTTTATTAACAAATATAACATTGATCTCTTTCAGCCTTTTTTTGCTTTTCTAAGTTTAGATGTTAAACACTGACATGTTACTTCAATCTTGTGTTTTCGTTCATTTCACAAAATGTAAACTAATGAAATGAAATCAAATGGGGTTTAACGTCCTACTGTTCTGCTCCGACTGGGATAATACAGACAGAGTAAACTAATGATTTCTGTTGTTAAACATACATTATGCAAGAGCTAGATTTGCCTATTGCAGGTCTTTCTTTACGCCTTAAATGTTATATAAACCATTAATTAGACATTTATTAACAAAACAAAACCATAATCAACTCTCGATGGCATAGGATACTTGAGATTTTAACTAGATTAGAACGGTTCACATTTAAAAATTTAAATCAAAGAATCGGAAAGCGAGGCTAAGTCTCGAATATACCAGTGCCCTGGTTACCACAATGAATACATCTTGTCAAAACTACAAACAGTGATAACTTGGCTCAGAATGAAGTAATTTGAATGAAATTTACAATATTTTCATTTTACATTATCTACTCTTTTTTTTTATAAGCAATATTTTATTCAGATTTGTATTTATTTTTGAGCTATTATAGCAAAAATGTTCAGCTCTTTATCTAAATCTTACGTATTGCAAATTTAACTAATGAAAATATTACATAATTAGTCCGCTTAACAAGTATACATAATAGTTAACTTCAAACCAAGGATTTCTGAACAAGGAACTGATTGCCTAAGCTTACTCTTGGTAATCTCCTTTTTCTTGTTATTGGTGATTGATATGATCTCACAATTCCAAGATTCCTGGTTCATAAAATATGATTTTAGTTGGAAAACGCACATCTTTTTAACCTGACTACAAAAGCTGTTCTCGTTTTACTTGGTTTAAAAGTTGTGTAATGTATTTTAGTCAAATTTCAACTCCGACATATTAATCAAAAGTCAAAACATAACCCCTCCTTTGTTAAAAGTTGTATAAATTTAATTTCAAAATTACCTGATCTTTTCTTTCTTCAAATACACAATCACAACAGTTACAATACATTTTATCAGAAACTGTCAATTTTATTTTGTGGATGACATTTTTATCTGGAAAATATTGGATTATATCAGATGAAAAAGAAACATAGCAAATCCATAATACGAGTTAAGAAATATTAAGATTAGTTAAGAAAAGGGCAGGTATCATAAACCTTCCATGATTATCTTACCCATGAGGTACATGTAACATTAAAATTGACAAAGCAAAATACTCTCTGAATATGGTATTCAAAATATGTACATAGGAAATTTTGGTGCTTCTTCGACAGAGGCGGATTAAGCTCCACCAAGGCTTGAGACGGCAGTTGCTGGAGGGCCTATTTTGTTTTTAAAGTTAGAGCCAAGGTAGTTGCTAACATTAAAAACGGGATTCGTTACTGAGGTTATAATATACTATTCAAAAAAAGTAGGGGATATTTGATTTTTAAGTGTTATTAAAGTCACCTAATGAAACTGACGAAGAAACAAATGACAAAATGAAATGAAGTTCACATTCATCGATTTATTCCAAATGATCGTTAGACTAAGTAAGGCACAGACTGACCATTATAAGGGTAAAATGATACCCGGGGTCAAACAGCAAAGTTACCACAGCATCACAACCAAGTCAGTAACAGGTAAATCCTCCTGTTTGCCAAACAAGCATTGATCCGACGTGGCATACTCCTAATGAGACGTCTAAGGTCATTTTGGTCCAGATTGTCCCATTCCTGTTGCAACGCAGCAGCAAGTTCTTGGACATTGGCAGGACGTTGTTGACGTTGACGTAACCTCTGTCCAAGCATGTCCCAGACATGCTCGATGGGGGAGAGGTCGGGACTCAGTGCTGGCCAAGGTAATGTGGTGATGTTCTGTTGTTGGAGGTAACCTGTAACGATCCTGGCCCTGTGACATCTTGCGTTGTCATCCTGGAAGATGAAACGGCGGCCATGACGTCGTGCGAACGGCACAACATGGACTGCCAAGATGTTGTCCCGGTAGTACTGGCCTGTAACACGCCCTGCAACAACATATAAAGCCGTTCTTCCAGCAACAGTGATGCCTCCCCACACCATAACAGAACCACCCCCAAATCGATCATGTCTGATGACGTTAACGTCTTGGAAGCGCTCGTTTCGACGACGCCACACCCTCCTACGTCTGTCCAAAAAATCAACAGTGAACCTTGACTCATCTGAAAACATCACATTGCTCCAGCGTCGATTATCCCAGTGTTGACGATCCCTACACCAACGACGTCTTGCCTGAATGTGATGATCTCTCAAACAAGGGATCACGCGAGGACGTCGGGCACGAAGGTGACCCCTATGCAGTCGATTCCGAATCGTCTGGCCACTCACTCTCACACCAGTGTCTGTTTGAAGACGAGCGCTGATCTGATTTGCTGTGATGACACGATTTCTCAAGGCCAAGGTACGGATAAATCGATCCTGGGCTTGAGTTGTCGCCCTTGGTCAACCTGAGCGTGGTCTGTCCTGTACAGATTGTGTATCACGGTATCTGGACCATAGCCTGCTTATGACAGACTGAGAAACATTCATCGTCCGCGCCACAACCGCCTGTGTTGTGCCGATCTGTAGCATGCCAAGGGCACGTAACCTTTCATTTTGGGTAAGCCGACGCATATCAAAATTTGTTTTCTGGTCACTAAAACAATTAAACTGATGTTTCCACCCTGGAATTCAATGCCACAATGACTGTAACATTCAAAGTCAGAGTCGTGCAAATCTTGGGTTGGACCCCCATGATGATCCCAAGCATCACCTGCATTCCATGCGGTAGCTATTGGTGCGTTTGGGCGTCACATGTAACTGGAAATGTTTCTTCTGTTAGGTTCTATAGTGACTTTTTTCGTAGTCATTTGCATATTTTAGTATTATGCCCCCAAAATCAAATATCCCCTACTTTTTTTGAATAGTATATTATTAAAATATTAGTTATAACTATTGAAATTTGTCGTACAAAATGCTTTGACAGCAGAAACGTCACCGTAAACCAACTGTACATAAACCGATTTTCATGGATAATATTTCCTCATGATGGGGTGTTTACATCGAAACTAGCGCAAGATCTTTTGCTAGATATTTTTTCGTAACCCAAAGTCGTTTGATATTGGTAATGTAACTTTATATGCCCATAAATGACGTCACGTGGATACAATATATTAAGCAAGACATAACCGAAAACTTACAAGGATTTAACGTACATTGTAGGCCTACGTTTAAAAAATAAGATCAGATCTCCAAACAATAGGGCCTATTTAAAATGGCGTGGGCCTAATTAATTTCGAGTGAGGGCCTATGTTGATTCCCGTTGGGCCTAAACCCCACCCCCCTAACATTCATTGTCTATGCGTTTTTAAATCATATCAGACAAGTCTAAAAAAAATTTTTTTACAAAATCTTTGGGCCTGAGGCTGCAGCCTCATCAGCCTCACTGATAATCCACTACTGTTCTTCGATAGAACCAACATACGCTAAGCGACATAAAGGATTAGAAACATATTTAATGATCAAGGCTTATCTGAACAGTGGAACACCTTTACAAAATCCCTTTATAGTCCGGCAGACCTATGGCTGAACCTGGAAATTGTATGCAAAGTTTTTTTTATGATTGATTTTAGTAGCCTAGGGTGTCCTCGTTCAGAATCTGCCGGGTGAACCTCGGTCACCCTTGAGCGTTTTGAGAAATTCAAGATGGCGTCCAAGACGGACGCCACATCAAATAATCCCCTATAGCTCCCATAGTATTTATTCTAGGATGATAATTTTGGTGTCTAACCGTATGTTTCTGGGGTCAAGGAATACACTGAAATCATGTATTATGTTGTGGGGTGATTAGATGATATTAAAATCAAACATGCCAAACAATATGGCCCTTTAACTAGTTAGCGGCATTTGGGGGCGATTATTTCACCGAACCAAACTAAATCTAGAGACAAACTATATATTTCTGGACATAGGAGCATATGAGTGATAGGATAACACCAAATACAGCCCTATCAGGGGCTCTGGGGCCACATGGGTCAGTCCTGAAAATGGAGACACAAGCTGATTGTTGAACATTTAAAAAAAGAAACATAACTTCAACAAAACTAGGTAATATCCAGTTTAATACTTTAGTCGTGTTTCTGGCTGCAACCTGTGACAGCACAAGCGCAAAATATTGTATATTCTAAGCCATCCCTAGTGCAGCTACAAGCGCACGTACTACATGAGCTGTCACTATTGCACCCACATCTGACGAGGCACATGGCAAACTCCGGAGCACGTTTACCGGTTGTAATGTTTTCAATTTTGTATCTTTCTCCCAGCAATACTGTTCCAGATCAAGTTCCGGTGGATTCCGATCTTCCAGTGAACGCCACACAATAGCTTGGTGATGAGCTCTTTTTACGTTCTCTGCAAATGTATCATTCGTTGAGCAAGATTACATGGTTTGGGTGGAGCATAATGACGATACATTTCCAGTTGTAGATGTCCACACCCTCCAGCGTGTTTCAGACATAGATTTTTAGAACTCTGTCCATAACAAGCTGACATAAATACAGTGGTCAGTGTAACTGTGTGAGCAATGATTCTATTGGAGTGTCTATCACTCCGACGAGTGGGGTGAGAGAGAATACAATCAAGTTCTAACCACTTTCAAGACTGTTGATTTCCCCACGACGTAGCCGCATGTAACTGTGTCACATCCAGTAAGAGAATGAACTGGCAGGATTTCAGTGATAATTGACATGTGTTTCTCCGTAGTTTGACCAATGTCAACGGTTGTTCCTTCCTGGATTGGTGATTCCACTGCACGTTTTGGACCAAGCTCTTGCAAATCGATGACTTAACATGCTGGAAGGTATCAGGCATCTAAAACTGGAAATGTATCGACATCATCCCCACCTAAACCATGTAGTCTAGCTCCAACGAATGATGCATTAGCAGTGAACATAAAAATATGACATCGCTAAGCTATTGAGTGGCGTTCACTGGAAGATCGGTATCTGACGGAACTTGATCCAAAACTGTATTGCTGGGAAAAGGGCACTAAATTGAAAACATCACAACCGGCAAACTTGGTCCGGAGTCTGCCATGTGGCTCATCAGATGGGGATGCAATAGTGACAGCTTAGAATATACAATATTTTGCGCTTGTGCTGTCACGGGTTGCAGCCAGAAACACGACTAAAGTATTTAACTGGATATTATCTAGTTTTGTGGAAGTTATGTTCCTGTTTTGCGGGTAGAATTTGTTTTTTTAAATTTTCAACAATCAGCTTGTGCCTCCCTTTTCAGGACCGACCCATGTTGCCCTGAAGGCCCTGATAGGGATGTATGTGGTGTTATCCTATCACTCATACGCTCCTATGTCGAGAAATATATAGTTTCTCTCTAGATATAGTTTGGTTCGGTGAAATAATCACCCCAAACCCCCGCTAACTAGTTAAAGGGTCATATTGTCTGGCATGTTTGATTTTAATATCATCTAATCACCCCACAACATAATACATGATTTCAGTGTATTCCTTGACCCCAAAAACATACGGTTAGACAGCAAAATTATCATCCTAGAATAAATACTATGGGAGCTATATGGGATTGGACGCCATCTTGAATTTCTCAAAACGCTCAAGGGTGACCGAGATTCACCCGACAGATTCTGAAAGAGGATACCCTAGGCTACTAAAATCAATCATAAAAAAAAACTTTGTATATAATTTCCAGGTTCACTCGAAAAATCGGGTTTGGCGACCGGACTATTAGGCCTATATTTCATTGGTTTGTATAAGGGCTATGTTTTGATAGAAGATATATACAGAAGGTTTTTACATCTCAAGTTTCAAACACTGACTATGAATACAATTTGTACAAACCTTTATCTGTGTCACTGTCATAAGCTGCTTGTTGATTTTCAGTGGAAGGATTACAACTAGCCACCGATAAACTTTTTAATTTTTCTTTGGCTTCATTTGTATTATACAACATACATACAGAATAAGTCTTTGGTTTAACTCTTGCAAGCTTTCCTGGCACCTTACTAGTAAGAGTTGTAGAGGCCATTTTCTTTTTAATTTGACCCTGGAGAAATATTGAGATCATATCTTATATTCAGCTCTGTTTATAAAAAGTCAAATGTACATGTACATAAACTCCAAATAAAGTTTTGAGAATTATATTTCCACTAATGATGGAAATGGTGAGACATTGTTTATAAGGAGGTACTTGGTCATATCACTGTCTTTCAATGCCATTGGGGTCATGTGGCGCCAAATAGATTTGGTGTTTTGATTCAACTTTGCCCACAAAATCTCATTATAAACTAAATTGATCAGTGTCAATTAGCTCCCAAGGTTATAACATGTACTGAACGAAAAGCTAAGCCTCCGTGGACCACAAGATTCTGATACCGAATCCGTCTGTAGCCATTATTCACTGGTGTTTCAAGACTAAACTATAATCTTACTATGTACCTCATTAGAAAATTTGATGAAACACGCGGCAGCAGCAGTTTTTTTTATTGCCACGATGATGTGTTCACAAAATAGAATTTATTCGTAATAAATACATTGATCTTTTTGACATAATAATGATCAGCTTATTTCTGCTAACGATGGAAAGAGAAAGATATTTTACAATGCACTAAATATGACTCGTTGGCAAAGTCACATGACAATATTTAGATGAATACAGTAGATGCAGTGTTTTTATTACCATTTGCCCAATGCACTCATCATAAGGTAAATCAGATCAGTGTCATTTACATGTAGCTTTCTTTTCGAGGTGATCACATTTACATGTACCGACTGAACAGACGAGCTTCTATGGACCACCCTATCCTTTTTGATGATTAAAGACAATCATACCCCGCCATATACACACATTGTGAGACATTGTTGTTGATATTTAGAATCTTGATGTACTTGCAACATACAGGCTAGTCTTAGACACCTCCCCCTCCCCCCCCCCAAAAAAAAATAAATAAATGAAAAAACACTATACATCATAAATAAAATAATTTTGAATTTGTACTATCAGTATCCCTAGTTACTTTATAAGAATCCGTTACTATAGGCTAATACTAAAGTAACCACACAGTACAGTTTCCCCATATATATCTATGTCCAATAAGTGGATAAGAATCTGTTACTAAAGTAACTACCATATCTATATATAATACTGACACTGTAATAGTTACTTTATAGTAACAGATTTTTATCGGACTCTATGAAATTTAGGTAAGCAGGTGAAACAAAATTGGAATTATTGAAAAAATTTGATTGTAATTGGGCTAGGCAAAGCAAAAAATGACTGAAGATTCTCAAGTTACGTAAATTTGTGCATTACCCTATATTTAGATTTCAATGGCTTCTGCCAAGCTTTTTAGCAGAAGGGGGCGTATTTTTAACAGCATGTTGTGTTGCACATGTTTTCTCACTAAAATGTTCCTTTACATTGTTCTGGCGTTCACAGAAACTGACACAAAAATTGGAATTATTGAAAAAATTTGATTGTAATTGGGCTAGGCAAAGCAAAAAATGACTGAAGATTTTCAACTTATCAAACATTCCAATTTTTTTCCCCCAGCTTACCTAAATTTTGTTTCGTCATATATGGCCGAGTTATGTAAATTTGTGCATTACCTTATATTTAGATTTCAATGGCTTCTGCCAAGCTTTTTAGGAGAAGGGGGCATATTTTTAATAGCATGTTGTGTTGCACATACTGACTCTAGAGAGGTAAGCAAGGTCTTGTTTTCTCAATAAAATGTTCCTTTACATTGTTCTGGCGTTCACAGAGACTGACACACGATCGTTTAGCAGTAAAAAGTTCCCCAGTCAATTTGACTTGGGGACGATACTTTTTCGACAAGGATTCAATAGGACGGTTACTGAATGTACAGGGCGAGTGTATTGAGACCTATGTTCAGAGCTCAACTATTATTACTAATAGGCCTACTAAGCTAGTACCGGTACTAAAGAGTAACTTACTAACTACTGTACAAATATAGAGCGAAGCTCTAAAGCACCGCGCTCTTGAGCAAAGCTCTTTTCCGGTAACACAGGAGCGTAATTGAAAATGTCACCCCCAGACTATTAATTAAAAAAAAATTCAGACCGGAACCGGATACACTGGGCAAAACAGGCAATGCGCATGTCAACTTACCAAATCTCGCCCAAGCGAGATCACGTAACTAACAAAAATAATTCTACACACCAAATCTCGCCCAAGCGAGATTACGCGCCTCATAGAAGTATTTCTATGACGCATCTAATCAATGACGTCACATATTTTTTACGTCAATGAAAATAATTCTGACAGTTATTTGTTCTTTTTTTAAAAACAAAATTAATGTATAAAATTTAGATCTAAAGAAAAATCAATTTTGAAAAACTAAATTATTTAACATTTTTTGTATCACTTGAGAAAATTAATTATGAAGGTTTTATATTTGACAATAATCGGCTTCGCTCTACTCAGGCAATGCCTGTTACATATTAAACACCGCGCTAATGCACTTTCGTACACCTAGTACTTGCCGTGGTCCCATAAATAATATGACATATGATGTACCTTTTTTGCTTTCGGTTTCTTCTCCTACACAATTTAATCAGTTTTTGGTGAAAAAAATCATTTGCATACAACTTTTACTAACCTTTATCGATAACTAAAAAAGAGCGATTTCACAACATAACAAAATATAACCCAAAATATGGCATTTAATGGTGAAATAATTCTTAATTTATTTTTAAGACGCCATACTGCTTCCGGTTTTTGTGATTTCAGAAACCACGAAATGATTTCATTTTAGGAAAATTATTTAAACACTTTTGTGTCACTAATAACGAAATCGAATATTGAGTGATTAATATTAAATTCTATACTTTACGATAATATGTTTTTAAGATTTTTAAAATAAATAATTTTATATGTTTCGTACCGTGCAATTATTCAATTATTTTATAATTAATTTATCGGGAGAGCTTAGGTTGGAGACGGTCTATATGACGTCATATGTAGAGTATGGGTTAGGACAGCAGATTTCGCCAAGGACTCGAGATGTAAACAGAGCCAATGCTAACCATAGTGCTAATCCTAACCCTAAACCATAGAACTGTACGATCTATGTCTAAACACTATCCTAACCTACAATCCACATACAAATATGACGTCAATTGTGCTACACCGTCTTCGATCCGTTGATCTATTTTGTTCTCCAAATTATCGGGGTTGTCCAGTCCCATAACGTTTTTTGAAAATAATGTGGTCCTGAAAAGCAGGACTACATCGTACCATCTAAAAATATCCAAACACGCCATGCGAGAATTGTCAGGCGATTTGATATTAAAGTTTTGTATTAAGAGATGCTTGGCAATTGCTTTACATTTTTTAAACACGTATCAATCAGAGTAGGGCTTCAGACAAGTCAACAACACCTTAAAGAAAGAAAACGTCATATCATACGAAATTTTAACTTATGGTAAGAATCAAGATACATTAAATTAGGAAGAAATTGTAGTACGAAATTGTTGCCGGTTAAAAAATGAAAGTAGCTATCGTAGTAGTCTTTTTTATGGCTATTTATATTTGTTAGCTGCTAAGTAGATATTAAATCTCTGACCTAAATATAAGAAACATGCACGGTTCGCGTAATTATGTGTGGCCATTCCAAGTCGATTAAAAACACTACTTGATTGATTTAATTAACTGACATTGTTTGTCATTGACATAATATTTAAAATATTAATTAATAGTAAAATTAGTGACAATTAATGAATTATACAATATTTGCAAAAGTATTGGGTATGTTAAATAGTCCTAACTAATAGTATAAAATGATCTTGCTTTTAAATAAGATGCTACATTAAACATACATTATGCAAGAGCTAAATCTGCCTATTGCAAGTCTTTCTTTAGGCTTGAAATGTTATCTAAATTAAACATACATTATGTATGCAAGAGCTAAATATGTCTATTGCAGGTCTTTCTTAAGGCCTGAAATGTTATCTAAATTATTAATTAGACATTAATTAACCATAATCCACTCTAGATGGCATCGCTAGCCTGCGATCTTTAGTGGATTATGAGCCGATTTACTGCATAACTTTCCTTCACGATTTAACGATTAAATGGATAACCGAGACTATGCTGTTTATTGTACTGACTTTAGTAATGATGATCAAGGCTAGGTGGAAATTTCAACCGCTTAGTTCTCGGTTCATCATAGTGGATCAAATTGAATGAAATTTTCAGCAAATTGCCTTTACATTATCTAGTTTTTAAAACTATTATAGTGAGAACTGCCAACTTGTTATCGAATCTCCCATAATGTATCTATCACTTATCCAGACCAACTCCGATGGCATCGCTAGCCTGCGATGTTTATTGGATTACATTCCGATTTGCTGTTCGACTTCCATTCCTAATTAAATCAAAAATTGGATAATCGAGACTATGTTTTTTATGCTACCGACTTTAGTAATGATGATCGAGGCTAGCCCCAATATTCAATCGCTAAAATCTTGGTTCATAGTGGATCATTTTTCAGCAAATTGCCTTTACATTATCTAGTTTTTAACTATTATACTTTTGTCCAGAATGACGTCATAAAAGTTTAATTATAAAATTAGTGTTAATGATTTTGTTATTATATATTTCAGTGCTTATAGATCAACAGTCTCACAGAAAATGTCGTCTGAAAATGTATTAGCGGGTTTAGATGATACTCAAGTTAAATTAATGCAAGAAGAATGTATATTGGTAGATAAGAATGATAAAAATATTGGCTCGGCTTCAAAAAAAGAATGTCATCTATTAAAAAATATTAACAATGGTAATTCAATTCTTCATTCTTGCTGCATGAATGTATGATTTCTCTTATGATTTAAAGTAGCTAAGTCTCTAACTCAATATCATCCAAATTCTTCGACATTGAAGACACAAATCATTTGTCTATTTAAATCAACATTGATGGTGTGTTCTTACCGGGAAAAGGTGGGCTTCTGATATCCAATATTTAAGACAAAATAAACATTTTACTATTGGTACACGAATCGTGTACCTACCATAATGCGTTTCAACATCATTTGTAACAAGGGGCTCGAAGAACGAGGCTAGACATATTCCATAAGTCATGTCAAACGATGACGCTATATTCTCATCTGGAGAGCATGCGCAATAAATAATTTCAGTGTAGACTGATATAACCAGACTCTGGAAGTAGACCAAATTGTCTTTGTATCTTAAATCAAGTACCACAAAATTCAAATTTTGTGCAAAATAAATATACTGGTACTGCTTAAATCATAGACAAAAATATTGATTTGCAATTTGAGCAAGCATTGTATTTACAATTATAAAGAGAATAAAAATACAATAATTGTTGGTAATTGAAGACTAGTGAAGATCTGATAATCGGGTATAACATCGGTAATTGGCCGATAAGTGGCATATCGGTAGGAATTGGTATCGGATGATACATGTCCATTTTGCCGATACTGAAGTGGCCGATATCTGTTCAAAAGGACTCAGTAAATATCTTCAAAATATCATTTGAGTTGTGAACAAATCATTACTTTGCTTGACAGCCGTTACTTTTTCTAGTTCAACAGTAGTTGTCATGCATATGGTTACTTAGACATAATACAAGACTCTCACAAAGGCCATAAAAAGGACAGAATAAATGGTTCAAAATCCTTACCGGTTTACATTATTTTTTTTAATCCTTATTCAGGCATTGTTTGAGAGTTCGGGTCTCTCAATGCGTTTTTTAAGAATATCATTTATGCGCATGTGCAAACAGACATTAACCTACAACAGTTCACCCGATAAAATGCAGGAGTACATCTCGGTGGCCCCTCTTTGATCCCATTTTCAATCCGTGCTGATATAGTATGTCATCATGCAGTGAGCTTATTCCAAAAATATGAGATAACAAACTAGACGAACAATACCTACATGTATATAAGTTTTAGTAAGGGGTGGAAGGTGGGGGGGGAGGAATATTGCTTTGATGTCAGGTGACTACTGTCAGAACTACATCTGGCATACAGGTGTATAGATGCTGATAAGCATTGGACATAATTTAGTGATTTGTATTGTTATGTACTTTCTCACATAATTTATATCGTTATCAACATTTAATAACTCATAACATATATCATACTTACTTCATAATATTACAAACATACGTTAATTTCCCAATAGATGGTTTTATTTTCAAGAAATGGCAGTAGAATGTCACATGATTGCCACTGTTGACAGATGGGAAGCTATCACTTTGATGTCATACGAACCATTCTGCCATCTATTATAGACATACAGGTGCCGATCAATTTAGGGAATTATATCCTAATCAACATTTAATAACTGATAATCTTGACTTTATTAATTCTAATAATTATGTGTATTTTTGACTGTGTAGGAAGCGTGACCCAATTATTCTTTCAAAAAACATCACATTTGTGTTTGATTCCCAAGGTAAAATAGTACCAGACGTTTCCCTGACCAACAATGACACATATCTATATCGATTATCATAACATTTGATAGGATTGTTCGATATACCTTTGTTTGTTTGGTATATCGTAATAAAATCATCAACGATTTTATCATGTCAGACTTATTTGAAAATATTGAAAAAACAGTATAACCAAGTCGTTTAGAATTTATAGTAGTTTTAATTTATTTTTACAGGAATGCTCCACAGGGCTTTTAGCGTTTTCTTATTTAATACTAAAGGAGAGTTGTTATTACAACAAAGATCAGATGAAAAAATAACATTTCCTGGTAAGTTAATCAATGAAATTAATTTATTTACAATGATGTAGATGTATATAACTGGGTTAAATTAGCCTATAGATGTATATGACTGAGTTAAATTAGCATAGATGTATATGACTGGGTTAGATTAGTCTACATATGTATGTGACTGGGTTAGATTAGTCTATAGATGTATACTATGACTGGGTTAGATTAGTCTATATGTGTTTATGACTGGGTTAAATTAGCCTATAGATGTATGTGGCAGGGATATATTTAGTTTACACATGTATTTCAGACCATTTTACCAACACATGTTGTAGTCATCCATTAAATGTAGAAGGAGAGGTTGATGAAGTTAAAGCCCTTGGTGTACGAAAAGCGGCTCAAAGAAAATTAAAACATGAATTAGGAATTGAACCACAACAGGTATTAATGATTGATTTTATATGTATGTGGAAAAAATTTAATATCGGCAACTACAATGAAATGGGGTTTAACACCCTACTGTTCTTCTCCGATTGGGGTAATGAAGACGGACTAGCTACAATGAAATGAAATAAAATGGGGTTTAACGTCCTACTGTTCTGCTCCGAACTGGGCTAAAACGCCATACAGTGTGCTATGAGGGAAATTTTGCCCGGACAGTGGCACTACGGCCTACTCTTATATCGAATTCCAAACTGTCATGAATTAGGAATTGAACCACAACAGGTATTAACGATTGATTTTATATGTATGTGGAAAAAATTTAATATCAGCAGCTACAATGAAATGGGGTTTAACACCCTACTGTTCTTCTCCGATTGGGGTAATGAAGACGGACTAGCTACAATGAAATGAAATAAAATGGGGTTTAAAGTCCTACTTTTCTGCTCCGAACTGGGCTAATACGCCATACAGTGTGCTATGAGGGAAATTTTGCCCGGACAGCGGCACTACGGCCTACTCTTATATCAAATTCCAAACTGTCAAGGGATCTTTTACGTGCACGCCAATGTGTACAGGGGACCTCGGTTTTCCGTACCATCCGATCGACTAGACAGCTGTCCTTGTTAGGCCCTCCGTCATGCATCACTGACAAGGGGGAACCACGCCGGAAAATCTGGATGAACTTTCTCGGCCAATGCAGGGATCGAACACCCGACCTCCAGGCTAGCGAGCCAGCGTCTTACCCACTTAGGCAATAGCTACAAGAAAACTGGTGAACAATAGTATACTATATAAACAGTACTTGAATACAGTGCAGATAATATTAATTAAAGCCCTTGCCAGAATAATTGGTTCATAAAGAAATACTTAAAAACTGTAATCAATAAATAAACTCTTTTATTATAAGTACATAAAAAGTGTCAAGTTATTTGGATGAGATGAAAAGCTGATGTTCTGTGTACATGTTGGCATGCAATGTTAAAATATCCTTGACAGTGGGAATTCCAAAAAGAGTAAGCACAATCGCTGCTGTGTAGGCAAAACTTCCTTCATGCCCATCTTCATTAGCCCTGTCAATGCAGAAAAGTAGGACATTAAACCTCATTTCAATTCATTTCAAATGTCAAATCTCTCAATCTGTGGTGTCATACATTTTTTATTGCTACAGGTGCCTTTAGAAGACTTCCATTATTTAACCAGAATATTATATAAAGCTGATAATGTACCGTATGATGGTAAATGGGGCGAACATGAAATAGATTATATTTTATTTATTCAAAAAGATGTTGATTTAGTGCCAAATTTGAATGAAGTTAAAAGCCACAGATATGTTAGTCAGTCAGAACTAAAAGAATTAATAGGTAAGTGGAATTGTTCTTCTGAATATTGGTTTCCATGGCATCTGTAGACACATCACAAGACTTACATGGCCATAAACATGCTTACATAATGGTTCCAGAGATTGATGGGACTGATTGAATTAGTTTATATACATTTTAACATGTGTTCCCGAGGAACAGAAAATCAAATGGCTGTGGCCTTAAATACATTTTCCCTACTTACTGATTTACTTTGATGTGTACTAATTAATTGGTTCTTTAAGGGTCAGATTCTATCATTATGGAGTGACCCAGTAACTTCAAAGGCTATGAATGACACAAATTGATGTGGAATCTTGTATTGTCATGGGGGAAACTTTAGTAAAAAAAATGGATGCTGACTGTAACTAGATCTCATTCTGTCTTATAAAAAATGATCTTAACATAGTTGACAATATTCAATTTTTTATTTCAATTAAACTTACATGAAATTTTGTCTCTTAGTTGTCATACTATTTAGCAAGTGATCATGTTTAAATATTTTAAGTTGCTTTTAATATTTCAGCATCAAGAGTAAAGTCTGGTACTCTCATTACACCATGGTTTAAACTTATAGCTGAAACATTTCTCTATAAATGGTGGGATCATTTAGATGATTTAAACAGTCAGAAAGATACAGACAAACTTCATCGCATGATTTAATAACTTATCAATATCATCTTTTTTTATGCACCCAAATGGAAATGTGGTTGTATATTGCCGTCGAAACCGACTGTCCTTCATACACAATTTCTTGTGAACACTCTGCAGACCACATTTACTATCTGATCGGTTGATATATACTGTTTACATCAGTGAGATGGAAAAGCCTATTTAAATTCAGCAAGTTATGGCCCATGTTTCACTTTGTTGAACCCTGTGAATTCTCTTTCCACAGAAGTTATCATCCGATGTATATGAAATTTTACATGCATCATTTAAACTAGTGAAGCCTATTCAATTTCAATAATTGCTGTTAATTACTTCTAGAGATATGGCCCTTGTTTCGCTTTGTTGAACCTTGTGAATGCTCTATTGACTATAGTATCATCTGATCTGTATGAAATTTATAGGCGTAATTTAGATCACTACAATGAAGAATCCTATTGGTATTCAACAATTTCTTTTAATTACTTCTTGAGTTAAGGGCCTTGTTTCACTTTGTTGAACCCTGTGAACGTTCAATCGACAAAGTTATCATTCGATCTGTATGAGATCAGTAAAATGAAGAAGCCTATTGAATTTAAATACTGTTAATAGCTTCTACAGTCATGGCCCTTGTTTGACTTTGTTGAATCTTGTGAACATTTGATCTGTATGAAATTTATATCCGTGTCCTGTAAATGCTCCCCTTACCTACAAAAGCTTAAATATGCGACAACCCTTGTCAACTCCTCCGGTGATTTAGCTGCTGTTGGCATATAGTTTGTTGTTTGGCAACCTATCTTTATTTTATGCATACATTATAGTATGATAGCTGGTGTGTATGTGTTTTGTTTTCTGGCAATCCACTGGCTTTCATATTGTGTAAATGAGTAGAACACTAAAAGATGACCTTTCAAGCCAATGAAACAATAAAAGGTTAGAGATGAGATTGTCCTTGCTACATTTGACATGACAGTAACTATCAGACAGCAACAATAACCACACAAAAAAGAAAAAGAAACAAAAGTATGGCCATATTTTTAATTACAATGTAATCTATAGCTGCCGACTAATCAAGGGTGACGTGCTAGTATCCATCAACTCACGAAAATGTAATATACAAATAAATAATTATTATGTCCATTCATTTCTTTATGTTGTTTTCTTGATTGTTTTTAGGTTTTCATTAGTGGAGAGGTTTTATGGAAATTTATGTTGTTTTAAAATGTATATGTTTCATTAATGGAAGTTAAGAATATATATTTTCATTTGTTTAGAGATTTTATGGATATATTTTCATTGATGGACTTTAAAAGCATATATTTTAAAATGTATATGTTTCATTAATGGAAGTTAAGAATATATATTTTCATTTGTTTAGAGATTTTATGGATATATTTTCATTGATGGACTTTAAAAGCATATATTTTCATTGAAGGAGAGATTTTATTTTCATAATGAAATGTAAACATAAGGTAATGGCACTTGAGTGTTGAAATGAGTAGTTTACATCGTGGAGAGAGAAATCTGGTTGAACATCAAAATACACTTTTTTAAAAAAATAATTCTCTTCCACGGAGGGGCCTTTAGAAGTAGGAAGAAATCAGAGTATCTGATGAAAAACCACAAGGTTAGGTCCACTAGAGACAACCCTCTCTTTAAACTCGACGACTTGCATGAGATCACCAAATGCTTTTAAAAGAATATTTCAGAAAAAAGAAAATGAACTACTCTTAAGAGAATTCTTCAACTATTCAGCACTCAATTTCCATTACCGTACATTATACTACCATATGCAGTCGAACAAAATATTTATATTTATAATCAAAGGTTGTTGTCAGGACTCAGTACATGTATATTGATAATGCAGTCATTGTGGCCTAAAATTGAATATCAATATCAAAAAGATGTCTGTGATATTCGATCATTATGATATCTAATTAAATACTGTAATAGATAAGACCTTCAAATTAATGGATGTTTTGAACAGAAAATTAAATTTCATTAGAATTCCAACAGCAGATTGTTGACAATTACAATTTATTAATATTATGTGTTATATTAATAGAAATACATGTAATGTGGTATGGGTTAATCGTATAACAGCAAAATTAATTACAAATATATCATCCAACAAAATATTCAAATCTTTATATAATGACAGCCATGTATTATGAAATATCAATGTAAATCATGTAGGTACAGTGAATATATACATGTCATTTGTTTCATTGTATATTAAAATTAATTAACATAAATTGTTGTTTGAAGTTACACTACCCAAGATACATTTTGATATTCCACGGGAAAACATGCCATAGGATATCTGTGGGATATCATTGCCATGGTGTATCACAGATTAAGCAGTAGTTATCTGTATTGAGCACTTACCTGTCATGTTAATGTTGTCTGTGGTACTGTTTTGAGATCCCACTCACATTACTGGGCATGTTACCATTCTTAGGGTCTACTGTCTTGGGATCCTACACGGTTCCATGGTAATGTTATCTGTGGTACTGTGTTGGGATCCCACTCATGTCCATGGGAATGTCATATGTGATACTGTGTTGGGATCCTATTCAGTGCCATTGTTATGTTATTTGTGGTTATGTGGATATGATATGTTCCCGCCCACCAAACAAACCAGCCTTTTGCTGGTCATGAAATATTATACAGATTTAAACATGCATTATGCAAGAGCAAAATCTGCTTATACAAGTCTTTCTTTAGGCCTGAAATGTTATCTAAATTATCAATTAGACATTAATTAACTTATCCAGACCATAATAAACTCTCGATGTCAAGGCTAGCCTTCGATGTAGGCTGGATTAGATTCCTATATGTCGCTAACGGCCAAAGATAATTAAATCAGAAAAAGTGGATAATCGAGACTATGTTGTTTATATTAATGATTTTAGTAATGATAACCGAGACTATGCAAAAATTTCACCGGCTTCTTTCTCGGCTCATAGTGGATCAATTTGACTGAAATTTTCAGTAAATTACCTTTACACTATCTAGTTTTTAACTATTATAGTGAGAACTGCCATCTCTTTATCTTATCTCCCATAATGTATCTTTAATTAACCTATACAATACAGTAACGTATATGTTAATGTGTTCTATATTATGATTCTGACCAACTCAGATTTTTTGGTTTAAACTTGAAAGGCTTCTGGAGAAATTGTTTTCATCTTTAAATATTTAAAGATAAATTATGGGAGATTAGATAAAGAGCTGGCAGTTCTCACTATATTAGATAAAAACTAGATAATGTAAAGGGAATTTGTTGCAAATTTCAGTCAAATTGATCCACTCTGAACCAAGAATTTACTTGGGATCCTACTCACTGTGAATATTGTTTCTGGATGAGGTAAAAAATGAAAACTTTTATAAACAGTGTAGATGAGTAAGATGCAGGTGTTCATCTTTAGAATTTGTATCCTTTAAATTGTTTGTGGAGTATAGAAATAATTCTGCAGTGGTAGTGGTGGGGCCAGGATTTTTCAGAAGGTGGGGCTAGGGGGCTAAATACATGATTTGACATATTGGATAAGGAACATAATCAACAAAAATAATTGCATCTTATTGGCATCTGCCTCATGGGGCTAAGAAAAATTGGTAGCTTTCACTGGAAAGTACATACATTAATTTGTGAATTTGCCTGGCATTGATTCTATTATCTTTTCTATACAAGTCAATCCTATCTTGCTGTGTTAGATATTTGAAGTGCTTTGTTATATTGTAATAACAGTCTTTATACAGAGAGAATAATGTCTAAAGATGAAAATAGAACATATTCTTGTACTGCTGTATTAAAATAGATATTATTTTCCTTGATATTTGGCTCGTTGCGCCCTACTTGATATTATACCAGTAGACACCCAATTTTGTATGATATCATCGGGAGGCACAGCTATACAAAAAGCTGTTTTATTATTGTTAAATGAACATTGACATCGAAACACTGATAATATACACATTATAAATACATGTTATATACACATTATAAAAAATACTACATTCATGACTAGCTGATAGTATATTAGATTTTATTTGTACTTGGGATCCTACTCACTGTGAATATTGTTTCTGGATGAGGTAAGTATTTTAGTAATCCAGGGCCGGTGGAAGCAATTCTTGATTGTGATTTGGGGGGGGGGGGGAGTGCTATCCTAGGACTTTAGGCGAGGGTCAAGGGCCCGCCTAGACCCCGGAAGCTCCTGGTGATCTGGAGACGCTTTCTGGCTAAAGAAATTACTCAGCAATGTTTCTTAATCCTTTACTATGCAAGCACATTCGATGGATGGTGGCTTCCTGTGATGCTGAACTTGACAAATATATGCATAATAATTCCAAGATTGTGAACACTCTAGAGGTCACAATTTTTATACGATTTTGATGAAACTGACAATGTATATTTATAACCGAAAGATCTCGACATGTTTAGCTTGTTGACCCTCTAGACCCCACAGTTTTTATTTGATTGACAAAACCGATCAACTATATCACCGTTGCCCCATAATTACGGCCGAGTTTAAATTTCGTGAAAATCGGACCCAAACTGCCCGACAAAATGGCCGCTACCCTTAAAAGCATTTAATACCCATGTTGTGATGAAGAGGTTTGAATTTTCATCCAATTATTTTGATATATATAAAGGCCGGGTTCCTTTCGATATTGGCACGTATTGGACCGTAGCTTTCTGGATTATGATCCCTAATTTACGAAATATTACGTTTTTAGCTTGTGGACCCTGTAGAGGTCAACATTTTTATCTTATTTCCAAAACCGTTCAAATGTATCACTGTTACATCATAATTATGAATTTCCTGAAAATCGGACCGAATGGCCATGACTCTCCTTTACGCAAATAATATAAAAGCATGTAATACCAAGGTTGTGGACCACCTAGAGGTCAGATGTTTTATCCGATTATGAACTTAAAACGAGTATCACTAGCTCTTGGATGAGTTCAATTTTGGTGCACATTGGCATCTACCTTTTAAGCAAAATGTGAAATATGAATGAAGTTTGTGGACCTTCCTGAGGCTACAATTTTTGTCTGATTCATGAGATGAAACTTAAACTAGTGTTAAGGATCAAAAGTTGGTAGGAATGTGCCCCCTAACTTTCGGGAAGACGGGTAAAGTGAAAACAAAAATTAATATTTCATCTAGTTGGCAAAATAAAATGCCCGAAAGCCGAAATCTAATAACACACTAATTTTACTTTCCTTTTTATTGAATACTGCATTGACTATAGATTGTCTGGAGTCACTCTATTTTGTGTGACAATTTTCGGGCATCTATTATGTTTTGTGAATGCAGCTGCAACAGCCTGATTGGATGGTTGGAATTTGGGTCGGCTTAGAGTGGGATTTCGGTTGAAAACCGATTGGAAACTTTGAAGTAGCTTAATTCTTGGGCTAGAACAGCAGAAAAACGCAATTACGGTGATTAAATTTGAAGTATCTGTATTCACGGGATGGTCTCGTACGCCTATGCATCACAGGATTATTTTATGTATAGATTTAAAAAATTTAAAAATTACGTCATGCTCCAAATGTATAAATAATGAATTTATTTATCGTTGATTTTATACACATTCACTCATCGTCTTCTTTATTTAAACATAGGAGCATAAACTGTCTGACAATTTTATTTGCGCAAACCAGTGAAGTGTTACATAGAAATAGAAGATGTTAATACAACCGCCTTAATGCTTGCTAGGTTCCCACTATCACGGTTCGCGCCAGGATAACGTGTCTGCGACCGTCAAATTTTCCAAATTAACTTTAGGAGGGGGGTCGACATGGGAAGCTCTGCTCCTTCGCCTTTCGCAGACGAACGGCCACACCATATGTAACCCGCAATTAATTTTTTCTTTTTATAGGGAGGGTTGGGGGGGAGGGGTAATTCAGGTTCTGTCCCCCTTACATTCATCGAGCCCGTGCGCCTTTGCTTGCAACTAGGGGTCTCTCAACCCAGGGATCGGTATAGAGCATAACAGTGTTTTCTTCCGAAAGCCTACGTTTTTGAAGTCTAACTTCTATGTTAAAATCAGACTTCATTGTATCTAACGGCATAATTACTTGCGTATACAATAACCCGGAGAAAAGTGTACATGGGGCCAAATTATTGCGGGGGCTAAAGACCCCCCACCCCCACCCCGCCGGGCCTGTTAATCTATTAATTGTTATAATGGTTTTTAATGTATGACTGCTACAACCTATAGACTGGGTTGGTTGATATTACATAATACTGACATTACATATAACTGGCTGTATGTTTCTTCATATACTACTGTTGAACTTAAGCTGATGATCAGTAAGAAATTGGCTATATGTGGATATGTGTTTAGTTTAATTAGTTATAATACTGTATAGGCAACAATATGTTACACTATTCAACAGCTGACTTCATATTTATTTTTTCTTAACATAGATATATCAGAGAACTGTACTAGAATACAATCTAAGGATATATGATATAATTAGTTGAGGATAAAAGCTAAGAAAGTTTTTATAATATATGTAAGTTTGGGGGTTTTTTTTTAATTTTTAGATGTTTTGAATTGAAAATCAGTGATGCATGTAGCAACAAAATACTACCAAAGGAACTAAATATTTGATATGTTATTAAATTGATAAATTTTCCTCTGTTCATGAAAAAGTCAACAAAACCTCTGAAAAAAGGACAATGTTATTTTAGCACAATGTTAATTGTATTTAATTTTTCCTGTAAAAATTTCTAAATATAAATTTAAGCATACATTATGCAAGAGCTAAATCTGCCTATTGCAGGTCTTTCTTTGGTCTTGAAATGATATACAAACTATTGATTAGATATTTATTAACATGAAGCAACGACCTTAATATACTCTCGATGCCATTTTATGTATCGGATTTTCACTGGATTTGAATCTGATTTCCTACTCAACGCTCATTGATGATTTAATCCAAAAATGGACAATCGAGACTATGTTTTTTATCGTACCGACTTTAGTAATGATGATCGAGGCTAGGCCTAAAATTCAAATGCTAATATCTCGGTTCAAAGTGGATCATTATATAGAGTTTTAACTAATATAGTGAGAACTGCCAGCTTTTTATATAATCTTCCATAATGCCACTTTAAGTTCATATTAGAGTGTCTACCTTTTTGCCCACTGTCGGACTGTCCACTGCAAAATTACCTCATAGCACACTGTATGGCGTATGCCCATCTTCATTAGCCCAATCGGTGCAGAACAATAGAATGTTATTAAACCCCATTTCATCTCATAAGCTAATACCGTCTGCTCTTTATTCTGATGTAAGTTATACAATATTATATATACTAGCTATATATAGAGAGCTGTGTCAAAATGTCTTGTTGCAAGTTAGACACTAAAAAAATTCATTTATAAAATTTATATTTCACTCTGATTTGTTTTCTTTCTATCAGTAAAGTTTCTAAGTCATATGACCTTGAATTTCAGTTTAATCAAAGCACATTTTATAAGATTTACTTTTCAGTAATAATGGATGTCTCTACATATGTAAGAGGTTTTCATGACATTGACGCTGTCTCAAAGATGAAATATAAAACATTAGGCAACACTGGTTTACAAATATCACAACTTGGCTATGGTTAGTTTTTTTTCTGTTTTTACTCAATGCTGTGAATAGGAATTAAATCAACTCTTAGTTAACAGTGTCCATGCATGGTCGAGTGATGTGTGTGTGTAGCAGGGCTCGAACACATGCGCTGTAGACCATAAAAGCTGTTATTTATGCAATTTATGAGTTTGATCCCAGGTATTCCCTGGGTACTTCAGTCCTTTCCAACATTTGAATCCCGCAATATTGAAACACACCATAATAATAATATGTTAGTCCCAACCATTCGTAATTAGTTCAGTCTTGTACCATATTAGGATCCATATTTCATTAAAGCCACTAATCCTCATTTGCATTAGACTACTTGTATATCTGTAACGGCTAAATTGTACTTAAATTAATTATTTAATATTTTTAAATCCAGGAAACAAAGTTCCATTTTATTCCTTCATATAATAATTATATGCATGTTTGTATTAGGTGGAGCTGGTTTGGCCAGTGTATATAAAACAACTAAAGATGGTGAAAGTATCGCAGTTTTAACACAAGCTATCAAGAAAGGCATTAACTACATAGATACAGCACCATGGTATGGTAATGGCAAATCAGAAACAGTATTAGGACAGGTTGGTTACAAACTTTCCAAAGCAGTGGTAATAAGCATTAACACCTAGCTCATTAATCATTGCTACATTAAAATAGCAATTATGGATGATTGTTTGTATTGGTTTGATAAGTTGGCTTACAGATTTTATACTAGAAAAAGTCTGTTTTCATTTTCAAATTATTTCTTGTCAACATACAAACCAGCCACAGTAAAAGAAATTCTACAGATTCTCCACTTAATTGTTCCCTTGAAACATTGAAATGAAATGAAATTGGATTTGACATCCTACTTTTCTGCAACGGCGGGCTAGAAGACTGGCATGCGCCATGTACATTGTAGTGTGCTAATGAGAGAAATTTTGTCCGCACAGTGGCACTACAGCCTACTCTTGTATCAAATTCCAACTGTCAGGAACTCTTTTACGTGTGTGAAATTAAATTATTGAAATAGAAATGGACAATGTGTTAGTGCCAAAATGACCTAGATTCAGTTGAGTTGTTGTAAAACCCCTGAGTTGTCTTATCTTACAGAAGCAATTCATTTAATAAACTTTGTCTCATCACAAATTGATAATAATAATAATATTGATAATAATATTGATACTATTTTTTTTTCTGCAGGCATTTAAGAATATACCCCGTGAGTCATTCTATGTAGCAACTAAAGTAGGAAGATATGAACCTGATGTAGAGAAAATGTTTGATTTTAGTCGTGAAAGAACTATGAGAAGTATAGATGAAAGTCTACAGAGAATGGGAATAGGTTATGTTGATATAATACAGGTACATATAAAATAATATATTAGTCTTATAGTCTTATGATTTGCAAATTGAAATGTGATGACCATTCTCCTAGTCATATACAAACTTGAGACCGAAACCAAGCCCTATAATCTAAAGCGCACGCGTCAGACCTCTTGATCACCCAACCTCCCATAACATCATTAAATAAATCTACATTACAATTTTAACCATATTGTGTTGTGTTAATAGCAGGGGCGGATCCAGGATATTTCGAAAGGGGGGCGTACTTTGAGGGCGAAGCCCGAATTATGAGCGCCGCTTGCACGAAGCAACTGGGAGGGGGGGGGGGGGTCTGGCTGGCCTCCCCCAGAAAATCTTTTAAGATAAGACTCCATATATGTGATTTCCTGGATCTGATCTTCAAATATTAAACACAACTCCCACCCTATTTTCAGTGTTTTTTGTCTGCAAAATCATCAGTTACAGACTTTACACCTTGCCAGAATAGGTGGGGGGGGGGGCGTGCGCCGGGTGCGCCCCCTTTGATCCGCGCCTGAATAGTGTGGTTTTCAATCTGGGGGAAATTCCCCCCCCCCCCATGTTGGAATTCAATCACTTCCATTTGGGGGGGGGGGGGAGGTGAGATCGCCCACGAATTAGAAGAGTTTTAGGACATTACCAAAATTGTGATCAAATATTCAGGTTTTAACATGTACTTCAATAGGTCTACTGCATACCATACAATTAAGAAACCATACACTTTATAACTATTGCATGGAAGTCATGGTATCGAGATAGTTTTTGTTATTTGATTGGGCTGCAGCCAAGAACAACTGTAAAATAAGAAGGAAAGGGGGGGGGGCAGTTTTTTTTTTTTTAAAAAGTCAAGCCACAGTGTTATAGAAATTATGCTATAGTAAATTGATAATTGCTGTATTGCTAGTTTGAGTCACAATCATGTTTATAGTCAGCAGATGTATGAGTAATTACCAGATGTTGAAATTGTTGATCAAAGTTCACATACTTGTAATAATAACATTGATATTTGTATCTTGGTGAACTCCTCATGAACTATTTAAACTAGAACTTGTTGGTGTAATGAATAGATTGATGGTTAAAGAGGCCAAAAGTTTAACTGAATTTTATTTCCCACTATTATTTATAAAAAGAATTAAGCCCAAAATTACCCCAGCAAGGTTCATGACATGTGGTGTTTATGTTGTAATCTTATCAGTAAGATTGGGGGGGGGGGGATGGCCGAATGGTTAGCACGTGCGCGCTGTATCATAAGGCCTGTCATTGAGTTAACTAGCGTGGTTTCCAATCCCTGGTTGTACGTGACAAGGAGTAGGGTTGCCTGTCCAACCACTGCTAAAGACCCCTACGCGCAAGCGAATTATTGAAATAAAATTAAACCACATGTTAGTCCCGAAATGACCTAACCTGTGTCGAGTGGACGTTAAAATCCATTTCTCCCTCTCTCTCTGTTATCAGTAGATATAGTACATGGGTAGATACAGATCAAGTAGAGATTCGCCACAGCTGACCTAATTTTGGAGGAATTATGACCCTTGAACAGTTTTCCACACTTATTCTGCTCAGTTAGGCACTTGTTAATAGGTCATTGTGGGGTCCACAAGGATTACTTACCTTGGGGTCCGTGTTCGAACCTGGTGTTGGCCAAGAAAGTTTACTGGGATTTTCCAATGTGGTTTCCTGTTGTCAGTGGCAGGACGGGGGGTCTGGCAAGGGACAACCTATTGACAGTTGGAATTCAAAATAAGAAGGTCCTCTGGTTTCCTCCCTTGCATAGTGAAATAAAAATGTTAGTCCTGAAATGACAGTTTGTGTTGTCCCATTTCTCTCTCTCTCTTTCTCTCTATTTCTTTCTCTCCCAGTCTCATGATGAAATTAATTATATTTTCAGGTACATGATATGGAGTTTGCTCCAGATTTAGATATCATTCTCAATGAAACTTTGCCAGCTTTACAAGAAATTAAGGATAGTGGTAAAGCTAGATTTATTGGAATAACTGGATACCCTCTTGAAAACTTCAGGTATGGTTCATTTGCAAATATAGGTCTATACTTGACATACAAATGAAGGTCGATGCATAGCTTCCTTGTGTACTATTATTTTTCTTGCATGACATTAAAATAAGCAAGGCAGTTTTTATCGCAGTAATGACCTCTGATGTTCCAAGTGATGTTAGAAAAGCGGTTAAATTGGCCATGCCTGTTCTCCAAACCCATTCATTTATGAATAAAATATTGTTTATAATAAAGAAAATGTTCCAAGTGATTAATATCCAAAATAAAGATCATGGAGATAAAAGAAATAATTGTATGATCCTTAGTGAACCATGTCTTAATTACGTATATGTAGGTGCATTACTCTTTTGCAGCCAGTCCGTAATACTAGTTAGGTAGAGATTGTAATGGGTGTAGTCAGAGAGAGAACCTATTGTAACACTTTACACCGCTATACACTGTTTGGCAGCTAAATCAAATATGTCATACGATGCATCTCTATGGGTTGCTGGCTATAGATGTGGAAAGCCAAACTGTCAAAAACTCTCCATATCCAACGTGTGACACATACTCTCCCTGCTACATATTTTATTAGTCTTGTTATCATCTAGTATTGTCTCTGGTTGTATTTGATCTATTTCTCTCTTTCATGGTTAGGACCCTGTAAACGTTTCTTTAACATCTCAAGTTGTGTATATGTTTTTATCAGTCCAAAAATATATATTAGCAAACAAGATGACAGAAACAAAAGTATGTTTCTACAGTTTTATATCAAGATGGATACATAGGTTACAAGCATGGAATAAAAATATTCACTCTATCTGTCCACCCAGATGTTGCCACTTGAACCTCAACTTCTCTCCTAAAGAATTTCTACATGGTGTTTGCTCTCTCAAATCTACCTGGTATCTAAAGAATTGCTCAGAGCTCAAGCATTGTATATGCCCTGACTTTTGCTATCTATTATTTAATTGGTCAAATATTATGATGATTGGTTAATAAGCCTAATGACCACATGACTAAGTCAAATATGGAATGGAATATTCTTCACATGAGTGTAATAGACAATAGAATTTATCCTTGGCCTTAGATCCCAATGTCCTGTTATTGTCAAGATATTGCATAAAGAATTTAATTTGCATTTTAAAATAAACTCATACCATAGCTAATGTACTGACAATGGAGAATAAATAGTCAAGGCGATAATATTATTTTAAAAAATGGGTTCTTTTGCACAAATCCTGCCATCCATATTACTACACTATCATCAAACACTAGTTCAGCTATGAATATTCATATAAATACCCTTTCCTAATTAAAGAGGCTTCTTCGATATTATGCATACTCCAGTGATCTGACTGACACAGTAAGATCGACAGCAGACCAGTTTGAACCAATTGGTCAAACAAATGATGAATGTCTTTTGTTGTTTGTTACAGGACAATTATAGAGAAAAGTAAAGTTAAAATAGATACAGTTTTAAGTTATTGTCGTGGCTGTATGTTTGATAGTTCAATACAAGATTATATTCCTTATTTCAAGGTAATAATATATATGTATATATTTCACCATATTTCATGTTTTGTTTTAATATGCTGGAATCCCTGAAAAACACCCATGAGACGGACACAAAACAAAAATTTAAGGAGATCCCTAACAGACAGCCTGTCTCCTGCTGTCGGATTTAACGACCTAGTGCTTGGATTTGTTGACCAAATGGCTAGAGGTTGTGAGAGACTTAAATGTACTGCGGACTTTGTAATTAAATTGCTGAAAAAGAAGTTTGCAAAGGATAATCCAATAATTTACTTAGACTTTGATATTTTTGGTAAATGGACAGCTACTTATGACAAATTGTAGGCTACAAGCTGAAACTGGACCTCCTCTCAGTCAAGTCGCATGACAAACAAGGATGCTAATAGACGGGATTTAAAGCAATATTTTGATTGATAAATTAGTTTGAATATGCTTTTAGGCCAAATATATCATCAAATCACACAGTTTGTATGTGGGAACATCAGGAAGTCATAGTGAGTTCCACTGGAATATTATTGTACTCATGAGGTTCACAGTTATAATACTTTTGAGCACCACATTACAGATATAGTGAACTAAATTATTTTAGCCTTATTGAGAAGTGGTTGGTGTCGTGCATTTGGCAGAATATGAGCACACTTTTTAGAAGACCTGAACCAATTATCACAGCTTACAAACATTTTTTGTTACTTATTTGCCTGTCAAACCACTGGGTTACATGCTGGTGTCCTTCAACACAAAGGTTACCTTCCTAACAGCAGATTCAGCTTCTGAAATCCAAGTTCAAACTTTCATTCTATAGGTGATAGGTGTCATGGATAAATCGGGAGGGGGAGGGGCAATTCTAATTCTTTTTCTAGAGAATTATAGCACTTTCTATTTTAGCAGTTCATCTAGCCAACAATCTTGTATAATGTAATAAACAATGACACACATATTGATGTATTTTCAGGAGAAAGGACTTGGTATATTAAATGCATCACCAATAGGTATGGGTTTATTATGTGAATCGGGTCCACCAAAATGGCATCCAGCAAAAAATCAAATTAAAGATAATTGTCAAAAGGCTGCAAAATATTGTAAGGTATGAAATGTGGCTGATTTGTTCAGCTGTAACAAAAAAACAACAAAGGTCCTCCTTTGTACACTTAATAAAATTCTTGCCAGATTGAATTTGTCCGGGCAAATTTCATATGTTACCATAGAAAAATGAATTATATGCTAGTTTTAAAAGTATTGTGAGGCATTAAACTTCATTCCATTCCTTTGCTATTCTTTCAGGACAATAACATACAAATAGCTAATTTGGCATTAAAACATAGTCTTGAACTTCCAGGAGTCACATGCACAATAACTTCTTCTGAAAGGTAAATAGAGACGGTCATACAAGTCTGTTATTAATATTAATAGTACCAAATATACTAGTCTTCAATATTGTGAAAGCTGAATATCTAATAGGAATATAAGTCCAAAAATGGTTTAATTATGTTCAGTATTTACAAAGTTATGTTAAATTGAAATTTCATTGCCGCCATCTTTTATCGGAAATGCAGAAACCTGATGAGCCTATTAAAATCCAATTGAATCCAAGCTGGGAGATAATCTAGCGTGAGAAGTTTTATATTTTCGTGAAAATGCAAATGGAGCATCGGAACTTTAATAAAGTAAACCAATCTGATTCAAGCAGGGTTGAATAGGCAATAAACTCTATAGACGATGAAGTCTTGGGTTCGATCCTGGTGTTGGCTGAGAGTGGATGGGACTAAAAGTCAAAAGAACCCTTAACAGTCGCCTGTATTCATAGCCTGGCAACACTATGTTACTGGTTAATGCAAACGTTTAATGATGGTTGAGTTTGAATTTCGTGCTGGACAAAATGGCCGTTGACCCTAGCTGTATGCAAATAGTGTTAAAGTATGTGATATCAAGGTTGTGAACCCTCTAGAGGTCACAATTTTTGATCAGATTTTTATGAAACTGAAAATAAGTGTTTATATCCCAAAGATCTCGGTTCATTTCGATGTTCGTGCATATTGGACCTTAACTTCCTGGATTATGGCCCCAATTGTACAAAAAATCACGATATTAGATTGTAGGCCCTCTAGAGGTCACCATTTTTATCTGATTCTAAAAACTGTTGCACCATAAGATTGAGTTCAAATTTCAGGAAAATCAAAACGAAACTGCCCGACAAAATGGCCCCTCCTTGTACTCAAATAATGTAAAAGTATGTCAAAATTTTTGTCTGATTTTGATGAAACTGTTTATATCCCAAAGATCCCAGTTCCTTTCGATATTCGCGCATTTCAGACCATAACTTCCTGGATTATGGCGCCTGATTGTACAAAAAATCGGTTTTTTTTATTAGCTTGTTCTTTGTCCATCTCTTGCAAAATGTGAGCGTAGCTTTGCATGGGAACCGCTGGTATTTACTAAAATGTATCTGGTAATGCTCCTATAAACAAGTTTGTTGAAATAAATAAGATTAATATCTCTTTAAACCATTTTTAATTACAGTTCTGATATAGTTGATAAAAATCTCAAACTTCTATCAACAAATTTAACTGATAAAGAAAGAAATGTATATAATGATGTGATGAAAAGGTTTGTATATATTGAATATATCCTCCATTGACTTTCACATTCGTAAGATCTTGTGAAAGGTGGTACAAGGCAGAGTTCTGGGCTGAATTTGTAAAGCTTGGTAGGATTGTTCATTGCTCAAGAATCTTTTGAAATTTCAAAATTTTGAGATTTTAAATTTTCAGGGCATTTTGCAGAGTTATATTTTGACTGTTAAAGTGTCACCACACAGAGAAAGTTGTGTTGGATTATAGATGTTTTGGTATGGTTTTTATTATCGGTACTTAAAACAGTGCCAATGATAAAATTGAATTTTGTTTAAAAAAAAAAAAGAAAGTCTGTCATTTTTTACCCTTGAATTAAAAGGCAATATCTGACTTTTTTCAGTGCTGACCATAGTAAGGAATCTAAATGGCTTTACATACAACTATTCCATTCTCATTCATTAGTTTATGATTAGTCCTAGATGGGCTGCAAAAAAAGCACAATTATCCAATTTGTAATCTCCAAATTTTGTGTTAACTGCCTTAGATGTTTCTGCTTGAAGTCCAGTGACTATGAGAGTTACTAGAATATATATATCAATGAATGCTAATTGTGTTTTGTAGTTTCACACATAACTATTGTATTTTTTATAATGATTTCATATTCCAGTCTGTTAGAATAGCATCTGAGTTAATCTTTGGTCAAGTCTCTCCTTTGATTCCCATTCAGATATATTCAATGAATAAAAATATTGTTGTTGATTTATTTGCCAGATTTATGGAACCTTTACATAAGATGAATTGGGAAGGCATTGAAGTTAATCAATACAGAGAAAAGTTAGCTAAATTACAAGACAGATAACTCTAAGAAGCATATGGACTGTTATATTTTAAGCTCAAGTCAACTGTACTTTATTGAAATAATAAATTATCTTATAAAGATAATTACTAATATTAATTTACTAAAATTTATAAACAATCCTTAAGGTTTACAGGGACGGTATCTGACATATTTTTGGGAATAAAATGGGTTAATACTGGGTGAAAATCTCTTAGAAACATTTATCCTAGTCCTCTGCAACTATCTGAAATTATGTGATACCTTTTCCATTTAAGGTTGGCCATAAGTCCCCATTCCCCAAGCTATATAAGGATAATCATGGCTGTATTTTGCCGAAGTTATAGTGGTAAATAATCATCACGATTGAACAATGAACTAACTGTTTGCTAATTGTAAATGTAGGTAGATCGGTAATGTGCATGAGACAAAGTTGATTTTTAATACTCGAATGGAGTTAATAACACTGAGGATATTATAATACCTAGTGTAGTGTGTTAAGCTCCCAGCACAGTGACACAAACAAAAAAAATAAGACTCATTATTGTTTACTACTTTTGTTATTTTTATATTTTTTGTGGTTATATTTTAACTCTTCAAGATAGTGCAATGTAGCTCTCTGTATTTTTGACCCAAGGACACACTTGTTTAATGACTGTAAAGGAGCAATTGTAAATACTCTAAAAAGTCTGATTATTATTATTTTACTGAATGTCAATTTTTACCCTGTTTATTAACTTTAACAGATTATATTTTTATTTTCAATGTACGAAGTGTGTATATATGTGTATTGTATGTGTCTTTATATGAACTCAAAAGATTTTCGGGTTGTACATGAATTGTATTGTCAACAATACTGTCTTGGGATCTTACCGACTTCCATGGTGCATTATATCTTTTACTGTGGTGACGGGCAGGATAACACTCACTTTAATGCGATTGTTATCTATGACTGTCTTGCGATCCTACCAACTTCCACGGTGATGTTATTTGTGGTACTACCCCACTCACTTTCATGGTGATGTTATTAGTAGTACTGTCCCACTCACTTGCATGGTGATGTTATCTGTAGTACTATCCTACTCATTTCCATGGTGATGTTATCTGTGGTACTGTCTTGAGATCTGACTGACTTCAGTGCTACGTTATCTGTTGTACTGTGGTGCCATCCCACCCACTTCCATGGGGCTAAGAAATATAGGTACCTTTCACTCAAAAGTACATACATTAATTTGTGAACTCTTTTTTCTTTCCTATGCACCTCAATCCTATCTTGCTTTTGGAAAGCATCAAAGGACATAGAGAAAATCAGACAATCATTGCTGGATTTTCAAAATATTAGAGAGGAAGACAGTAGCAATGATGTTTCATCCGACAGATAGCAATAGGAAAATTGATTTAAATCTGAACGGCACAAAAGTAGAATTCAAAGGAGAGGTCAACTTCCTTGGCCTGAAGTTCGACTCAAGAATAACATGGCATCGTAAGTCGCACATCCAAAACCCTCAATAGGATGAAATACATCAGAGAGACACAATGGGGAGCTGACAGATGCACTCTAACACCCGTCCGCTCGGTAATCGACTACGGGTGTTTGGCTTATGCCAGGGCAGGCGGTAGTCAACTGAGCAAGCTAGATAAAATACAGAGCAAAGTCATAAGACTAGCGACTAGAGCAGGTATAGGGACCAAAACGATTGCCCTTTTACACGAAATGGGAGAGCTTGCGCTTAACCTCAGATGAGAGGAACTATCACTCAAGTATTGAGGAAAGCTGCAAATGCTAAAGAAAGATGTCTAACATACAATTGTCTCAAATAGTAAGTTAGTAAGTGCAGGGGGACTGCACCACACAAAATTTACACAAAAACAAATACACGGACAGGACATCATACTCCGGAAAACACAAACATACAGACAATTCAAAAAAAGTGAATGGATCCGAGGGCTAGCCGTAAGCGTCCACTGCGCTGTACAGTCCCGGGTCTATAGTGACAACAGAGCAGGGCGCTATTGCACTTTCGTACCTCTACCAGTTCCCGTGGTAGTAGGAACTTGAAATTTTCAGAGGATGTTAAGGGGGGCTATCAATGACCACACACCAAATTTCAGCCGAATCGATCAATAACTTTTTATTTTACCGACCTTTTAATTTCTAACGAGAGAGAACTTCATCCGTTTTACGCCATTTGCTTTGTTTACTAATTAGACTTGAATAACAAGACACTAAGACGGAAACCGACTCGAATAACAAGACACTTAGACGGAAACCGACACACTGCACTAGCTGCCTAACACTGCAGTTCATAAAAATTAATATAATTTTCGTATACTTTAATTTTTGCGCGAAGCCACCATTTTCTATAAAATACTATTTGGTGTTGATCAGTGGATTGGCCTTTAGGTGTAAATATTGCCGTGACCTTGATTTTGACCTTGAGGCCAAACTTCCCATCCATATCGGGGCCTTTGCGTTTATGCTTGCCGTGGCCTTATTTCTTACTGTATTATCAAAGTTAATGTTCGAGGTGAAAGCAGAGATGACGTCCTTCAGAAAAGATATTTGGGTTAAAGTCGTAGGTAAAGGTCATGTTACAGAAAACTAAACTCAAACTTTTCAAAGTCATTTTTGGGACATTTGACCTTGACTTACGACCTTGACCCCGTAACCATTTTCGAAGGCTATCACATTGGCTTGAATCATGAACGTTTACCTTGGTCATATCGCACACTGCTCGGTCAGAAAACGGTCAAACGCAGAGGGTCCGTGTCCGAAAGGAAGTCAATGGGCGTGCTCAATGTAAAAGGTCGTGGTGACCTCCACTAGTCACCGTTAACCATCCGTAACCTTGACTCTGACCTTGAGTCCAAACGTCCCATCCATCTCGGGCCCTTTGCGTTTATACTTGTCGTGGCCTTATTTCTAACTGTATTATCAAATTTAATGTTCGAGGTGAAAGCAGAGACGACGTCCTCCAGAAAAGATAATTGGGTCAAAGTCGTAGGTCAAGGTCATCTTACAGAAAACTAAACTCGGACTTTTCAAAGTCAGTTTTGGGACATTTGGCCTTGACTTACGACCTTGACCTCGTAACCATTTTCGAAGGCTATCACCTTGGCTTGAACCATCGACGTTTACTTTGGTCCTGTCGCACACTGTTCGGTCAGAAAAGGGTCAAACGCAAAGGGCCCGTGTCCGAAAGGAAGTCAATGGGCGTGGTCAATGTGTAAGGTCGTGGTGACCTCCACTAGTCACCTTTAACCATCCGTGACCTTGACTTTGACCTTGAGTCCAAACTTCCTATTCATCTCGGGCCCTTTTCGTTTATGCTTGCCGTGACCCTATTTCTAACTGTATTATCAAAGTTAATGCTTGAGGTGAAAGCAGAGACAACGTCCTTCAGAAAAGTTAAAAAGGTCAAAGTCGTAGGTCAAGGTCATGTTACAGAAAACTAAACTCAAACTTTTCAAAGTCAGTTTTGGGACATTTGACCTTGACTTACGACCTTGACCCCGTAACCATTTTCGAAGGCTATCAACTTGGCTTGAATCATGGGCGTTTACCTTGGTCCTGTCGCACACTGCTCGGTCAGAAAACGGTCAAACGGAGAGGGGCCCGTGCCCGAAAGGAAGTCAATGGGCGTGGTCAATGTGAAAGTTCGTGGTGACCTCCACTAGTCACCTTTAACCATCCGTGACCTCGACTTCGACCTTGAGTCCAAACTTCCCATCCATCTCGGGCCCTTTTCGTTTATGCTTGCCGTGACCCTATTTCTTACTGTATTATCAAAGTTAATGCTTGAGGTGAAAGCAGAGACAACGTCCTTCAGAAAAGGTAAATGGGTCAAAGTCGTAGGTCAAGGTCATGTTACAGAAAACTGAACTCAAACTTTTCAAAGTCAGTTTTGGGACAGGGCCAGGGTAAACGTCGATGGTTCAAGCCAAAATGGTGGCTTCGCGCAAAAATTAAAGTATACGAAAATTATATTAATTTTTATGAACTGCAGAGATAGGCAGCTAGTGCAGTGTGTCGGTTTCCGTCTTAGTGTCTTGTTATTCGAGTCTAAATAGTAAACAAAGCAAATGGCGTCAAACAGATAAAGTTTTCTCTCGTTAGAAATTAAAAGGTCGGTAAAATAAAAAGTTATTGGTCGATTCGGCTGAAATTGCTAGCCCCCCTTAACATCCTCTGTAAATTTCAAGTTCCTACGACCACGGGAACTGGTAGAGGTACGAAAGTGCAATAGCGCCACACAGACTTCACTCAAATTTGAAAACAATTAGGAATACAACCCAAGAACCCAATTGTGTAATGCCAGCATGAGTCATGATCTGCTGTATGCTACACGAAATACGAATGTAAGCATATGTAGTAAAATTCAACTATACAAGTAACCACATCGGTGAAATGTATAAAAAAAAGTAGTCTAAACTCTAAACTAGAATTCCAACGAATAGGTTCTAAGAAAAACACCAGGCCCATGACATTTGGGTAAATGTCAAACGATATCTTAAATAAGTACAATCTGAAAGGAGTGACTATTGAGACAACATTCTTCCCCGACACTCCGCCTTTGCAATAAAGTGATCCAATCACTAACATGTACGTACCTAAGTGACGTCAGAAATAAACGTAGAGGACTAGCAATGGAATTAATAGCCTCTAGGGCGACCTTCGGTTATAATTTTTTCACGACTAGTGGTCGGAACTAGAAACCGAACGCGAATGGTCCGGACCATCGTCTGTTCAAAGACGGCTGCCCCCAGGGACATGGTGATGTCATTATACTCTGCTTTAAACCTCGAGCATAACCCTGAAAAAAAAACCCTTAACCCCAAAGGAAGGTCTATACATATCTCCATGGAGGATAATGAATCGCTGTGTTACATAGTTTAATAAACAAATAATAATTTTAGAGATGGCAAAATTCCTTGTAACTTGACGTTACTTTTTGCATAGCGCAAATATTGAAATAATGCGTAATTTTTAGACTTACATAGATTCAGACATAACATACGCGACAAAAAATATCTGCTCATAGAAGTAGCAACCATTTAAAATTCATTCAAGCTTTCTTAAAATCAGATACTTAACAAAAATAGATTCTTTCTACATATTCTACACTTTCGTTTCATCGACACCACCATCTTGGAACTACTCCGACCATGCCACAATAGCATGGCTCAGTATTTTCGGGCTATGGTCCGGACTAAATGAAATTCGGATTCAGTTAGTTCGACCCTAGTCAAGAAATCACGATAACCGAAGGTCGCCCTGAATGGACTGACCCACACTGATCCGCAGTGAATATTTGTTTGGCCGCGACAATCACTGATAAGGATGACATTGATGCGGCTTAATGAGCTAGAAATATTAACTTTTTTCCTGCGACAAATTAAATTCTAAAACATTTTTTGTATATACTGGAAAAATAAATAAAGGCGTTTGACGTATATGTAGGTAAAAATTATTTCCGATTTAGTGTAAATGGGTATTAAATTGACTAAAATGCAGCATTCTCTCCGAAGCAGTTATGTCTTATGTAAACAATGCACGCGCCATTCAGCTAATGATTCACACCGCATGCTGTGACAGCACGTGTTAAGGCAGTGATCTATGACAGATATTATACGAGACTCGTAATTCTCTGTGAAACAGATTGGGACTGACCATCTCAAAAGTTACACAGATGGATCAAAAGATTCACAAAGGGGGCAGCAGGATATGGCATATACATACCCAAAGCAAAGCTGAACATCAGGAAAACGCTACCAGACATTGTTCTGTGTACACCGCAGAACTGATATGGCCATTAAATCTGCACTTGAATGCCTAGCTATGTAGACACACCAAACAGGCGCAACCCTTTCTGAATCCCATGAGTAATATCAAATATATAAACGAGCTCCTCCAAAAGCAGACAGGGCTTAATCCACGAAGTTAGGGACCTAAATCAAAAGATAAAAACCCGTGGGTAGGGGTGGGGGGGAAGGTGATCCTTGCATGGATCCCTTCCCACGTCAATATTTTCGGCCAAGAAAAAGCAACTAGCAACGGAGGGGTTGTCACTAAATGAAATGGACAATAGAATATAGCAGACTTGAATTTGCAAGTATAGCAAAAGATAAGATCAAAATTGCATGGAAATACCCACTCTCCACACAAGTATCGCTATCCAGCGTTCGACTGCAAGGGAAGACAACTCTGTTTGGGAGATTGGGAAATACCGTCTAAAACAAGAAAACACCCATCGCTATCAAATAGATAACAATCTTGTCAATCATCCATCAAAATAGACAAGCTCATCACGAGGCTCAAAACCATAGACATAGTCAAATGCCTCTGTGGACATACTGCAACCCCTTAATTCACACCTAGCTAGTCGATTGCAGTCAGTTAAGGAACCAACGTCTAACTTATCTAGACCATAATCAACTCTCGATGCCATCGCTAACCTGCGATATTTACTGGATTTGAATACTTTTTTTTGACGGATGATTTAAGCAATTTGATTGGTCGAGACTTTAGAACACAACACCTCGCCTTCTAATTGAGGTTGAATTTCAAACTTGATGTAGGCGTTGATGATATGTGTCATGGCATGGGGGGAATTTTGCCTGGGCAGCGGCACTATGGCCTACTTCAACTGCCAAGGGATCTTTTACGTGCAGCCAATGTATACACGGGACCTCGGTTTTCGTCCCATCCAAACGACTAGACCGCTGCCTTATCAGGCCCTCTGTCCTGCACCATTGACAAGGGGAAAGCAAGTCTGAAAACCCCGATGAACTTTCTCGGCCAATGCAGGGCTCGAACACGCGACCTGTTTAGCGAGCCAGCGTCTTACCCACTTCGCCACCGTGGTTCCTAGCATGGTGAAATTTAGTGTACAGTTTCACTGTACCTGCTCAGTACTTGGACTAAGAATTTTTGAAACAGATAAATGTGCAAATGATTAATATGTGTCATCTATTTATTTTGGTAATTTCGGCTTGTTCTCTTTGCAGGTGCTGGATATTCTTACTTTAGAGAACCAGGAACGAAAAACAGAAACGAAGATGAAATCAACAACCATCCCGGACAAGAAGATCAAATGGAAGGAAGAATGGACAGGCCCTACACTCACCAATAAGCCCAAAGGAAGAGTTGCACCGCCCTACCATTCAACCGAACGAATCGGCCAGACCCATACAGCACTTGTTATCGTCCCGTCATTAATTGTTTTGTTCGTTCTGTACATATATATATATACATATTTCTTAATCCTTTCAATTCTTTTCGCAAATAACCTTGTAAATAAATATCTCACTTTGTACATAACATGTAATTGTCTGCGATATCACTTCAGTGGAAGCGGACGTTAAATAAAGCTATTTCACACACAATTGCAGTCTTTATACTGCAAGATAAAAATAGAAAATGTTCAAGTACTGCTATATTAAAATAGATATTATATTCCTTGCCATTTGGTTAGTTACGCTTTAACTATTTTGTATATAATCGGGAGGCATTGACAAGTATAGAATCAGTTGTTCATATGTTCGTGTACCTTATATTTAAAAAGGTCAAACCATGACTAGCTGAGTTTAATAGGGTTTCTTATTATACTTCAAACATCAGTTTAACTGCAGCAACCTCTGAATGATGTAAGTAGTATAGCAGTAGTGGATAAAAGTCTATTTCCACAGTTGTGGTATGATTTTGCCTATGGTGTTACAATATTACAGTATGTCTCGCTCTCGACCATTAAACAATACATAATACTAGTACTGTAGTCTACAATATGTTACACTATTCAACAGCTGTATTCATATTATTTTTCTTAATATAATATGACTTTTTGAATTGTTGAGGATTAAAACTAGGCAGTTTTCATAATACATGTAAAGGTTTTTTTTGTTGTTTTTTTTTTTGTTTTTTTTAAATATTAGATCGTTCTGAATTGAAGATCTTGGCCCGGTCGTTTTTTCGTCAATTTCATTTTTTCACTATAACATATCTGTCCTTGTAAGTCGCTTTTTTCAATTCTTTGCTCGATATTGACAAAAAACCACTCGTTTACTTGACCCCTGGCGATCATTTTTAGGGTGTTCCAGGATAGCGCTTCCTTTATCTGGACAAGGATATTTTTACGCTCCGTCGGGCTACATTAATATTTGATTGGTGCCATAGGGTTAGTGCTTAAACTCTCATGAAGATCTTTACGCCTCTTCCGGCTATAGTGTGAATTATTGATTATAATTTGTTAAAGGCTCAATACCACTCTTGTTGTAACTGAATAATATGTCCCAATATTTATTCTGGTCAACAAATTGTACTATTTTACAATATTCCAATTAATTGATGATACAAATTTCATCTTAACACACCTAATTTAAAAAATTGTAAAAAATTCAACAAATAATTTGAAAAGCTGACGTAAAGCTTTTCAAATGTGACTTGGATTTAAAAATATTTTTGAACCCTCTGGAAAAGTAAAATATAGGATTTAATGGATAATTTACACAACAGGTAAGACACTAACACATCTAGTACCTAGAATAAGGCTATTTTTTATTTTCTGGAGCTGTCAAGCCAGCAAGAGTGTTATTGTCCCTTTAATCGTTTCAGATGCCAAGCAGTTAGCGCAAATAGGTGACATTTTACCCACCGCTTAAATTGATTTGTTCCTGATTGATTATTTAGCCAAGTTGGATTATGTATTTTGTGTTTGGAAGTCCTCAGTACATGTCTTCTGAGCTGGGTGATAACAGTTGAGATTTAGATTTGTGTTGTTTTCTTGTAATTTGTTTAGCATGGATTCTCGTTGAGATTTAGGTGGTTACACACGTTTTAACTAGGATGCGCCGCCCTTTAAAAACGTGATTCCTAACTTGAAATATTTACATACGTGATCTACCGTATGGGCCGAGGCAGAAATAACCTGGTTGGTGCATAAATGTACGTAAGACTTACGTGACACCCCTTTTCATTCCATTTGTTATGAGTCTCCATGAGTCTGTTCAGCTTTACATGTGAACATACTATTTAACAGTTCTTGTAGTTTTTTCTGTGTTTTTTTTCTAAGTATAAGGAAGAACTCTTGATTTATCTAAATTCGGAATTTTAAAGTTATTTCACAATGTATGAGTTTGGATTTATGAACATGATACGATGTTATCTTTATAATTTATATAAAAAAAGAATAAATAATGGTGAATTGTTGATACTTTTGATCGTCTATTTTGGAGTTATCTCCCATTTATGGCATTTAGCGTATGCAATAGGCTGCAGGACATAATTCTTGACTGTGGATACACAGTGGCTATAGGATGAACAAAAATTGCAGTGTCAGTGGTGATTTCTAGCGCATATCTGGACCCAATTCAATTACATCACATACAAAACCAACAAAAAGTTTAAAATTACGCATTTTATATGAACAAAATACCTGTAGTAGGTGAATGTTGTTTTATACGGACTTGGAATTATTTTATTAAAACTATGGACTCTATTATAATCTGTAGCTGGGTCCATGTTAAAACTCAGTCATTGTTCATTTAGAAATAAAGGAGAAAAATTTAAGAACAATATATTTCGATCAAAGTTAACCTTTTAACTTTGAAACACAATGTGAAATGTAGAAAAATATGTTTGCAAAATTTGGAATTTTGGACTCTTAAAGGTGGTGAATGTGACACTGGACTTCTTAATGGATTTTCTAAAACTAATATATTGCTTTGACAGGTGTATCTCAATCTCAGTGTCAAGTTGTCAGTCTGTTGATCGAGTGTCTAACAACTCAGTGTTGAATATACAGCCACAATAAATTACGAAATTGTCCAATCATTAAGTGTCAGAAAATGGGTGTCATACTTAGAGACACAATGAACAAAAAATTGGGGGTATTAGATAAATGGTGTCATATGTAGTTCTTTAGAGGGAGAGAGGAAGGTATGGGTTTAACATCCACTCGACACAAAAGCTAGGTCATTTTGGGACTAACACATATGGTTCAACTTTATTTCAATAATTTGCTTGCATGAGGGGCCGTCTTTAGCAGTGGGAGGAAACCGGAGGACCTGGAGAAAACCCACGAGGTTGGACAGGCGACCCTACTCCTTGTCACGTACAACTGGGGAATGACAGACCGTATGATACAGTGCGCACGTGCGCTAACCATTCGGCCATCCAGCCCCCCTGTAGTTCTTTAGACTAGCGAAACTTTTAGTAACTCATCACTGAAATATATAATAGATATGATAGAATAAAACTGACTATAACAGCGATTAACAATCCTCTTTGCAAATTAAACCGTAAAAAAAAGTTTAAATGTTCCAATTTATTTTATTTATATAAATTTAATTTTCAGTAACGATGGATCCAAGTGTTTCTACATATGTAAGAGGTTTTCATGACATTGACGCTGTCTCAAAGATGAAATATAAACCACTAGGCAACACTGGTTTACAAATATCACAACTTGGCTATGGTTAGTTTTTTTTCTGTTTTTACTGGATGCTGTGAATAGGAATTAAATCAACTCTTAGTTGTATGAGTCTTTGTTGTCATGGTCGGACATGCACTTTTGATCATAAAAACCGTTATCTTTAGGTTTGATCCCAGCTACAATATGTTAGTCCAAAAATGACCTGGTTAGTGTCAGATTAAAAAGGGGCCCGTCAAAAAATAAATGGAGATTATAGGTACCACTGGTTGGTTTTGTCCTTAATACTGTTTACATATGATGCACTTTATACTTGAATCATATGGTAATATATAAAATAGTAACAAAGAGTTTTGTTTACGGGGTTTTGAGGGTTTTTTGTTCTTGGGGTTTAAATTTGGGGCGTCATCTAATTGCTTATATTTTCCATGCAATGAAAAGAAATTGAATGAAAATTATTTTTGTGAATGATAGTATGTTTAAATTATATAACCCGGGCCACTGGCAATATTACCATTATTCCAAATATATCTATATGTCGCAATTAATAGATCTTACAACGTAGCTCTAATTAATATTTGTTAATTTCGTGATTTTAAGTTAGGCGAGGGTGACGGCTGTCCTAAGTTACAATAGATTTTAGTTAAAATTGTCCCTAAAATAGTTTTGTGAAACGGCACTATTGTAAGTTAAGATACAATTTTAACTTACAATATTATTTTAGTGGATTTTACCTAATATGCTTAAAATCGTTTTGTGAAACGCATCTATCTTAAGTTAGGATGGAATTTTAGTTTAAGACGATTTTAAGGAGATTTAAGTTTTTGTGAAACAGGGCCCAGAATGAAATTGATCCTTCTTGGTCAGATATTCATTTTTGAGATTAAACTTTACAATATGGTAGTTTGTAAGGGATTGAAAATCCTTTAATTAACAATCAGGAGTGAATTATTTCACATTAATCAAATTTGTTGGATTTCATGTAAATTCTCTTTATGATTGGCTCCTGAAAAAAATTTAAGAGTGGTAGTTACTTTTAGTTACTTAATTTATTCATGTGTTATTATATTATTATAGGTGGATCTGGTTTAGCAGGTGTTTTTAAAACAACTAAAGATGATGAAAGTATCGCAGTTTTAACACAAGCTATCAAGAAAGGCATTAACTACATAGATACAGCACCATGGTATGGTAATGGCAAATCAGAAACAGTATTAGGACAGGTTGGTTACAAAGCATAAACATATCTCATTAATCATTTCTTAATTGATAGAAAAATCTTTGGAACCAAACCAGGTACCAAACCAAACTGTGGCATAGGTGCAGGATTAAAATTTCACATACAGAGTGTCAAGACGAAGAATCCTATTGATTTTCAATGATTTCTGATAGCCAATCAAATTTTAATTATTTCTGACATTTAATTCACTGGTTGTTACTCCCATTACTGCAAAAGAATATAATATATGCAACAACCTTTGTGTGGTGTTTGGACACACACATTCACAAGTACTTCTTTGTTTATGGTAGATAAATGCATAAATAAATCAATAACAAATACGTCCAGATAAAAAATTCTCCTCTTTACTTCATTCTGACGTACATTATTATGATTTCTCCATGTTTGAATTCCTTGGAAAAACAGATGTGCATTTCGTCGCTTAACAAATGAATTGTTACTATTGTTACTTTTTCTGCAGGCATTTAAGAATATACCCCGTGACTCATTCTATGTAGCAACTAAAGTAGGAAGATATGAACCTGATGTAGAGAAAATGTTTGATTTTAGTCGTGAAAGAACTATGAGAAGTATAGATGAAAGTCTACAGAGAATGGGAATAGGTTATGTTGATATAATACAGGTGCATATAAAATAATTTATAGTCTTATGATTTCAAATTAAAATGTGATGTCTACAATGATGTACTAACATTTTTATAAACACTACAATAATGCTTCACAACCAAAAACAGATTGAAAACACTATAAAAGGTTAGAGGGAATTGTTGAAGGTGGAGTGATGTCTACAATGATGTACTAACATTTTTATAAACACTACAATAATGCTTCACAACCAAAAACAGATTGAAAACACTATAAAAGGTTAGAGGGAATTGTTGAAGGTGGAGTGTAGTAAGAGTTGTTATCTGTACAGTACAATCTGTATTGTCCTGATTTTAATTTGTTGACTGCCCATAGATTATCTTTAACTCTGCAGGAAATATATCAATGCTCTAAGAATGCTTCTTGGGTCCACAAGGTTAAAATAATTAAAAAGGAAAAAGGAATCTATAATTTGCATTTTTTTGCAATTTTTCTTTTCTTCTCTTTTCTTCTCTAGAACTGTCTCTTTAGTTTGTAGAATTTTACATGTTGATTTGCTTTGAGTGATTAATGCTGTAATTTTCAGGTACATGATATGGAGTTTGCTCCAGATTTAGATATTATTCTCAATGAAACATTGCCAGCTTTACAAGAAATTAAGGATAGTGGTAAAGCTAGATTTATTGGAATAACTGGATACCCTCTTGAAAACTTCAGGTATGGTACATTTGCAAATCTCAACAATTACCAAACCTGATTAAATTTTATGGCATGGATATTACAAATAAATATAAATATAACATGTGTTTTACATGTAACGTATGTGATCATTACATGTAACTTACGTGGTCATTACATGTAACTTATGTGTTCATTACATTTAACTTATGTGATTTACACATACCTTATGTGATTTACATATACCTTATGTGATCATTACATGTAGCCTATGTGATTTTTATATAACATGTAAATTATGTGATCATTATAGCCTACATGTAACTTACATGATTTACATGTAATTATTATTTACATATAACTTATGTGACCATTACATGTAACTTTTATGATTTACTTGTAACTTGTGTGATATAAAATTCCTTTGAAATAAATTAAAAGAGTTCTTGAGGTAGCATTTTTTCAAAGGACATTTTTATACAGATTATTGCACTGTTATATATACATAACTTTTGACACTGTGTCTTAATGATGTTTGTATATCTTGCAGTCAGTCACATTGCATGTAAGTTAGGTGGAGATTGTTATGAATGTAGTCTTATGCCCCATTGACACTTTCACGCATTTTGAATCCGCAATGGTAATCATTAATTCGTACCAATGCGGATGGATATCATGTATATTTCACCTGTCAATCAAATAGTTCGTGCCGTTGCTGACCAACCTTTGCTCATAGTATGCAAAATCTGTCCGCACTGGTGCGCATTCGTACCATGTTAGTTGTCTCTCATGTGTCCCGCATCGTCCATCATTGTCCCGTTACAGTACTCAATATCTACGGATAGTTTGCGCACAGTTTGCGCAGGTGACCGCGCACTTGCGCTATGGTACGCCAGTACCTGCACTGTCAGGTATTGGTTACGCTAGTGTACTCAGTTTTAAGCATGCGTGACCATTTTGTGAGTCATTTTGTGGCACGCACTGGCACGCTTTATAGAAATGGTATATATAAAGGAAAGGTATTGGGATATGGTCCATTCCGTCGGCAACTCTTCAAAATGATGAACTCCAGAGACCTTAAAGAAAGGAACCTTACTTTGCAAAACGTACATCTTACAGCAGCTGCTGGTCTACTACTTTTGGAAGAAGATGAAAGTGAACGAAATATTGTTCTACAATCAAAACCTGACACCGACAGAACGTCTGCCTGCAGCAAGAAAAGAAAAGTCAGGAGGCAATGGTTGACAAGGAGACAACATTTTGGCCATTATGACCAGTTATTGTCGGAACTACACAAGGAAGAACGCAGAGGTTACCGGAACTTCCTACGTATCACCCCCGAACTGTTTCAAGAGATGATTGAAAAGTTGAGCCCACACCTGAAGAAGAATAAAACATTTATGAGAGAACCTCTTGAAGTTGGCCTGAAGTTAGCAATCACACTCCGCTTCTTAGCCAGTGGCGATTCCTATGCAAGTCTCCAATACAATTTCAGAGTTGAACTTAGCACTATATGCAAGTTTCTACCAGAAGTATGTAAAGCTATCGTCAAGGTCTACAAGCCAGAAGCATTAGTTTGTCCTAGAACAGAAGACCAGTGGAAGACTATTGCTGAAGGTTTTAGTAGCAGATGGAATTACCACAACTGTCTTGGAGCCGTTGACGGCAAGCATGTTGCTATGAAGAAACCCCCCTCGGGTGGATCCTTCTACTTTAACTACAAGAACTTTCATAGCATCGTGCTCCTTTCAGTGGTGGATGCTGGGTACCAATTTCTGTTGGAGCGGAAGGTGGAGCTTCTGATGGTGGAACATGGAGCAACTGTACGTTGTGAAAACGTGGAGGCTTCTGATTGGTGCGGCGCCTGTGAGTGAAGCAAACCTGCCAATGAGTATATGAGAGTAAACTATGAGCACCAATGAGTAAATTATGAGCACCAGTGAGTACACTGTGAGGATCAATGAGTAAACTGTGAGCACCAATGAGTGACACACGTCAAGTGGCGGGAAGAATTCCTGACCACTGGCAGATACCTACATCAACCCATGAGCACCATTGCTGATCTTGTCGTACCAGTGATGAACCTTGCGCACCAATGCGTGACATTGAGTACCCCTCAGTGCGTGACAGTGCGCAACATAATTTTCATTGACACTTTTACGCACCGGGTACGCATAGTTTGCGCATAGTTTACGAAAATGGTACGCCCAGGAGTGCGTGGCATGAGCTTGGACAAATCCTAGGTTTTGGGTCGGCACTGTCACGGATGGCACGCAATGGTACGCGTAGTTTACGACTGTTTCCCGCGATGGTACGCATAGTTTCCGTCTTGGAAAGCGTACCACGATTGCGTGAAACTGTCAATGGGGCATTAGTCTTAGAGATAACCTATCATCAAAAGCTGATTCTACAATGAGTTTTCATATGAATGCATACTCCTTAATCATTAAAGAAGCTTCTCTGGTGACAAGAGTAAGATTGGCCACTGCGGACAAGTTTTGATCGATTGGTCAAATAAATCAAACTACAAGCAAGAACAGTACAATAGTAAATCACAGACAATTGTCGGATTCAGACTAGATTGTTTCTTGTTGCAATATGTAAGATATGTTTTGTAGTAATTTGAACAAAGACTGCATTGTTCGTTTAAGTACATGTTTATTTAAAATAATTAGCAATCACCAGGCTTTGTGTATTAGCCATATTTGTCAGGATTTTACAAAGGCATGTGAAAAATCAGGAATATCTTTTTTTTGTTTGTTACAGGACAATTATAGAGAAAAGTAAAGTTAAAATAGATACAGTTTTAAGTTATTGTCGTGGTTGTATGTTTGATAGTTCAATACAAGATTATATTCCTTATTTCAAGGTAAAACATATATATGTATATTTCTCATTGCCAGGTAAAATATACTCCATAATATTTTATGTTTTATTTCCAGGTATATCAGGTATATTCCATCATATCTTATTTAAAACTGCAAATTGCTAGACTGCACAAACATTTTAGTGGTCTAAAATATGTACGACTAGCAGGATACCCGGCTTCGCTCGGGGGTCATAACCCCGAAACCGGAAGTGGTAGACTAACGCCACCTGGCCTATGTAACTCCCCGGTCCGAGCTACCCCTATACCCCAAATTTCAGACTCAGGGGCAGACCTAGTGTAGCCGCCAACCCCGAACAGACAGACAGACAAACAAACGACAGTCACAAATATTAGTATAGATAGATAGATGTACTATGTCATACAGTTCACAATTACAATTTGATTAAAAGTCCCAACATGCTTGATTATAGGCCATTATTACAATTTAATTAAAAGTTCTAATATACTTGTATATAGGCCATTATTACAATTTAATTAAAATCCCCAATATGCTTGTATATAGGTCATTATTACAATTTAATTAAAATCCCCAATATGCTTGTATATAGGTCATAATTACAATTTAATTAAAAGCCCCAATAGGCTTGTTTTTTGCCATTATTACAATTTAATTAAAACCTCAAATATATTGTTTTAGGCCATTGTTACAATTTAATTAAAAGCTCTCGTGTATAGGTCATTATTACAATTTTATTAGGCCATTATTACAATTTAATTAAAAGCCCCGGAGAAGCGGTTTTGACGTTTACATCCAAACGACTCAATATTTTGAGCTAAAATTTTGAGACAAGGTAAATACACCATTCCTCTATATTTTGGTGTTTAAATTTCATACGTACACAGACTTTTATTTCTATATGTATAAGACTAATTTATAGTCCGCTTATCATGCAAACAGTAGATATGGCTTCCGAAATCCAAGTTCAAACTTTCATTGACACATATTAATGCAGTTCATCTAGTTGAATAAACACTGACACACATATTGACATATTTTCAGGAGAAAGGACTTGGTATATTAAATGCATCACCTATAGGTATGGGTTTATTATGTGAATCGGGTCCACCAAAATGGCATCCAGCAAATCATCAAATTAAAGATAATTGTCAGAAGGCTGCAAAATATTGTAAGGTATGCACAAAGCAAATATAATCTCATTAATCTAATCCACATACCTTCATCACTTTTTGTTCTGGATTGTTATTGGAGATCAAGACGCAATTTGGTTTTTCAAGCTCAGTCCCCAGGTTGCCTGGCTTGCATGAATGTCTGCTATATCACTACATTGGACTAAACTCTGAGGTCTCCTGTATAAATTGGCAGTGTATATGAAATATTCCTACCCGGTCCTTACTGAGTTTTAATTTATAGAAGAAAATTGATTAGCATATGCAATATATTCAACACTTGCAATTAACATTTAATGTACATGTACTTGATGATCATGACTTGAAGGATTATCTGGAAGAAATGCAAAACCAATGTTCTACGATGTACACATTCACATACTCTTAATAGAACCTATTTACAGCTTGAATTATATGGAGAGTCTGGGGGAAATGTTTTATCCCAGGAATTGCCTATGTCATTGTGATCCTAGAAAAATTCACTGTATGCTAGTCTGAAATTGACCGAAGTATTGTAAGACATAAACTCCATTCTTTTACTTTCAGGACAATAATGTAGACTTAGCTCAGTTGGCCGTGAAACATAGTCTTGAACTTCCAGGAGTGGCATCCACGATAACGTCTTCTGAAAGGTAAATAGAGATTGTCGTACAAGTATTATACTGATATTAATAGTACCAAATATATTGATACCGTAAACAAATCCGATTTAAGCAGAATTAAATGGGCAATAACCTCCCATAAACCTTGAAAAAGATGTGCTTTGCTGATCCTTCTCAAATCAGATTTTAAAATGCTCTTGTTAGGTATTTGTAATTTCAAACTTAATTTTTTTAATAATTATTATGATAATGAGAACAGTTCTAATATATTTGGGACTGCTACTGCTCCCATAAAAAGTTTTGTTGAAATAAATAACATTAATATCTCTCTTGTTTTAATTACAGCTCTGAAATAGTTTGTAAGAATCCTCCAGTCTGAATTAACCAGTTTTATTTACTAAAATATATCTGGTAATGCTCCTTTAACCAAGTTTGTTGAAATAAACAAGATTAATATCTCTATAAACTATTTTTAATTACAGTTATGATATAGTTGATAAAAATCTCAAACTTCTGTCAACAAATTTAACTGATAAAGAAAGAAATGTATATAATGATGTTATGAAAAGGTTTGTATATATTGATATATCTAGCATATAAAATAATACAATCCAGTCACATGTGTATTACTGGTATATTCCTTCATAAAACATTGTATACCCCTAAATAACATGTAGAATACAGCTGTCTATTACAGAGGCATTATGGGAGGTTAGATAAAGAGTTGACTGTTTTCGTTATAGAATATGTTGAAAATTTCAGTCAAACTGCTCCACTCTGAACAAAGATATTAGCTTTTGAATTTTAAGCCGAGCCTTGATCATCATGACTAAAGTCGGTGCGATAAAAAACATTTTTGGATTTAATCATCAATGAGCGTTGAGCAGCAGATCGATTCAAATCCTGTAAAATTATGGATAAGTTAATTAATATCTAAGTAATAGGCCTAAAGAAAGACCAGCAATAGGCAGATTTAGCTCTTGGATAATGTACGTTTAATGTAAGATGAACAATCTTATTTTGTGGCTACCCACAGGCGAATTATTGAAATAAATTTGAACTATGTTAACTCCGAAATGACCTAGTTTGTGTCAAGTGGACATTAAACCTCATCTCTCTCTCTCTCTCTCTCTCTCTCTCTCTCATTTTGTGATAATATCAGGCAAGAAAGCTTAACCTTTAGATAAACTTGAATGAGGTCCATGATTATTTCGAAAACTTATGGTAATTACTGGAATATATCCACGAATTCTGTTTGTGTTTTGCAGTTTCACCCACAACTAATATATTTTAAAATGATTCTATATTCCAATCTGTTTGAATAACAACTTTGAGATGAGTTAATCTGAACCCAATTCAGACTCAATAAATAAAAGTATTATTTTTGATTTATTTGCCAGATTTATGGAACCCATTCAGATATATTCAATGATAAAAATATTGTTTTTGATTTATTTGCCAGATTTATGGAACCTTTACATAAGATGAATTGGGAAGGCATTGAAGTCAATCAATACAGAGAAAAGTTGGCTAAATTACAAGACAGATAACTCTAAGAAGTAGATGGACTACTATAACTTTAGCTGTATTTTATTGAAATAATAAATTATCTTATATACTATTCAAAAAAAGTAGGGGATATTTGATTTTTAAGTGTTATTAAAGTCACCTAATGAAACTGACGAAGAAACAAATGACAAAATGAAATGAAGTTCACATTCATCGATTTATTCCAAATGATCGTTAGACTAAGTAAGGCACAGACTGACCATTATAAGGGTAAAATGATACCCGGGGTCAAACAGCAAAGTTACCACAGCATCACAACTAAGTCAGTAACGGGTAAATCCTCCTCTGTTTGCCAAACAAGCATTGATCCGACGTGGCATACTCCTAATGGGACGTCTAAGGTCATTTTGGTCCAGATTGTCCCATTCCTGTTGCAACGCAGCAGCAAGTTCTTGGACATTGGCAGGACGTTGTTGACGTTGACGTAACCTCTGTCCAAGCATGTCCCAGACATGCTCGATGGGGGAGAGGTCGGGATGATTCAGTGCTGGCCAAGGTAATGTGGTGATGTTCTGTTGTTGGAGGTAACCTGTAACGATCCTGGCTCTGTGACATCTTGCGTTGTCATCCTTGAAGATGAAACGGCGGCCATGACGTCGTGCGGAGGGCACAACATGGACTGCCAAGATGTTGTCCCGGTAGTACTGGCCTGTAACAAGCCCTGCAACAACATGTAAAGCCGTTCTTCCAGCAACAGTGATGCCTCCCCACACCATAACAGAACCACCCCCAAATCGATCATGTCTGATGACGTTAACGTCTTGGAAGCGCTCGTTTCGACGACGCCACACCCTCCTACGTCTGTCCAAAAAATCAACAGTGAACCTTGACTCATCTGAAAACATCACATTGCTCCAGCGTCGATTATCCCAGTGTTGACGATCCCTACACCAACGACGTCTTGCCTGAATGTGATGATCTCTCAAACAAGGGATCACGCGAGGACGTCGGGCGCGAAGGTGACCCCTATGCAGTCGATTCCGAATCGTCTGGCCACTCACTCTCACACCAGTGTCTGTTTGAAGACGAGCGCTGATCTGATTTGCTGTGATGACACGATTTCTCAAGGCCAAGGTACGGATAAATCGATCCTGGGCTTGAGTTGTCGCCCTTGGTCGACCTGAGCGTGGTCTGTCCTGTACAGATTGTGTATCACGGTATCTGGACCATAGCCTGCTTATGACAGACTGAGAAACATTCATCGTCCGCGCCACAACCGCCTGTGTTGTGCCGATCTGTAGCATGCCAAGGGCACGTAACCTTTCATTTTGGGTAAGCCGACGCATATCAAAATTTGTTTTCTGGTCACTAAAACAATTAAACTGATGTTTCCACCCTGGAATTCAATGCCACAATGACTGTAACATTCAAAGTCAGAGTCGTGCAAATCTTGGGTTGGACCCCCATGATGATCCCAAGCATCACCTGCATTCCATGCGGTAGCTATTGGTGCGTTTGGGCGTCACATGTAACTGGAAATGTTTCTTCTGTTAGGTTCTATAGTGACTTTTTTCGTAGTCATTTCCATATTTTAGTATTATGCCCCCAAAATCAAATATCCCCTACTTTTTTTGAATAGTATAATTACAAAATGTCAATTAATTTAATTTACTAAAATTTACACAGAGAGAGAAATGGGATTTAACGTTGTCCACTCAACACAAACTAGGTCATTTCGGGACTAACATAATATATGGTTCAATTTTATTTCAATAATTCAATTGTGCGTAGGGGTCTTTAGCAATGGGAGGAAACCGAAGGACCCGGACAAAACCAACGAGGTTGGACAGGCGACCCTGCTCCTTTATATTTTAACTCTTCAATTTAGCTCTCTGTCTGTATGATGCGAGGACACACTGGTTTAATGACAATTTTAATGACCGTAAAGAAGCAATTGTAAATACTCTAAAAATTATGATGACAAATATGTATTTTACTGTCTTTGTTGTCCAGTATTATTAACCTTTACAGATTATATTTTAATTTTCAATGTATCAAGTCTTATTCCTCATACGGTAATTGCAATGTTCAAACACTGGGCTTTCACTTCAAAACTATGTCAGGTGGTCAAATTTTGACAATTTTGTTTACCTCAATCTGATTAAAATACAGATCTATATTTCGTTCCGTTTTTTTATACTTTCGATGGCTGCTGCTACATGAAAATCTTACCAGTTGTAGTGGGAGGTCACGTCAGGGGTCATACGAGCGGATTTTGAACTATGACGTCAGACACTTGATTAATCAATCAGCCTTGATGTTTCTAGTAAGATACCAACAGTTCTGTGTATCGCATGCCAAGAACTCTCCGGAACAGACCATTTCATTGGCTAATCCCTCACATCAACCAGTACAAGGGTTTTATAACAGCTCTTCCAGATCCAAGTGTAGTAAAGACAAGTAAAATGAAATTTTGAACTATAAAAAGTAAAACGAAATTTTCAACTTTAAAAAACAAAACAAAATAGGATCTGTGTTTTTATGGAAGGGTATCGCTGCCAATATTAAATGCTCTGCTACAATGTGTTTTCTATTGATTATATGTAAAAAGTACAATGTACAAATTCCTAATACCGATAATGATAAAGTCAAAATACCTCTAAGGCAAGAGTTAAATGTAAAACGTCAAATGTTAAGTGTTAAATGACAAATGTTTTGTTAGAAAATGCTTTTTTTGACGTGTCTACATTTTACATTTCTCTCATTACATTTTACATTTGCTCTCTGCCACATCCCATTTGTCCTTCACGCATTCTACATAGCATGTTTCGCACAGCATCAACTTGCATATGTAAATGTAGGATATCACGTGACTTATTAACATATACGGAAACCTGGCACAGTATAAGCCAGAACAGGGATATTCACGACACTATAACAGGAAATCAGCCTAGTACACAATACAAATTTACTCACCTTGACACTTTGGATGGCACTTTATGATGATTACGTGTGTGTGTGTGTGGGGGGGGGGGGGCTGTGCAATGTCCAAATACGAAATTTCAGGTATCATTTTACATATTAGTGAAAATCACATTCTTTTCTGTTTGTAAATAGTTTTCTGGTACAATAGTATTTTCATAATTTAAATCAAATAAATACCACACTATTAAAAGGGTATTCAAGTAAAAATACTGGCCTAAATACGAAATTCCAGATACCATGTTAAGTATCACTGATTGCTCTTTTCAAATATGCAAATAATTTTCTGGCACATTCATATTTGCTTAACTTTACAAAATAAGATTAAAGTTGAAGTGAAGGAAATGAAATGAAATGGGGTTTAACGTTCTACTGTTCTGCTCCTATACTGAGCTAATGAAGACGGGCATACGCCATACAGAGTGCTATGAGGGAAATTTTGCCCGGGCAGCGGCACTGTTGCCTACTCTTATATCAAAATTCAACTGTCCGGGGATCTTTTACGTGCATTCTAATATATACACGGGACCTCGGTTTTTCGTCTCATCCGAACGACTAGACAGCTGTCCTTGTCAGGCCCACTTGATGCAGGGAAACCACGCCGGAAAATCTCGATGTACTTTCTCGGCCAATGCAGGGATCGAACACCCGACCTCCAGGCTAGCGAGCCAGCGCCTTACCCACTTAGCCACGTGCTCCTCTGAAGTGAAGGAAGGGGGGGGGGGGGCTAAACTAAACTAAAATAAAGATACAGGGCTTAATCAAAAATTATCTATGTCCATACTAAAAGATGTATAGTCATTCCTCTCTTTAAATATATTATTTATTTGTTGGGCACAATGCTTATATATTGTTGTTTTTTTAATGGATCAAAGGATCAAAGTAGGCTACTCAACTCTGTTTATAGAGAGACCGGAAAGAGTGGGGGTGTTTAAAATATAAAAATACGGGTATTAATACGAAATTCTAGTTATTGTGTTATAAATTACTGAAAAGTATGTTTCTTTGGCTGCTTGAATCTATCAATTATTTACTGGCACATTCAAAATTAGACACGGTCGTCTAGATAGTTTCTTATGGTGTGCCAGCTTGATTTCTTTTGTCGTGCGGTGAATATCCTTATAGTGTGCTTGTGCCGGGTTTCCATATATGTTAACAAGTCACGTGATATCCTACATTTGCATATGCAAGTTGATGCTGTGCGAAATTGCTATGTAGAAAGCGTGAAGGGCAAATGGGATGTGGCAGAGCGCAAATGTAAAATGTAATGAGAGAAATGTAAAATGTAGACACGTCAAAAAAAGCATTTTCCCACAAAACATTTGTCATTTAACACTTAACATTTGACGTTTTACATTTAACTCTTGCCTTAGAGGTATTTTGACTTTATCAATATCGGTATTAGGAATTTGTACATTGTACTTTTTACATATAATCAATGGAAACGACATTGTAGCAGAGCATTTAATATTGGCAGCGATACCCTTCCATATGTTTTAATCAGATTGTGTTTGCAAGATATATATGGTGGACATTTTGTTCCATTGCCTGTTATTGTAGAAGCAACACAGACTTAGTGTCATGTTGGTACTACTGTCCTTTCTATCCTTCAAATTGGAGGTCATAGTAGTTGGGCAGATAGTGTATAAAAGTGTAAATGATTTGGTCAAAGAATTACTTGATTAATCCTGGTTATTATTGAAGATAATGAAAATTAGTACAGTCAGTATATTTTGGAATTTTGAATTTGATTCACTATATCTTGCTTGATGTCTGTTTGGGCATATTTGATCTCAAGGTCAGAATTCTGCCAGTCCAGGAAAAATTCAAGCATATATAGATGAAACAGAATCTGTGATCAAAAGGCATAACACTGACAGTAGTTATCAGAAATCGTCTCATGAATCAAATAATAACAATAGAGTGTCCGCAAACAATTGTGTACAACAGACTGGTATACCGAATATGCCCACATTTGATGGATAAATTGAAGTTTCAACAAGCTTAAAGTGTTGGTTGGTACATCAAGTAAGGTTCAGAACACCAGATACCACTTCTCATTTTGGTGGAAATGTCTGGTGTACTTTTGCATCCAATGATTTAACAAGAAATATGATGTGTAGAAATTATATTTATATACACGGCTAAAACAATATAATAATAATAGCCAATATACAATCTTATAAATAACAAAAATAGCCATTATATAAATTATCCACTTCTTCTCAATATGGATAAACAATAATTGTCAATATAAGTTCTAGTGCAATTGCAGAACAATATAATCTTTAAGTGACATAGTGATTGAGGAACGCATTAAACAGAACACAATTTTTATGGGATATCACTCACTGGCTTTATTCTAAAAGCATGACATTTCAACATGTTTCCTCTTGTCGTTATCAGTGCTTTTAGAATAGAACAATTGATTGATCTCCCATAAAAACTGTGTTAAGTATAAAATAATATAGTTAACAGCGTTTCTATGCTTAAAGGCAGAGTTTAAGTTAGAAGTTTACAGAAGGAGAATTAAAGCAATAACTTATGTTCGTTAAATAGAGGATATTTGTCGTTTTAGAGTGAATAACATATTTTATTTCATCGAGAAGCAAGATAACTTATATTTTCACGAATTCGTAGCATGAGTGAAAATATAAACGTTTTCTTGCTTCGAGATGAAATAAAATATGTTATTTACGACAAAACGACAAATGTTCTATTTATTTTATGATTTTACAATCATTTTAGGTAAAAACAACATGGACTACTTTGTCTGCTTTGACAACGTGGGGGGTTAGACCGCTTTACATCTTTATCTGCTTCTGGTGTATGAATACCTTTGAGAATGTAACGATCGACAAGTCGGCGTGTCGGCCATATTGTTTTCATAATTTTGTCACTAAAACGTGTAACTCCAGAAAAAAAGTAGTCCCGACGGCCAGTGAAATAACAAGTTTTATTTCACTGCTAGCCAGTGGAATAACACTTTTATTTCACTGATAAAACGCGGTATTCCACTACTGATCATAAAATAAATAAGATATTTATTAGGAAGGATGTAAGACTTTATAAAATGGTGAATGATGCACGTCTGTTACCAGATAACAATAATCTCTCGTCTTTACTTCATAAAATGTTCTTTAGAACCTGGGCCTCGTTTCTGTGTACTACAAATAGTACAGTTTGTCTGAAATTATAAAAAATTCAAGCAATAAGGAAACTGTAATAATCTTTCATTCAATTTTATTTATACATTTACTTTTCATTTGTTTGTGGGGGTTAACGCCCACTTCCACCTAGGAAACTTGCCATAGGTGCCAGTGGTATTTGTAATAAATATCATGTACCAGTAATAATGAATTTACAGATCATCTAAATTGATGTTAAGTTTTGTTATTACATTTTAAACCAAACATCAAGATGGAACACAAAAGCATACATTCATGTAACCCAGTGCACACCTTGAAACACATAAAGAAATAGCGGCACACCTGGCTAAATATATATGAAAAATATCTGAATTTTGTAAAATCAAAAGATGGTTAAGTCAGACAGCGTACAACCGTAGACAGAGACTAGTCATAAACACTTAGAATGACTCAAACTAAATGAAGAAAAATACAGCTATGAACTTATCAGTGGATACTCAATTGGGATCACATGTTTTTTCACATTTTCTTAGTGTGCCGTTCAAAATTTCGCGGCACACTTATAAAGATCTCACGGCAAACTGGTTGAGAATCACTGATGTAACCCATCAGGTGTATAAAACTAGGGTTCTTTTCATTCCCCTGTTCTTGGTCTAAAATCGTATGAAAAAATGCTTCTTATTATAAAATGATATCATTAGTAATGTTGGACAGATAATTGAAGACTGAATGATGTAATACCAATCATATTTTGTGTTTATCCATACCTGTATTAGGTTTTAAAATATTGAATATGAAAAACAAAAAACTTTGACCTTCATTGCTGGGAGCAATAGTAGGGGAAAAAAGTGATATAATAATACCAGTACATCCCTGAACAGACCAAAATAATCTGAAAATGCTATTCCTTAGATTGCCTCAAACTCTCTGAGATATGTGAATAACTTTTGTTATTATAGGACCATTTTGCATGTGTCTAAGGACCACTATAATGTCTATTTTGAAAGTCTAATGGATAAAGTAACTTACAACTGTAGGTGGTAAACAATCTTCATGGAATGCGTGATGGCAATAAAATACAACTAGATTACTTGCATATCTTAAATCTAAAAAATAAAATACAACTAGATTACTTGTATGTCTTCAATCCAAAAAATAAAATACAACTAGATTAATTCACATGTATCTAAGATCTGGAATATAAATGTTTATATACTATATAAGTCTATATACTATATATATATAAAATGATTATTGCCAATTTGATGAGAAAAAAGAATTCTTACCATTAACTGTTAAATTCTGATGACATATCGGACATACAGTGGGTTCTAAAACAAATAATAATTCTTACTGGTGAAAAAACATAAGATATATTCTAGTTCCCCAAAAAAGAAGCTATGTCTACTTATATCGTACATTTCCTTAAAAATACATTGTGTAAGAGCTAAATCTGCCTATTACAGATTTTTTTCGTTGGGCCTCAAATGTTATATAAATTTACTTAGACATTTTTTCACATGACAAGCCTACAATCAACTCGATTGACAAATGGATGGTTGTGAATTTGCACGGATTGAAACACAATTTAATAATTTAATTTAAAAATGGATAATCAAGACTTTGTTTATTGTTGTTACAATGGTAACAATGAAACTAGAGACTACGCTATTCTTCAAGCAGTCATAATTTGACTGAAATTTTCAATATATTCCTTTTTCATTATCATTTTAAAACTATTAGGTCTTCGCTACATCCTACATAATACATCTTTAAAGCAGAAATTCCAGATATATTTTTTTTAATAAAACTAGTCAATTCTGGAAGGTTCTTGGAACCCTTTATTCTGGTACCAAGACTAAGCAATTATCAGAAGCTCTTCGACACATTTTCAAAGAAACATCAATATCGGTACTCAATTGTTGGGTGGAATTACGCTCGTATTTTAAATCTTTTTCCGTGGGGTTTGTATTATCTATTTAAGTGTTTTAATTTGTCAAAAGAAAACTACACCAAGATTGAATTATAGGGCCTGGGAAATGGGGGGAAAAAAGCTTACGGTCAACGATTTTGGCTCCAAAAATAGGATTGATCAGGTAACCATAAACACTAATATTTATTATTTTGGCCTTATCAAACATTATTGATTGATGAGAATGAGATTATGATAATCTACAATAAAATTAAACATACCATCAACAAAAACACCCTTTCTCTGTGTATTGACCAATCTCTCCATTAAATTAAAACTATCAGCCACTAGAATCTTCTTACAGCCTTCTCGTAAAGATATCTATTTAAAATAAAAACAAGCTGTTACCATGCAAGATATGCCAACATTTGAAAGAGATGGACAGAAAACTGGTAAGATCAATAGAACCATCAAATGAAAAACTGTAGTCTCTCTTGAGTCCAGAAGGTTTTTGACTAAGGGGGCATAAAACTGGAATGAAAAGTTGTGAATTGCTGATTATTGATAGAGTTCGTCCTCTCATGACAACAATACTTCCAGGGCTCGAACTAGGGAGCGACATCGGCGAAATAGTAGACCAACCACCGCTGATTTCGCCCTCCAAAGACCCTAGGGTGAAGTTGAAATCACTCTCGTGATGCTCGACAGGTTGTGAATAAAACGTATTTCTGCATTTTTATATGAGGAACTAGGCAAAACTTTTATCTGTTATGTTAAAGATAATTTAAAACTATCTAAAGACAATAATAATTCAAAATATAGTCAAGGAATCTAATTATTTTGTATCCATTAGAACCTCTATCTAACTCCAAAAATTGTAGCCAATCAGCAATGACCCCACTGAAAAATGGTGGTGGATACAATATTTTATTTTGGTTTCAAGATCTATCAATGAAGACAGGCTTGTTTTGGTTCTATATACAAAGAAACTCTATATAAAATGAATACAATTCATAGAAATTTGCATACAATGCCATAATTTGTGCTTGAAGGACTATGAAGACCCAATATCGTATGTCCATTTATAGTGTGGACTACAGATATCAACACATTTTATTTTACTGACCATCATCGACTTGGCCACAAAATTTCCTCTGAACAGAGAGTCTGGCAAGGGCAGTATCTAGTCGTTCTGATAGGATGAAAAACTAAGGTCCTGTGTGCACATTGGTGTGCACGTAAAAGAACCCTTGACAGTTGGAATTCAAAATAAGAGTAGGCCGTAACACCGCTGTCCAGGCAAAATTTCTCTCATAGCACACATTCATTAGCCTAGTCGGAGCAGAAAAGCAGGACATTAAACCCCATTTCATTTCATTTCATCTGGTATATACAAAACTTACTTGTAAGTTATAATCTTGTAGAATTTTAACTAATGAATCTCGTAATTCTGGTATCTCCATGCCTTTCTTGATTCTATCTATAACTTTTATAGGATCAATATGCGCTCCTACATTCTGTAGTAAAGCCGTTATAAATGCTGTAAAAACAATTAAAGACAAGTTATAAACATAATTAAACAGAACATTCACCAAAAGGCATTGGTTGCTAATTTCAATTTGCTGTAGTCACAAGCCCAGAATGCACTTTTCTTTAGGTAATCTTTTAGAGGCATTTAGTAACTTGATTTGTTGTTATCGTTCTTCTGTATATATTTACCTCACATTTTTGTATTACTGTATTGGCTTGATAACATTGAGAGAATACTCTCACCCAAATAAATAAGTAGCTGTTTTTCCATAAGTATGTGTTATAGTTATCAAGTGACCACCCAAATAGACAGAAAGACAATAACATCTAGATTGGGTGACAACTTCTTCATCTGCTGGGGCTTTATGTCAGCTACTACTTAGGATGATATCTTAGACAAGAAAAAGCCAGTCTTGGTGGAAGGTAGAATCATACCTTTACAGATACAGTGTCCATTAGTACTGACAAGGACTGGTCATTCCTATTTGATTCTAAAAGTGTTGATATACTATACTTACTAGGTTTTCCCATCGAGAAATTGAGTAAATCTTCCCATAATTCATCATCCAGTTGTTCTTTACAGAATTCTATAGCGTGATTAACATCATGCATTCTCTCCATTATTAACTGTAAAGCTTGTTTTATATTACCCATACGACCTAAAAATATAACATTATATTACCCTTACAACCTATAAATATAACATTATATTACTCTTACAACCTATAAATATAACATTAAATTACTCTTACAACCTATAAATATAACATTATATTACTCTTACAATCTAAAAATATAACATTATGTTACTCTTACAACCTATGAATATAACATTATATTACCCAAACAATCTAAAAATTTAACATTATATTACTCTTACAATCTATAAATATAACATTATATTACCTATATTAGTTTGATGTTAAACTCAAATCTGTCCTGTATCACATTTAATTTGAAGATAAAAATCCAAAAAATACATAGGAAAACTATAAATTTAAATGTAAACAGAGATGCAACTCGAAAAATTACAATTCAAATTTTCTAAATTTCAATAGGGTTCATGTTTGAAAAGATTCCAACATAAATTTTGTCCTGTATTGTGTCCACATTACTCCACAAGCATGTAACACTAAAGATATAACAAAAAAAATAACTTCCCAAAATTTGAAATACACTCATTAACAATCCTATCGAGTTTTAAAAAGTTCCATGAAGTCTGTCCTGAATTGCCTTCAGATGCAATCACAGAAATGAATATAAATGCTTTATATTCAATTGTGACAAACTGAACTAAGAAATTGTATCTCTTTTAAATAGTTACCTAATAAAAACACCTGTTCCTTTACCAAATCTCTAGCCTGACATTCATCCATCGCCATCTGTAGTGGATACGACTGACTGCTACGTAAAAATGGCAGTAATTTAGGTTGAGCGAATTCAGCATAAAGTTTAACCATACGACCATGATATTCCTGGGATACTTGATTATCTTTCTGTATTAAGTGATCTAAATACTGTAATTAGAACAATACATGTATATGTTTTAGTTGTGGGCATGCAAGTCATGTTTTCGGGTGAGGCGGAGAACTGCTCTCTCAAATCTGGACAAAACAGCAGGGGAAAATTCGGACAAAACAAGAAAAATTAGATTGGACTGAGAAAGCAAAAAAATTAAAAAGTTAACAATGATGACAAAATAATTGATGGCTAATAGTCAACCAAAATTCTTGATCAACAACGTTCTTAAATTTGAAGTAGAGAATGATAAAAGACTTACAGAGGATTTTCAGGTCACTAATAATTATTTTAACGACGAAGAGCTATTATATGAGACTTTGCCACCATATCTGTTCGTAAACGAAGAATGGATAAAAAGAAATGACAATGGAGAGCTTCTGCCCTAAGATAACAGTATTAAAGTGAAGTTTCTAGATGCAGAATTAATAAATATAAGCAAAGAAATTAGAAAAGTAAAATATTTTACCACATAAAGAAATTTAGGAGACATATCTAACTGATGGACTACTTTGGTTACCTGAAATAAATAATATAAATGGAGTTTAATTCAAACATCCAAAACAAAAAATTTGGAATTAAAGCAGAGCTCATGTTTGAGTCGTATTTGCCAGTCATGACTGACTGGTAGTGCAACTGACTGAATGGAGAACTTACCTCCCAGTCAATTTCAAAGAATTTAACCTTAAAACACAAATAATACAGTTATATTAATATCTTTTATGTCTGAGAACACTTATAAATCATAAACATTAATTGGGACAGACTTTTATATTCTTTGAAGAATATCAGGTGAACATCACATCAAAACATTGGCAACTGGCAAAGTTTTGAAATAAAAGCCCTGAATATCAGCCAGAGATTTTAAAAATTTATTAATTTCATCCAAATCATATGTTAGATACTCATAATTTCAAGTCTCATACATTGCTTGGTATTCTATTGAAATAAGTCAATATAAATAAGCCTGACTTACTGTAAAGCACTGCTGTAAAAATAAAGGGCTACTCAAAATGTATGATCTGGTATTGAATTTTTGGACAGTATAAATTGTTTAATTCCCATGCACAAATTATAGCATTACTTACTGGTATTTTGTCCATATTATCCAGTAACATTTTAACTGCTTGCTCCTCATCAAACTGCATCAACTGGACAATCTTGTCATTAATAGAATCAAACAGATTGTGTTTTTTGATCAGTTGAAACACATCTTTATGTTGTAACCTAAAGAATAATACATATTATTGTAAAACAAGATTTTAGTATTAGAAATAACATTGATTCAACTTGATGCACTAGGTTGGTTGAAATAACAATAAGTAACAAAAAAGGATGTCATATACTTTGTGAAATCATTTTTCCAGAAACGTTGATAAAATAATATAGAGATTTTTTATTTTATAAAAAAAATATACTTTTTAATCTAGAAACCAATCTGATTAAAATAAAGATCTATATTTCGTTTTTTTTTTACTTTCGATGGCCTTAACTGAAAATTCTGGCCGGTTGTAGTGGGAGGTTTTGTCAGGGGACATACCAGCAACTTTTAACCCTATGACATTAGTCATTCGATTAAACAATCAGTGTCAGTGTTCTAAGTGGCTTTTCGGAAATACAACTTTTGCTATCAACCCACAAACGTATATTTCACATCAAGTGAATGCATCCGTGGCCTAGCCATAAGCGTCCACTGCGCGTACAGTCCCGGGCCAGTAGTGATACAGACTTCACTTAAAATGAAAAACGAACTAACAATATGGGAATATTTCCTAAGCGTCGTATAATACTGTGAGTTATGTTCGGCTATGTGCTACATGAAATATAAATGTAGGCACATTGGAGGAAAATACCTTTACAAGTAAAAATTTAAGGAGTTACCAAGTCGTATACGGCACAAAAAAGTTGCTGTCAAAAACATCTAAATGTACATGTTTGCAACAATTTTGGTAAATCTAGGGTGAAGGTGTGTATGGCGATGGCTCACTAACCAGGAGGTCCAAGATATAATTGTGGTAAATGCCAGTGTCGGGATAAAATTTCCCTCATAGTATAACTACATGTATATTGCCCATCTTCACAAACCCCGGTTGGTGCAGAAAAGTTGGATGTTAAACCCCATTTGATTTTGTTTCATTTATGGGCACAAATGACAATAAATATGAAGAACACTTACTTAAGATATATAGATAAGGCTTTATCAAATGCTCTTTCATAAGCATATCTGAAAAAATAAATAAATGTGTTAACATTATGATTAAATTTGATATCGAAATCGTTACTTCAGATTTCAAAGGAGTATGCTAGAAATGAAAGATTTTCAGTTTTCTGCAATGTTACTAAGCTATCATTTCATCTCCTTAAGCCATGTTCGGATATTATGGTTAAGTGGTGTTTATAATTAACCGTCTTCTGATGGATCATGTTTCCTACATAGACTTTGCAGTGGGTTGAACATGAAAATAGATTTTCTACAGGAATGGGGCCAATGTTCAAATAGTAATACATGCTGTACATATATGTTGTCATAATTTGATACTGTCTAACAGAGATATTAAGTTGCAAATGAACTACATGTATACACTTCCGAAATGCTGGATTATCTTGGTTTCATGAATATCTTGATCCTTTCTTAAAAATATCAGTAAATCCCTGTGAATTTAATTCAGACTGAACATAGTTTATGGGTTGTAATTAATCTTTAACCCTCTTAATTTGCTTAAAAAAACACAACACATAATTCTACTAAAGATACTGACTGGTGTAAAACAATCTGATTAAAATACACATCTATATTTCGTTTCGTTTTTTTATACTTTCGATGGCCTACACTACACGAATATCTGACCGGTTGTACTGAAAGGTTGAGTCAGAGGTCATACAAGCAGCTTTTGACCATATCACGTCAGACATTAGTTAATCAACTAGTGGTTTACCCACAATTCCACGCATAGTATGCCAAGAACTCGCCGTAACAGACCGCTTCATTGGTTAATCCCTCACTTTAACCAGAACGGGCTTATATAACAACTCTTCCAGATCCTAGTGTAGTGAAGACAAAACAGAATTTTGAACAATAAAAAACGAAACGAAATAGGATCTGTGTTTTAAGCAGATTGGGTGTAAAATTGATGCCTTTGTCCAAATGACTAATTTTTGGTTATGGTCTGGAATGAATACACAATGTGTTTATCAAGATAGGCAGTGAACACACAGAGACTAAATGTTTTGATAAAGAAAAGACTTTAAATCAGGCCACTGGCCGATAGATGCACCTAAAATAAAGAAAGCTTTATTACCAATTTATCAAGTAATACTTACAACTGTCCCATACACTGTAATAGTAGTTTATTATTCTTATCTCTATCTAAGCGTGTTAATACAGCATTCTCTATAGTCTGTAGATTATATAGATCTTGAGGCCATTCTTTTATCATTTTATAAAACACCTACCAAATAAACATGAGGAAAATAAAAACAGACAGTACAATATAGTCTTGGATTGATCTTATACACAGTACACAATCCTATTGAATACAAGGAGAAGCAGCGTTTCAAGTTAATATGTTTCCAATATAAAGTAGCAATGTGCCTATACAAATCATAAAGATTTGTTGCCATTTAAACAGACATCAATAACACTAACATAGTTTAAGCTATGTAGGTCCCATGCTAACAACAACTTCATACAGTGGGTTGTCATGCTAACCTTCAGCCTTATTGAGATGGAATTCACGAAAATTATTAATTTCACTGAGTTGAACACCATTACTCCCTATTGATAGCTGTCAAAATGCATGGCATTTGAAACATCAAATCGTGAGAACTAACATGAGATCTGTGGTGATATGAATGGTAATGATATCCGATTCAATTTCCATGGCTCAGTTAAGTAAACGAGACATCATATGTTGATGATTTCCAGTGTAAGATTGCTGCATGTAGTTAGGAAGAATAATGTTATATTATTACAAAGAGAACTGAGATCTCAAACCTAAGTCAATTCAAACATTCACATCACACAGATAAAATAAATGATTAAGATTAAAAACTACAATTTCTTACTTCATAATCACTCATTAAAAATTCATTAAGTACCATTTCATATATAGCTGGACTTAGTTTTGGATCACCCCTGGGTAGATATGGTGCGATAGCCTACAAATTACAAATAAAAAATCTCAACAATATATTTATATGTGAAAACAGTACTGAGATAACAATAATAAACATAGGTTGTCCAGACTACCAGCTAAGTTGTCTGAGAGGTTGTGAGTTAAACTACTTATATTAGAAGCCTCTAAGGTGATAACAAAATTTTGTAACAGAGGAGAATAACTCTGGAAATTGAAAATTGAAAGGGTTCTTCCTTTCAAAAGGACAGAAAACCATGTAGATGTCAGTAAGTTAGTTAATAATTGCAGATTCATAACAAGAGGACCTAACTCTAAAGGTAAATTTAGTACATGTAGACCAAGGAAAACAATTGTCAATAATTTTGATGTAGCAATGATTAATAAGCTCATTATGCTCATTAACATTGCTTTAGGGGTATGCACTAACTTGGCAATGGACCCAACTCATTAATAGTATACCTTTAATTGTTTGATTTGAGAAAATTTATAAACTTGTTCTTCCCATAAATCTTTCTTCTTGCCAAGTATTTTAACACAAAGTAATCCAGCATCATCAAATTGTTCTTCTTCTAATAAATAATGTAAATAATCTTGACCTATAGCCTGTAAAACATCATCATAAAATAATTCTTTTTCATGATAAATTTATCATCTTTAATTCAAGATTAAAACACCACTGTTGACATTTTTGCTTTCAATATCATCTTTGGGGGAGACTATCCATATTCAACATTATAACATATTATCTTTTTTATTGTTTTAAACTAGATGAAAGGATACTCAAGAAAATTCTAATTCTGAAGAAGTTAAAAGGTGAATTTTGTAAAACATGACAGATACAACTTTTTGACTCTCCATCAACATGTAAACATAGAATCTGTAACTGTCAATGATATGTTAAAACCTATTTCATTACACAGCAAGTGTATCTTAGGAGGAAAGACAGTTACAACCCTGGAAAACTTAGAAAAAAGTATAGAGTCATGCTTACTTCATAAGTATGTTTTTTTAATTCTTTTTCATGTTGTGTAGCTGCTGCCATGGCCTCCTGTAAATATATCATATCTAATATATTAAATCTTTGTTTCAATCTTTTATAAAAGAAATGGCGATCGACTTCCAACTTTTCTGCACCTGTACTGAAGCTAACCCTCCATTCTGCACCTTGATCAGGCTGGAGGAATATCATGATCCAACCCGGAACCTCATGGTTAGTTAGCAAACCATATGCAGTCCGAAATCAATCAAACTAACAAATAGGGAGGCAACCTGTCTTGATATTGCATATGTCACTGACTACTAACCTCAAACATTTCATGATCCAATAACCATGTAATATTATCATCTAAATCACGTAGTTTAGATACAACTATATCTTTAGGACTCAATATATAAAATAAATTTTCTTCTGGAATACATTCTGCAAAAAAAAAAGGAACAAAAAAATTAAATTTTACACGTTTCCATGTGATATGAAAGTTTGAGCTTTTGGTCTAGTAACAGTACTTCAGCAAATATTCACTCAATCATAATTAAATTTGTCCAATATGGGACTATTTACAGTATAAGAAATAATAAATGCTGTCTCCTTACCTAAGTGATAATCATTACATCTATACTCCTCAAAACCCCGAATAGATAGGGCATCATTTGATATTTCCTCAAAATAATCCATATGTGGTTCCAAAACCTGTAGATGAGGTCTACTTGCTACCAAACGACCAGTCTAAAATATAGAAAATGAAATGGGGTTTAACGTCCTACTTGTATGAACCAATTGGGCTAATGAAGACAGGCATGCGCCATACAGTGTACGATGAGGGGAATTTTGCTCTGACAGCAGCACTATGCCCTACTCTTATTTCCAATCCCAACTGTCAAGCGTTCTTTTAAGTGTAACGCGAATGAGTACATAGGACCTCGTTTTTACATCCCATTTGAACGACTAGACATTGTATTCGCATACAAAATGGAGACAACATCAAGTTGAAAACATATAGATGCCTTTACAATTCTCCCTTTTCTTTTCTAATTACTTCCATACAATTATTTAGCTGGTCAAGGTAGATTTCGACTTTCTTGTATTAGGGTATTGGAAACAATATGCCCCCAACCATTGAAAATCAAATCAAAATATATAGTTCAAAAAGTCACTTTAAACAATATTAAGTTTTCTTACCTCCTGCTGTCCATCCTTTTCATAAGATAAAACTATAATATTATCTTCTAATGGTGCTATACCGCATATGAAGAATTCAGTTGTAAACATCGAAACTAAAAATAGAAAACAACCATATTTGAAGGCATCAAATTAGTTGGCAAGCAATAATCAGATTTCATTGGAATATAATCTCTAATCTGTTACACGGATAGAATTAAAGGTGTTTAATTTCAGCATACATGTATATTTGAGAAATTGAATTATTAGAGATTCTGTAAGTTACGAATTCTCAACACTGACAGAATCTACAGATTGAAACATTTTAAAAAATTACTGGTAAGTTATCACTCTTACTAAATAAATTAATTCATGATATCTTATCAGATACAGGGGGAGCAGCAGTGGTAAGGGGACTGGTTAATGAAGATGGGCATACGCCATACAGTGTCCTATGAGGGAAATTTTGCTACCGCCTACTCTACTATCGAATTCCAACTGTCAAGGGATCTTTTCCGTACCATCCAAATGACTAGACAGTTGTCCTTGCCAAGCCATCCATTCTGCACCACAGACAAGGGCAAAACCACACCGGAAAATCCTGAGGCACTGTCTCGGCCAACACTACGGTATAAAGAACTCATGAAGAGAGATGAAATTTAATAACATTCATTCAAAGCTATCGACATAAGATCATAGCAAAATATAATCTGACAGATTCAATGTAACAACTTCTTTATTTTTTGCATCAAAACAACATTTTTTCAACTAAATCAAATTTTTACCTATTTCAACATATCTTGTAGGTAATTCTCTGGCATCTTTTTTAACTTGATCTCGTACAACACAAATCTATGTTAATACAAAATACATACATGCAATTCAATGTGAAAATTTCAAGGTAAACAAAAATGGCTAAAATACAATTTAAAATCAATTTAAGTTATGTTTAAATCAATTTTCCTGATATTAAGTTTTTGCAAAGTGGCCACTGAGCATTTCCAATATTGGTATTAAAAATATACACAATAATTTCATGTTGTGAATTTGGTTTAAAATTATACTCAAATTTTTATAAGGAATGGTGGCCATATATGTTAGTGCATACCTTGACCCTGTCTCCCCATCCGATCAACAGAGTTCGGTTATCTTTCCAAAATAAATGACATCCAAACATCTCTGGTCGATAACTGAAAAAACATCAAATTTTTACTCTTTTATTCAAAGTTTACTTCAAGATAAATGTATGCTTTCTGATATCTGAGCTGGTCGTCTACATAATATTTCACAAATAGCAGTTTATCACAAATTACCTGGGTTTTCAATCTGTTATAAATGATCAACACCCTTGATTTATACATCTTTTATTTTAAGAAATTAGGAGTCACGTTAGCTCACTGAGTATGCCGCTAGTTAACTAATCAGATCCTAGATTTGATCCCAGTGTTGGCAGATAAAGTTTCTCAGGATTTTTCCCCTTGTCAGTGATGCAGGATAGAAAGCCTGGTAAGGAAAATCATCTAGTTGTTTGGATGGTACAAAAAAACAATGAACAATGCACTCCTGTGTACTCATTGAAGTGATTGTAAAAGAAACAGTTGTAATTCAAAGTCCTGGCCAAATTTACCTCATAGCATAAAGCATGTAATATGCCAAATTTTCATTAGCCCGGAGCAGAACAGCAGGACTTTAAACCCCATTTCATTTCATATCAATTGATATAAAACTATTATTATTTGAAAATAAATTTTATCATTTGTAAGAGAGTTAATTATTTGTAAGGGAGTTAATTATTTTTAAGAGAGGTATTTATTTGTAAGAGAGGTAATTATTTGTAAGAGAATTTTAAAATGGATGTTATTACATGTACCTGTGATCTTTAGTAATATGTGTTATTCTAGATTTTGTACTCATATCATACACCTTTACACCCTGTAAATATATAAATACAAATAGTTATTATACATGTAGATCACTGTATCAAATCAGTTCTTAATTTCTCAAACCAAAAAATAACGCTGCAGCAGTTTTGTGAAGGGAATGTTGCTTAGTCAAATAAACAATCTCAAAATCTCTATCACAAAATCTCTGTAGAAAATCAGTAAGACTCATCCTTATGTTTATGACTAGCAAAATAATCGCAGCGTGTTTTAAAAAAAGATCCTAAGAAATCCCAACGTGTGGTATATTTACGAGAATTGTGAAAATGTGGGCATACAAAAAGCAGAATATACCATTTCAATCTATAGGGTTTTTTTTCTGATAAATATAGGTAAAGTTTCTTAAAAGAACAAATACATCTACAACCATAAATGGGGATAAATATGTGATAGGGATCTTCCTTATGACCCAAACTACAACCTGTAAATAATTCTGATCTTTAGAATGTCAGACGCCTGACCTTAAATGGAGGCAAATAACAAAATATCCAATTTTTACAGTAGCTATACAGATATTGTAAAGATAAAGGGACAATATTTATATACAAGCCAGAATAATTTGTTGTCATTAACCAGTTTTTAATCATACTAATTGTTGAATATGCATATTAATTTAGTAATCTTAAGAGCTTAAGCTCCAGAACATATACTTATCATATGTTTAACTCCTACAACATTACTTACTGTAAACAAACATTATTTTAGTAACCAACCAATTAAGAATTCAAGTATTTGAACATTGTATATGAGGTATGTGGAGGTTTGAACTTTAAGATACAATAAGTTTCCAGATGACTAAAATATAGTATGTGTTAACTCCGCACAAAGACTAGATGTGGTTGGTTTTAATAAATGAGGGGGGTTGGGTGGCTGAATGGTTAGCATGTGCGCGCTGTACCATAAAGTCTGTCATTGAGTCAACTGGCGTGGTTTCGAATACCCGGTTGTACGTGGCAAGGAGTAGGGTCGCCTGTCCAACCTCGTGGGTTTTCTCCGGGTCCTCCGGTTTCCTCCCACTGCTAAAGACCCCTACACGCGAGCGAATTATTGAAATAAAATTAAACCATGTGTTAGTTCCGAATGACCTAGTTTGTGTCGAGTGGAGTTAAACCCCATCTCTCTCAAATGAAGAATGAACATAATAATAATTATAGCCTGACAGGTATAAACAGACAGACAGGGTATTAGAGACTGAGTAAACTTACATTTTCATTTGACCATGCTATGAAGTCAGATTTCCATTTGATATTACGGATGGCTCCTTCTCCTTGATGAAGTACGTATGTTTTATGACGATTTAAAAAACCTTTTTCATTCAGTATTAACTGTCAACATATAAAAATAGTTTCTATAAGAAGACACGGTTTTAACATCATATACAAACCATATTACAAATTTTATGTCTTCATCAAACATTTACCGAAATATATGGTATAGTAATATTTTTATTTCAAATATGAGTTGTACTTTAGACAAAAGTTGGAGGGGTGGAGAAGTAATCTAATGCATATGGTTTATCCAATCATAAAATCTGTCATCGACGCAAGTGTCATTTTTCAATCTCAAGCTTCTACACAAAGGGCTAAACTAAAAGGTGTAGGTCGCTAGCCTCACCTCATGGGTTTTCTCCAGGTTCTCTGGCTTCCTTTCATTGCCAAAGAACCCTGAATGACTTTGTATCATGTGATGAGTGGACATTAAAGCCCTTCTCTCAGTCTGTTGACAAATTTTCGATGAAATTAAAAAATGACCAAATCTGACCTCTATCGTATTCAAAGGGTTTTCAGAAAAAAGGGTTACCCCAGAACGAAAGGTTGCAGAACGATAAATACATATAGGATTTGTCCTCTCATTACCCTAATGCTTCACACCAGATTTGAAACCAATTCCATTAAAGATGTAAAAGGGGGCACAACTCTGGGATAGACAGTTGTTAAATGCTGATTTTTAATATGTTTTCATAAAAATATATTAAAAATTGTAGCAGCTATCGCATGAACAAGGTTTTCAGAAAAAGGACGATAACTACAGAATGGAAGGTTGAGGAACAATGAATATCAATAGGGTTCATCCTTTATGATCCCAATGCTTTACACCAAATTAAAAAAACACAGTTAAAACTCTAGCCTCTATCGTGGTCACAAGATTTTCCGCAAATGGGGGATAACTTCAAAAAGTATAGGTCATGAAATGCTCTATGTTGATAAGGCTGGTCCTCTCATGAACCCAAATTTGAAAAAGATTTGTTAAAACTATAGCCTCAATCATGTTCATTAATTTTTGAGCAGTGGGTGGTAACTCTTGAAATAAAAACTCATGGAACACTGAGTATCGTCAGGGTTTGTCTTCTCATGACCCCAATGCTTTATACCATCAATAGATGTAGCCTCTATAGCGTTCAAAACCAATTGTTGATTGATACAGAACAACTAACAGGGTATCGTATTAAACTGGGCATATAAAAATATATAAAAAAATTTCAGCATGCTTTTTTCTAACGTGATCTTCATGCTAAATTATTGAGAATTTAATCATATTCATTAATTAATACCACTTACCTTTTCATCACCAGTAACATAATGTCTGCCTTTCCCGGATTTAAAGAAATAAGGATCTAATGCTACAGCTTTTACCGGCCTATCTAATGTCACTGATTGGTTGTTTTCTGTTGTATATAAACCTGTGATTGACACCTGTCAAAATATATCATGCAAAAATCATCCCCAAAATCTCCTCAACATACATTATTAATGCACATTCTCCCACAATTTATGGAAAGAACAATCTTAAAGGGATATTTGTACATTGTAATTGTATATAAGGTACAGAAACAAAGTTGGTGTTGTAAGTTAAAAAAAATAGCACTTGTGTGTTTTTCAAAGCCAATCATTGCAAGCTATTTTTCAATGTCAATATATCCCAAGTGCCTGGATAATCAAAGTAACTTTACTAACTCTTTTATGAGCAAGTTATATCAGTTAAAGACAAGCAAATTTATGTTTGTTTATCCAGGCAATACTGTTAGTTTATGTACATGTACACTGATCGATTCTTTTGCCAATAACTTTTGAAGGGAACAATATTTTGAAACCACATTTATACTTATTCTTGTTATTTTCTCTGGACTGTGGAGTTTAAAATCCATAGTGAAATATCGATGGGTCACACATTTCTGTATTTTGCCTTGAAAGACAGTCGTCTACGAATTTAGGTAGTCCAAGAAATGATTAGACATTAACTAACAATGGTAGCAAAAACTGATCATTAATAATGTCTTTACAAGAAATGCCCTATACATTAATAAATTGTTTGTATATTTCAACTTACTCGTCCGTCATCAGAACAACTGGCTATAAAATCTCCATTATCATCAATACTGATCTGGTTTATTGTAGTTGAATGCTGAAATGATACATGATAACCACTGTAATTATTAATAGTTCAGTTTACATATTGTGAAGACCTACTACAGGTGATGTTTATTGGCTTCAAATGTTCTATAAATTATTAGTTAGACATCTATTCACATGACAGGCCCATAATCAACTCTCTGGTACATCGTATGGCTGAGAGACTACATATAAGTGGATTGGACAACATCCGCTATATCTTAAGGCCCGGTCCCAGTGGCCGATGGACACAAAATGTATGCAAAAAGGACACAGCGGACAAGCAAACTTTCGGGGGTGGCTCCATCCGTTTTCATCCGCTCCAGAAATGGACAAAATTGACAAAAATTTGCAAAAACAGAACGGAAAAGAGCGAACGTGGGAAGTATGTAGCGGGGATGTTAAATGGATGTTCATCGGAAGCCTAGTGGATGAAAGCGGATGGAAGTGGATGACAGCTCTGAAGGGGTTAGGCAAACTCCAGACATCCTTCAATATACCAGATACATCCCAGATACAAACGCTTTGTCCATTTTGAAAACTTTATTTATTGAGATGCATACGCTTACATCCTTTCTATTTCCGTTCTACTAACGATGTATAGACGTTCTATGTACCTTATCTTTACTCCCTTTTTCCGTTTTCAGCTGGAGCGGATGTGAGTTGCGAGGATGCCCAGAGGATGCAGAGAGGATACAGTGGACGTTTAACGGATGATAACGGACATGGAACGTTTGGTGCTGATATATGTCACGCATTTACATCGTACACGGCAGAAGGTTCATCAGTTATAAAAGTTTTGTGCAGCTCAAAACTTTTTGCGCGGATGAAATCAAAGTGAACGGATGCTCAATGGATAGAGCGTATGAAACACGTATGCAATGAGTACACAACGGATGCATTGCGTTTTCAAACGGAGGGCATGATTTTTCCCCCGTTTTACATCCTCTTTGCATCTGTAAGTGCAGTGGGACCGGGCTTTTAGTTAAAATGGAAAATTGAGACTTTGTTTAATACTACTTAACAATTGAGACTATTTATGCTACCGGTATTTCTTGTCATAAAGTAATTCCAAAATATCAATTTTCATTTTTCAAACTATTATAGCAAAAATGGCCAGCGCTTTATCTAAATCTTACATAATGCATCTTTAATTTACCTACAATAGCTTGTTTCAGTTACACCACAGACATCCACAGTTTTAGCTACTATAGGGTGATGTAGCACAAGGGTGTCTTAGATGAAAGCCAAAGTGCAGGGACAGCTATAGCAAAATTTCCAAATGTTTTTTTAGGTGACATCATTTCACTTTGACGTCATGTGTTATGCCTGTGGTTAAGATCAGTACATACCAATCAGTTACTTACTCTACTCAAAACCATGTTGTATTTTAGTAACCACATACAAGATGAAAGGTGCTGGCACTTTACAGTGGTACAATTTATAACAAAATTTCAACAAGCCATTATATTAAAGTTTTATGTGCATATATTTCTTTTTCATAATTATTGAAACTTCTGGAACAAACACCAAATTTAATTGACAAAATCTGATTAGCCAAAACAAGTTTCAGGAAAGGAATTGTCTTACTGAAAATAATTAAGTACTTACAGCTTGTATTTCTTTTCCTCTAATATTATTACCAATATGATCTAATATATGTATCATACCCCAATGTGTTCCCAGAGCTAAAAACTAAATCAACAGTAGAATAGGTTAAGTCAATCTCTTCCAAAGCTGATAAAACAATATAGATTCTATAAACACCATACATATATCTAAAGCAATGGTTGCAAGCAGTGTCTGCTCATAAACCACTGCTAAACTTATTATGGCAAAGTGGTGGTGGTGGTTTTGATTAGTTATCTTCCTCTGGTGGATCTGATTCAAATGTCAAACAAATGCAATGTGCAACTGACCGAGTATAATGTTTAACACACTTTGATTCACCTTGGAAACAATAACACTAACATGGCATGTTTCATCACAGATGGGCAGAACTTAAAAATAAATTGAAATATTTTGATAGTAATGGTTTTCTAGTTACCTTGGGATGAACAGCCAAACAACTAGCTGCATCTTTACTTAGGATATTATTAACATCATTAGATATTCTTTCATACTTTAACTTTGGTTCAATTTCCTGCAAATAACAAAACAATTATGTCTCATTGTAATTCTTCATGAATGTTTTGTTAAGTATCTAAAATATTGCAATGGTCATGTACTCATATGAGGAACAAAAATTGCATGTGGTAAAAATGAGTCATTCTAGTATTGTGAGTAGATATCTGAGCAGCAGAATCTCTTTAAAGGGTAAATAAATTACATGTACAGTATCAAAAACAAGTTACAATTAATTATATTACTTTTTTTTAGAGTTCAATCATTTTCAAAGATCTCCTTAATGTGCTTTGATCAAAACTAAAAACATACATGTGAATCGTCTGAATTATCATCATCATCTTCGTCATCATCATCATCATCATCATCATCTGGTTCTTCTGTCTTCATTTTCTGAAACGATCCATAAGGGATTTAACTCCTGCATTTTTTCAAGTAGACTCATATAGTTCTTATACAAAAAAAAAACACCCTGAATTGTTAGCAAATTACATCACTACTGGTATGTACTGGTTATATTGAATGTACTTATCCGTGTCTGACATATATACCTGTCAAAAAATGCATCCTATTCTACAGCCTTCTTGTCATATTCATAAGATGTATTTTGCTTGGACCCTACCCTACAGCCTTCTTGTCATATTCATAAGATGTATTTTGCTTGGACAAAACTTCTACCAAATAAGTCTTCTTGTAGGTCTATATATCTTTAGATGATTTAATAAGAGAGAGAGAGTGAAAGAGAGAGAGAGAGAGAGGTTTAAGGTCCACTCGACACAAACTAGGTCATTACGGGATTAACACATGGTTCAATATTAATTCAATAATTCGCTTGCACGTAAGGGTCTTTAATTAGCAGTGGGAGGAAACCAGAGGACCCGGAGAAAACCCATGAGCTTGGACAGGCAACCCTACTAATTGTCACGTACAACCGAGGAATCGAAACCATGCCAGCTGACTCAATGACAGACCTTATGATACAGCACGCACATGGTAACCATTCGGCCATCCAACCCCCCTTTAATAATAGGGACTCCCTGATCTAAGTTTTCAATCGTAGCCTAAGCTATACGTCGTGTTTAATCTGGGACTGGGAGACAATTGTGTGTGAAATTATCAAAAATCTATAAACACAAAACAAGTTCTCACCCACAGCCATCCAAATAGCCATAAGCTAGCATAGGGACCTGCTACAGACCTACTGGGGGTGGGGGCGAAGGCAGACGGGAGTTATTCAGACGAAAAGACCATAAACCTGTCCTATGTCATGCAAATAAGCTTGAAATAGAGACATAAAGGATAAAAAAAATTTTGTCCACAGGGATATGAGAACCTGTAAAAATTGTACTAGCGGAGAAGTAGAAGATGAAATGCACATTTTTATCATTGCTTCGTCCACAATAATCTTCAGAAAAAGTTTTTACGTCATCACATTAAAACTAGTTTGAATGATTCAATAATGCATATTATGCACGCTGGTAAATGTATACAAGATGTTGCAACATGGCAAACAATGTCGGGGCTCTCTACCAATGGCAAACATTGTCGGCTAATGGCATGGACATGCATGGCGATGACATATCAAATCCGAAATATCAGTAATATTAATGTATGGGGATCAGACGAAACCGCCACAATATGTTAGTTAACCGTAGTATAAGTCGGCGATATAAACACACTACAGTTTTGACTATAATATACGATCTAATTAGGATATATTCCTCATGTTTACCTTTTCTAAGTCTGAGACGTCAGCCATTTTGACTGAATAATGGTCACATGATCTTGTGACCCAGTTAGTGTTTGTTTGTTCATCCAGACGTTTAATTTATTAAAACAAATATAAAACTGTAGCCTATGTTTATAGTTTAAATATAAAACTGTTCTACTGGGGAGGCTAAAACCTGACGAATCTGTAAGATTGCTTCGATCTGCAGATCAAATTTTAAAATAATACTAAAATGCAGGGAATAGTCTAATATCAATACAGTTTCGAAATAAACTGTTGCAGATACTGCCTTCTTCCTTTGCACGGCAGAACAGGTTTAATAATTTAAAACACGTCAAACATTTATGATGTGATTTATACAGGGAGGTATAATGCACGGTATTTATTTGATGCTTTATAAGCTACTATAAAAAATTAATATAAAAAATTAAACATGCATTATGCTAGTAACTTACCTTTACACTATTTAGTTTTTAACTATTATAGCGAGAACTGCCATCTCTTTATCTTATCTCCCATAATGTATCTTTAAAATACCTATCTATAACAAGTACTTAGGCTACTGATACGCGTGTCATCTCAAAGTTTTTAAAAAATTATGGCAGATTCGTATCTATAGTTACAGTTATATTAGTTCTTAGTAGTAGAAAAAAGATTTGGTTTTATACATAGTCTCAAATGAGGAGGGTGGGGGCTTTTTTGTGTCAACCCAATCTGTTTCACAGAAGTATTGCGAAGGCCTTCTTCTTATACCTCTGTGTAAGATGACTGACCTTTGTAAAGTTCATACGCGTGACGTCACATCACATGGCGTCGATCATGAATGGTTCCACTACTGATGTCTTCCGTCTTGCTCCAGTCACAGTACAGTGGACCGTCCTAAGCCCTTAATTCCTTTGAGCAAGTTTTGTAGTCAATTGACTACAAAAAAATTACTGGCCTATAACTCCCTTAATTTCCAATAACACTGTACTGTACATAGCTTAACATATCAATTCCCATTGAAATAAAGGTGAAACCTTACCCTATAATTATATGATTTGATTAAACCCTGCAAGCTATGCGAAATTTCTGTCCAGTTTAAAATGGCCGCCGAACCAGAATCATGGGGTGTCATGTCACTCGAAAATACAGAAAAACTGTTCGGTAAGATAAGATTATGATTTCAGTGTTCCACTCTTCACTATATTTGTAACATAATTACTTGTTTCCATGCAAACTGTGATGATATGTATTGAAAATTTTGCAATTGAACCTATTTTACTTGCTCAAAGCCTCGAATAGTGTATCAATTGAGGCCGTAGAACGAACGAACGGGCATAATGGTGCCTTTTACTCATTTTATATACTCATTTACACGGAATACAAAATATGTTTTATCCAGATATACTCCAAAAACCATTATTTAATTTTCTATTACTTCGAAAAATGTCTTCGAATTTCATTTGTGAGTTCATTAACCCCCGCCGATTTCACCCCTCTCAGTGATATTAGCGACCTATATAGCGAATATTCATTGTTGATCATGCATCGTTTTACCGACAAAAAACTCCGATCAAATGAATAAGCAAAATATTTGTTTCTTTGTTGTATCCACAAATTGTCTTCCATCGTGCCCCCCCCCCCCCCCGTCTGTGGTGCATGACGGAAGACCTGGTAAGGGCAGTGTCTAGTCGTTCGGATACGACGAACTCATGACAGTTGGAATTCGAACCTATAGTAGACCGTAGCGCCGCTGTCCGAGCAATATGTCCCTTACAACACTGTATGTCATTCATTAGCATGCCGTTACAGAATAGTTAGACCCTATTTCGTTTTATTCTATCAGATTGGTTAATCACGTGGCATTTTCTGTGATTGAAGTTGGGTCACTTTAAGCGCGTTCTTAATAGATTCGTCTTTTTTCCCATCATAATGCCTCGCTCGCCTTGACAATTTTCGAGTCGCGTGTTCAACTGGCTTTTTTGCTCGATTTTAAGGCTCTCTTCAACGATTTCCGAACGTTTACTTAGACGAAAATATCAGCCAAATAGCTCTTGGAATGGCTACAGATGCAGAAAATGACGGATAATTTTCTTGGGGGATCCCCCTCCCCCCTCTCAGCGCCCCCCCCCCCTTTTCAAAATTCCTAGATCCGCCCCAGACATTCATATTACATTATTATATGCGTTACGACCCATTTGTTGTCAATTTCTCGGTTCCAAATATTAGCGTTTTAGCTCCTTTAAGGTTTGAGAGACCCGGCGTAGTGCCCCCCCCCCCCCCCCGTTAATAGTTTATTTGGCTGAAAATACTCTTTTTTCCGGGTTATAGCACGCAAGTAATTATGCGGTTAGGTACAACGAGGTCTCTGATTTTAACATAGAAGTGAGACTTTCAGAATAAAACCCTGGCATCAATGCCGTAACTAGCTCAGAGCAACGAGGGTGGGAAGTGTTCTCAGGGAGTGCTGTAAAATTGACGGACAATTTATATCTGTTGTTTTTATGGTCGACATTTTTTTTCACGGGGGGGGGGGGGGCGAAACTACGGGCCTGCCTGGCATGCTCTTTACTGATCCCTGGGTTGAGAGACCCCATTGCTGTTGCGAGGGTTACTATTAGTTATAACTGAACAGTCGATCTTTATTTCATCCCCATCTCACTTCCGTTGTATCTATGACAGATTAGGTAATTAATAAAAACGACGGGATAAGAGTTTTTCCCACACTCTTTCCATGTGTCCCAAATATCAAATAATTCACTGTTATCAGTTAGGGGTGTTACGGTGGTGAAGTGGGTAAGACGCTGGCTCGCTATCCTGGAGGTCGGGTGTTCGATCCCTGCATTGGCCGAGAAAGTTCATCCAGATTTTCCGGCGTGGTTCCCTCTTGTCAGTGATGGTGGACGGAGGGCCTGACAAGGACAGTCTAGTCGTTCGGATGGGACGAAAAAACGGAGGTCCCGTGTACACATTGGCGTTGGAATTCGATATAAGAGTAGGCCGTAGTGGCGCTGTCCGGGCAAAATTTCCCTCATAGCACACTGTATGGCGTAGCAAAACAGTGGGACGTTAAACCCCATTTCATTCCTTCTATCAGTTATATGATCAGTTAAAACAAGTGCTTGCCACGCAAAATACGTCCACAATGTAAAATACGTCTGGGGAAGAGGTAAAATCAATATGGCTCATCCACGCATTGGATCTTTTGATCCCTAACATATTTATTAAGTTTCATCATAATGGGACAACAATAATTTATTGTAGCCTCCCTAGGGCCTAAAATGTATATATATTTCACATTTTGCGTAAAAAGCAGGGGCTATAGGTAAGGTCTGATGCGTACCAAAGACGACCTCATCCAAGAGCTTTCGATTCTTAACACATAGTTTAAGTTTCTTGCCATGAATCGGACAAAAATTGAAGCCACAGGAAGGTCCACAAACTTGATTCATATTTCACATTTTGCGTAAAAGGCAGGAGGTCAATGTGAACCAAAATTGAAGTCATCCAAGAGCTAGTGATACTCGTTTTAAGTTCATCTAAATCGGACAAAAATTCTGACCTCTAGATGGTTCACAACCTTGGCAAAAAATGCATTACATGCTTTTATACTATTTGCCATTTGACTAAAAGTTTCGGTCCGATCTTCAGGAAATTTGGACTCAACGATAATTATGATGTAACGGTAATATGTCTGACCGGTTTTGAAAATAAGATAATAAAAATGGTGACCTCTAGGGTGTCCACAAACTAAAAACTTCAGATTGCGTACAATCAGGGGTCATAATCCAGAAAGTTACGCACCAATGTCGAAGGAAATCAGACCTTTGGGATATCAAAATTGGATCAAAATTCGAACCTCTGGATGACCCACACCCTGGGTTTTACATGCTTTTAGGGGTGGCGGTCGTGTTGTCGGGCTGTTTCGAACCGATTTTCAAGAAATTTGAACTCAACCGTATTTATGCTGTAACGAGGATATATTATTATTTGAACGGTTTTGACAATCAAATAAAAACTGCGAAGTCTAGAGGGTCCACGGGCTAATATCGAGATCTGTCGTCGATTATACATTGTCAGTTTCATCAAAATCGTATAAAAATTGTGACCTCTAGAGTGTGCACAACCGTGGTATTATTATGCATATATTTGTCAAGTTAAGCATCACAGGAAACCACCATCGACTGTGTTTGCATGGTAAGGGAATTAGAAAAGAATTAAAATTTCACTTCATTCCTGAGAAATTTCATTAGACAGAAAGCGTCTCTGACGATCTTGATCCCCAGGAGCTTCCGGGGCCTAGGCGGCTCATGACCCTCGCCTAAAGTACTAGGATGGTAGCCCCCCCCCCCCCGCCCACACACATCCACACACATCCACACACACACACACAATAAAGAATTGCTTCCACCGGCCCTGTAAATATGCAATAGAAAATTATACATTAATCTTAAACGCATGCTATGGACATTTGAACGAAAATGACGTTCTACTTCGTTGAGTGGAGTTACTTCCCTGGAAAGCGATAAACGTTTCAACTTGCGCCAACCCCACCGCTACAATAATCTTAAATGCTTAAATGTCTATATCTATCACTACACGTCAAGTGATTACCGGACTGTACGTAATTCTGTGACCAATAAATTCACATAACTTACGCTTTCCATCAATAAACAACTTTAAGCAAACCTTTCAAATATAATTTAAATGACATTTCATTTAATGAATTTTCTAAAGATGTCATAGAGTATTTAGTGATTTGCTCCACCACGGATCTCATCACGGAAAACTTATCCATCCCAAAATCGTAACACGAAATAACGTACCCTCGTCTAATGCATTCAATATGCATTCAAATACACCGGGATTTTTCGGTGAATACCGGTGTTTTGCAAAATATAGGCTACAGTCTGGTTGTTGGAGACTAAATAGCAATTATCCTTTATTGTAGGCTGTATCCATCCGATTTATCCACGCACTTTGCCCCCACCCCTTTTCCACGCCCTTTTTAAAAACAAATTCTTTAGATTTTTTATGTTAGTTTTATCTAGTGGAGTTATTTTTCATATGCATCCCTTAAATAAATTGTGGGGTAGGAGGGTAGGACTATCTGGGTTGCGGATTATGAAATTTTCCGATTGGTAGATATCGACTGGATGAACGAGATACTGAACTCGTTTCAATCCAACATGCCCTGAACTGATAATTTTAAATACACATCTCTCAATTTCTAGTGTATTGTATCTAAAAACTAAATCAGTTGGGGTTTTAATCAAATTAATTGCACAATTAGATAGAGCCTGCATTCTATCAAAAATAACGAAGACATATTTTCAATTGTTCACACGAAATTACTCTTTTGTCTTTAATTCAACAATTAAACCCATTTTTGGAGCAGTTATTTTTTATATAAAGTAATGCGAAATTGAAATAAATCATTATCATTCCTTCCTTAAAATGAAATAACATCTATTTCTAAAATATTATACACGTCACAAATATAAAAAACGGTTTTGCATATTATAATGCGCACTTAATATATTAGCATAATATTTTTCGTTCTATTTTAACGACTGGTCCCCATCACGAGCTCGAGAAATTCCCTTGCAAAATGCAATGTTAAAGGGGGCTTCCTTTGAGCTAAAAATAGACCTGTACCCGCGCGAGGTCGCCATTGTACTCTTTTGTTTGCAGGACGAACATCAAGTGTGTCGCAGCGAGGTAGGAGGGACCTTCTAATATTTATTTATGACGATTAGACATTAACATAATTTATTAAAATGTACATGTGCTTTGGCTACAGATACTCCTGAATGGCAATTGTCTGTAATCTGATGCATTAGACGCTTTCGTATTAAACCGTAAAAATTTTACTTGAAATTTCAGAGGCTTTTATTGGTGAAAAAAGGGACGTTTCCAGTCAAAATAAGTGAGTATTTTAAAATATTTTTTTGGCAGACGAATATAGAACAGGGGGTATTATCATAATTTATATGCTGGTCGGTGGAATCGAGATATTTTTACGCCTAACTCGGTGACCTTATTCCTGGAATCGGCGTTTGGTTCCTGCCATGGCTGCTCGATGCTTGTCAGAATATGACGTCTATGAAGTATGACAAACAGGAGCTCCATTCTTTCCCATATTTCAATATTTCCACACAAAATTGTCGTATAAACTTTTTGACAGTTCAGTCCACATGTGCTCTGTGAATATTTTGACAGTGCTTTGTTTACCATAATTTGCATAATTTATTGTGGGCTTTGTGTGTGTATTGGACTGAATTTTATTACCACAAACAAAGGGATCCCCAGTAAATTAAATAATTATGTTTATCAAGGAAAGTTTGCTTAATAACTTATGAAAATTATAGACTTAAAAATCACCACTTTGCATATTTTAAATAATATGTATTTTATCTATTAAGGGATGACAAGTGGATTGAATAATACATTGTTGCATCTATTGAGTAATAAATAGCTTCCAGTAGTTGTTTAGCTAGTTAATGGATATGTTTATATTTAGGATATTAAAATTGGTGTAACATTTATGGAAAAGTGTTATTAATAAGAGGAATCTTTGGTTAAATAAGAGTTATTCTAGTATTCAATACATAGTGCAAAATAATATTTGCATAGTAATAATAGACAACCCTGTATTAATGACATGTATTACTCATTTGTTATGGAGAGGAATATTACATTTCGAAGACAGATTGTTTAAGTTTGAAGTGATTCATAAGATGCTGAATGTTTTGCTTTTTTTTTCTTCTTTTGTTTTAATCTTGTAATTTTTGAAAAAAAAATTTAGCTAATGACACATATAGTACCTCTTTCATTTTGATCAAATCAAAGTATCGATTTTACTTGATATGGTCTGTTTATAGATGGTGGGAGGGGGGACTCTAAAGCATTATATTTTTTTATTTGACAGTTTATAAATTCTAGTTTTGTCACTACTTAAACTCTTCATTCTGGAAAGAACAATTGGATAATTTGAGCCTACATCTGAAAATATTGACAAAAAAATTTCATTTGTATTTAGTCATCTATTCACAAAACAAATCAACACGTCATTACATTTATTCTTTTTCACCCAAATCAATATGTTGTATCCTTCTGATTTGAGATTCGTGCTCGTGCATATTCCCAACATTTATGTGATTATTATTATGAAAAAAAACTGGAGTATTTTTAGCATTAAAAATGATGATATATAGAAGGTTATATCATTGTACTTCTAGTATGAATATCATGAATAATGGATTGCCCATCAATTTATTTCTCCGAAACCAATTAAGCATATCAGGTCGCTGTCAGAGGTTGTCATGACGACCAATTGCTGGAAGCTGTAATATTGATTTTTTGCAATAAAGCCAGGCTGTTTAATAGAACTTTATTTCAGTGCTATGGATTGTCATTAATTGTCTTGGCAAGAACACCTGTTCAAGAAATATGTGCTGACAATGAAATCCCTACATGTCTTATATAAGCAATGTTAATTATTATATAAATGAATGCTAATTAATTAATAAGGACTGTACATGTATTAAAAGATAAAAACAAATTATAGCTTGCAATTTATACCCAACACTCCAAATTTAACTCAAATATCAATATTTTATTTTAAAAGTTAAAGCCTACATATATTTTATTGTAATAATAAATAAACAGGTTATAGAAAGTTTCTATTCATATATTCCTTGTAATGCAATTCAAATATTTATTAACATATGTAATGAGGGAATTGACATTATTTATCCTCAATTTATGATAATAAATACAGCATATATTTGTTGATCATGAAATTGATAATGCACCTACCCTAATATATTCAATTTAATAATTTATGGAGTATCAGTACTGAGTGAACTATTTCTGTAAATGTGATTTATGGATAGAGGGGTTTCTGCAAACCATTGTATTTAGTTCCAAAGTAAAAGAGAAATTGGGTTTAAAACAGAATTCAGGGTTTTCTGTTGATACAAACGTTCTTAAGTATGCAAATCATACCCCAACATGTAAAGAAATAACATGGTTGAATATATAAAAGTCCCCACTCAACAGTAGTACAGACAGATTTTAAATAGAAATAAGTAGCTGTTTTTCCACAAGTGTGTGTTATACAATAGAAAACAGAGATGGTTTATTCATCATAATGTTCAGGTGATACGATCCTTTTTCAAAGGATAACATTAAATAGTCCTGTGCTGAGTTTCTATATACAATAGTAGTGACTGACAGGATTTTAAAATTTATATGATGTACAAATAATAATTTTGGAAAAACAGAAGATTATTAAAATTAACAGAACAAAACAATTAGGGTAATCAGGGTGTTTACGATTTTAGATTAGATTATAGATAATTGAATAGATTATAAAAAATTGAATTAATTATATGAAAAATAATAACAAATAAATTGTGATGTAAAAATAGGAATTAAAGATTTTCTTAAATTAAGTCTATTTAAAATATTAGAATTGGTAAATTAAAGATTTTCTTAAATTAAGTCTATTTAAAATATTAGAATTGGTAAATATTTAAGAATCGAATAGTTCAAGTGTGGTAAAAGTCTGTTGCAGCGGCGTGTGCCGCATGTTCTTCATTTTGCAGTATAGCCAAGGTTGTAGAACTTGTGGGAAATTTCTATCGGATATCAACTTCTTTTATTGGGTGGTGGGAGTTCATAAACGTACATAAATCTGGGTATAGATTAGAACGGGCGGATTCATTCCGTCGGTAGTAGAAATCTTCTTGTTGGCATTATTGGATTTTTTAAAGTAAATCTTGTTGTGTCGTGGATTTCAGGGTTTCTGTTTCATTTTTGGTGCTGGCTTTGGTGTCTGTTATTTCTTCTTCTAAATAAGTTTTTTATACGCCGACATTGAAATGTGGTTGTATATTGTCGTCATCCCCGTCCGTCCGGCATCCACAATTGGACAATATAGAGGCTAAAGTTAATATCCGATTGACTTTATATTTATATGGTGTTTAAGGTCATGAGACGAAAAAGCCGTTGATTTTCAATGATTTACAATAATTGCTGCCAGAGTTATGGCCCTTGATCACTTTAAAAGATTTTGTGGATGCTCTAGACGCTTAAGTTAAAATCTGATTGACTTTAAATTTATACACTGTGTTTAAGGTCATGAGACTAAGAAGTCTGTTGATTTGATCGATTTCTGACAATTACTGCCAGAGTTATGGCCCTTGATCACTTTGAAATATCTGGTGGACACTCTAGATGCTCAAGTTAATATCCGATTGACTTTAAATTTATACCCAGTGTTTAAGGTCATGTGCTGAAGAATCCTATTGATTTTCAACATTTTCTGATAATGACTGCCAGAATTATGGCCCTTGATCACTTTAAATGTTAAATGTTAGAATAGGGCAGAACTAGAAGTGGAATGGGTTGTTACTCATAATCAGATTTTAGGGTGTTGACAAAAGAAAAAATATGAGTCAACCATTGTTGACTACCCTGACGACTTAGCTGCTGTGGGTGTATGTTTCATTGCCTGGCAACCTATCTTCCAATAGTCAGCAAGTATATTGGTTTTTGTTTTCCAAATAAGTAGTCTGCTGTTCCCAGAGTATTAAAACAAATTTAAAGGAAAAGATAGGGGTTTGTTATGAAAGATGTATGAATCTACCTGAAGAAATAATATATTTACTGTGTTCTGAATGTTTCAGCTCAAAATATTGAGTTATTTCGAAATGGTTGCCAAATGGGGTTTTGCAATGCAAATAAGGAACGACCTAATAGATGTAACAAATCAACCACTAAAAGCTTATACAGATATAGTTAACTTGACACTACTGCAGGTGTTATTCTGAAACCTATCACCAATCTCAATAAACCTGGTTATTTGCATTTCTTCAAAAATAAGTGTAGATGGTTTTCTTTATATGCCAGTGGAGTTGGGTAGTCAGTGTTCTAAAACAAAAATAAAATTATTTCCTAATATATATACAGGTATAAATCCTGTTAGGACAGTGAAAATTTCAAGTCACATGATCAGAGAATGAACAATGGGGTCGACCACTGTATAAATGGTTCTTTTTAGGTTTTTAACAGGAACTGTGCCCCAAGCACTACTAATAACTTTCAAAAAAAAAAAATAGGGCTCCGCCAATTTAAGTACAATTGACATGAAACTTAGCATGCTTGCTCCCTGGAAAATTGCTTTTTGATGCTGGAATTTTGATTTTTGTTATGACATGACCATTACAAGATGGCGACGATGATGTCATGCTTGGTTCCTGGTCAATAGTATGCTCATAATACACAATACACAATACAATTATATGGAATACAAGTTATTTGAAAGATTTATTTCTGATGATGTTTCGATGAGAGTTCTCTCTTCTGATTGACTTCAAATTTATTTAGTGTTGAAGGTCATGTGACAAAGGAGTCTTTCAATTTTCAACAATTGCCGATAATTACTGCCAGAGTTATGGCCCTTGATAACCTTGAAAAATCTTGTGGACACTGTAGAATTAATATCCGATTGACTTTCAACAATTTATCAATAATTACTGCCAAAGTTATGGCCCTTGATCACGTTGAAAAATGTTGTGGAGGCTTTAGGCGCTAAAATTAATATCCGATTGACTTTCAACGATTTATTGATGATTACTGCTAGAGTTATGGCCCTTGATCACATTGAAAAATGTTGTAATAGCTTTAGAGGCTAAAATTAATATCCGATTGACTTTAAATTTAACAGTGTTTAAGGTCATAAAACGAGGAATCGGAAGAATCCTATTGATTTTCAACAATTTCCAGTAATTACTGCCATAGTTATGTCCCTTGATCACTTTGAAAATTCAAGCGGATGGTCTAGAGATCAAAGTTACTATCCGATTGATTATAAATTTATACACCGTGTTTAAGGTCATGAGACGAAAAAGCCCTTGCTTT